ACAAGAACGACTCTGCCGTCATTGCCGTCTACGACTTGGGAGGTGGTACCTTCGATATCTCCATCCTCGAGATGCAGAAGGGTGTCTTTGAGGTCAAGTCCACCAACGGTGACACTCACCTCGGTGGTGAAGACTTTGACATTGCCATCGTCAACTACATCTTGGCCGAGTTCAAGAAGGAGACTGGTATCGATGTCTCTAACGACCGAATGGCTATCCAGCGAATCAGGGAGGCCGCCGAGAAGGCCAAGTGTGAATTGTCTTCTGCCGGTTCCACCGACGTCTCCCTCCCCTACATCACCGCCACCGCCGAGGGTCCCCAGCACATCAACCTCAACATCACCCGAGCCAAGCTCGAGACTATCGTCAAGCCTCTCGTTGACCGAACTGTCGACCCTTGTAAGAAGGCTCTCAGTGACGCCGGTGTCAAGGCTTCCGAGATTAACGATGTCATCCTTGTTGGTGGTATGAGCCGAATGCCCAAGGTCGTCGAGACTGTCAAGACTATCTTTGGCCGAGAGCCCAGCAAGGGTGTCAACCCCGACGAGGCCGTCTCCATTGGTGCTTCTATCCAGGCTGGTGTCCTTGCCGGTAACGTTACCGACATTCTCCTCCTCGATGTTACCCCTCTCTCTCTCGGTATCGAGACCCTCGGTGGTGTCTTTACCCGTTTGATCAACCGAAACACCACTATCCCCACCAAGAAGTCCCAGACTTTCTCTACCGCTGCCGACGGCCAGACCGCCATCCAGGTCAAGGTTTACCAGGGTGAGCGAGAGTTGGTCCGAGACAACAAGTTGCTCGGTGACTTCCAGCTCACTGGTCTCCCTCCCGCGCCCAAGGGTGTCCCCCAGATCACCATCATCTTTGACATTGACGCCGATGGTATCGTCAACGTCTCTGCCGTGGACAAGGCTACCAACCGAGAGCAGTCTATGACCATTGCTTCCTCTTCTGGTCTTTCCGACAACGAGATCGAGCAGATGGTTGCCGACTCTGAGAAGCACGCCGAGGCTGACAAGGCCCGACGACTCGTCATCGAGGAGGCCAACAAGGGCGAGAGCTTTGTCGTTGACACTGAAAAGTCTATGGCCGAGTTCGAGTCTCAGCTTGACACTGCCGAGAGGGAGAAGGTCAAGAAGCTCCTCGGCGAGCTCAGGGAGATTGCTGCCAAGGGTGCCGCCGGTGACGCCGCCGTGAAGGCTGACGACATCCGACAGGCCCTCGACGCTGCCCAGCAGGCTTCTCTCGGTCTTTTCCAGAAGGTGAGTTTTGTACGATAGTGTGCAATATTTTTTTGCTGACAAGGGTTGCAGGTCTACGAGAAGCGAAACGCTGAGGGTGCCAACCAGAACACCGAGTCTTCCGAGTCCGAGTCTACCGAGGGCGAGAAGAAGCAATAAGCTTCTCTCCACTCCCACCCCTCCCCACCATTCTTTGAATACGCATCCCATACATTCTCACTTCCCTCCACAAAAAACCATGGCCGCGCTGTAGGCGTCGAGAAGCAGGCATGGCATGATGGGATTCATAAAAGGGATTGCCGGCGAGCAGTCTTCTTACATAGCGTCAGGATTTTAGAGCAGAAGCAGTGGATCAATTAGCATAATTTTTGTATCACGATGAATCTCATCACCTCTCCAAGCTGGCCCAGGGTGCATATATTGAACAATTACACCAATAGTTGCACGCTGAGCGCTACGTAAAACGAACGGCGCGATAAGAATGGGCGGTGGCGATAGCCGCGGACAATTTCCAACGGCCGCCCGTCGATTCTCCGCGTCGCCATACAAATCTCAAAAGTATCCATCATCGCCCTCCACGCCGCCATGCCCCGCCTGCCCCTCCCCCTCGCTGCCCCCCGCCTCAGGCTCGCAGCCCGCTCCTTCGCCACCGTCAACCCCACCACCCCCGCCCAGCCCGACGCAGCCGACAGCACACCAGCCCCGCCCCCCAGGCGCAAGTTTCCCAAGCTCGATGACGGCCTCTCTTTCGACGACTTTTTGTCGGGCGATATCCCCACCGAGAACGAGCGTGTCGTCCTGGGAAACACAAAACAGTGAGCTTGGGGTCAGCCAGCCAGAACCGCCACTGACATATCGAACAGGCCTCGGCTGCCCTCTTTCCTGAAGCACCCCATTCCCACAGGCGCATCTTATAGCGGTATCAAGAAAGATCTCCGAGGTCTTGGCCTGCATACCGTCTGTGAGGAGGCCAAATGCCCCAACATCGGTGAATGCTGGGGCGGTGGAAAAGGTGCCGCGACAGCGACTATCATGGTGAGCAATCACCCGACGGGGATTGGGGCGCGATCTGATCACGGCATTCGCCACTATAGTTGATGGGTGATACCTGTACTCGAGGATGTCGATTTTGCTCTATCAAGACTTCGAGAGCACCTTCGCCACTGGATGTGCATGAGCCCGAGAACACTGCCGAGGCCATCAGCCGATGGGGTCTCGGGTACATTGTGCTGACAAGTGTCGATCGTGACGGTGAGTCTATCCATATATGACCTGGAAACAAGCTGAACGTCTTGTCAGACTTGATCGATGGTGGTGCCGCCCATATTGCGTCCACCATCTCCAAAATCAAACAAAAAGCTCCTAGCATCCTTGTTGAAGCCCTCACCCCCGATTTCGCCTCGAAAGGCGTCGAGACCATCCACACCGTGGCGTCCTCCGGTCTCGATGTCTTTGCGCACAATATTGAGACCGTCGAAAGGTGCACACCGTTCGTAAGAGATAGGAGAGCAGGCTTTGAGCAGAGTCTGAGAGTGCTGGAGGAGGCAAAGAAGGGAGCGAGAGCGGCCGGGAAGGAGATCTTGACGAAATCCAGTATCATGATGGGCGTGGGAGAGAGGGAGGAAGAGCTTCACGAGGCCTTGAGACGTATGTCCTCTCTCTTTTCATCTGTGACCGTAGCTGACGGAGCGCAGGGCTGCGTCAATCTGATGTGGACGTTGTCACTTTCGGCCAATACATGCGTCCCACAAAACGACACATGAAGGTCGACCGATACGTCGAGCCTGAAGAGTTTGCCAAGTGGAAAGAGGTCGCAGAGAAGATGGGCTTTTTGTATGTTGCGGCCGGACCGCTCGTGAGGTCGAGTTACAAGGCCGGAGAGTTCTTCATCGAGAATGTGCTCAAGAAGCGACGTGCCGCTGCTGCCGAGAAGGCCACTGCCCAGTTGTCTGCTTCTTCCGCTGCTCCATCAGAGGTCGCCGCCGAGATCTAGATATTGTATCATCATGCATGACCTCGTACTGTACATTCAATCATCTATTCCAATTGGCACCCAAATCAGCTCCACCTGGGCTGCCCCCCTTCACCCAGCTCGTCGCCCTCGACATCATCCCCGGAGCGCCGCCAAAGTAGCCGGAAGACTCTCGGTGGTCTCGGTGGACAAGCGCGGGAGAAGGTGTGTGTGTCGTGGCAGACGGGATGAATTCCTTTTCACCGACAATCTTGCGAGCTACTTCACGCTGAGCGCGATTAAAGACTCGCAGACCGAAAGCCGCAACCGTCCAAACACCACCGACAACACCCATGAGACGGATCAAGAACTGATACAACGTCGTCGTCCTTTCCCTAATGATGATTGACATTGGCTCCAGATCATACTTGAAGAACAATCCCGGCACGCCCCTTCCATGCTCAAAGGAGCGAGAGTAGTCGGTGACTGCGTATTGGGAGGTGACAAGCTTGCGACGAGAAGAGTCAATGTAGGTCGAGGGGACGACGCGGAGAAAGTATTGGAATATTGTGAAGGCTGCGATGCGTCAGCTGAGTTTCAGGTAAGAGAGGGGTAGACGTACGCTGATCGGCAATCTCGTACGTCTTGTCAAGGGGTTGCGAGATGGCAGGGAAGAACGGTCCAAAGGAAAACTCGTGCACGATATGAGACAAGTTCATCACTGCCACATGTCAGCTCGCTTTCGTTCACGTGTGCTCAGCTTACAGTTGTGGTCCGTGTGCTCAAAGCTCATATACCCATGACCCAACGTCGTGATGTGCAGGTTTGCCGTCACCTTCTTGACCTCTACACTTCCATAGATCCTACACGCTGGTCCATCCGCCACCTTGTCGTATGTAGGTCGGTAGGCAGAGGCGGTCTTGCGGTCTGGAGAGGACGAGAAGAATCGGGAGATACCGGAGAAGAAGGATTTTTGGTTGGGGGTGTGGCGGCGGGAGGAGGAGATGACTTCAGAGGCGGAAGGGGACGAAGGAGAGGCCACGTTTCTGGTGATATGTTAGTGATGTTCACACCTTTTGAAGGATGCCTACTTGATGGAATGGGCTTTTCCAATGTTGAAGTTGGTCTATCATCCGTCAGCTATGCACCAGAAGTTGAATCGTATACGCACCCCGTCCTTCACAAAGGAATTGCTAAGGTGTAATCTATCGCCAACAGCATCTCTCAAGTCTATCGTGAGGTCTACATCCTGATCAGCTTCTGCACACCACAATCATAGGATATTGCTCTTACAATGGCATGGCATGGCAACAGTCATGTCCACATTCAGCTGAAGATCTTTCTGCAGATCGTCGTCCACCGCAAAAGCATAGTCTGGATTTCCGTAGAGGTACTCTCCCAAGTCGTTCAAAACGAGGAGGAATATCAAGAACCCCATGACCGCTGTCAACACCCCTCCCCTTCTTGACTTTATCGTATACGTCTCTTCGACCTATACCCGCCTATAGTCAGCTCTGCACTCGTGTAAAGTCAAGGTGAGATGGCGCACCTTTGGAAAGGCATCAAAGCTCTGTATAGGGGCGATCTTGTCCAGCTCATCGAGCAGGGACATGCCCTCGTTCTCATGGGTGCCGTAGTGGTTCGTCGGGTTGACGAGGTGGGGCTCGTACATGGCGGAAAGCGAACCACTGTTTTAATGATTTCAGGGTTGAACTGGGTCGTGCTGGCGTTGCTTTCATGCGCGTTCAAAGCCGCCGGCTGCGAGGCGGAGGGTGCCGCCATACTGTGCGTCTCAAGTTCAACTCTCAGCTGCTCTCAGCGATGCATGCTATCTATGTTATCTCCCAGTAGACTCCTAAGGGAATATCATGTACATACCGTTAACTGAAACACCCAACATGTCCTTCTGATCACCTCTGGTTGCACAGATATTCATCCAACACGACTGCTTCTCTTTACTACTCTGCTTCACAAACTCCTCAGTGAACCGCTTGTAATACAACCATCCGTTCTCTATGGATCTATGACCCGCATATCGATCGTTACTAGATTCAGATTGTCTACAACAGATATCAGTACGTTTTCGGTCTCCAGACATGCAGACACACAACCAATGTAATCGTGTAGCCACGAGTCTTTCGGGGTTGTCGGTCCCACATAGCGACTGCAGACGATCAGCAGGCCATCCATGCCTACCGGAGATCTGCAGCTGGGCCACTCACAACATCACTGTAACCAAGGATTAGCTCGTGTTGACACTACACATTCACAGCGTGACTGACCGTTTTCCATGATCTTGCCATTGGGCTGGTCGTGGTCAGTCTGCCTTTGGCATAGGGATGTGTCAACTTACGAGGTGTAGGTTATAGTACTGTGAGAGGTGGTGAGCGTCGGTCATATACAATGTCCAAGATGAAGTACCTTGAGGTTACTACCGTGAGCCGAATTAGCCGGCGTTCCGAGAGATGCGCCAGAAGACTCACTCTATCGGTGCCCATCTCGCAGCGACAAACATGTGCAGCGTCTTTTCATTCCGTCCGGTCTCTGGGAACCACCATGCTGTCCTACTGTTAGGATGTAAGGATGATGAGAAGGCTACTCACAGTCTCGATACCAGTAACACTCTGAATGTCTCGTGTAGTGTAGCAGGAACGCGTGAAAGTAGACGTCCCATTGTTCGTCCCGTCTGCCATCTCACTCAGCGCCACTTCCTTCGGATGTGATTTACCACTTACACTTCGATCTCACCGTCATCTATCTCCTCTGTAACGGGACTGCCACTGGGCCCGGCGACAGCATTTTCCCCTCTCGACCCCCTGCCCTCGGGTGGGGGCGCCGTCGCGGCCTTTCCCTTGCCCTTGCGCGTGGTTGTGCTCGGGTGTGTCGGCTTGGCCTTGCTTGGGTACTTTTTCCTGTTCATGGTGGCGGCGGGAGATGTCAAGAGATAAAAGAGGAAGAGAGTGAGACACGATTTCAGGGGCTCTTTGTTGGGAAAACGCACAGACCCTGTGGTTGTCAGCGCACGCACACACTTCCTGATCGCTCCCCGCCGCCGCCGCCTCTGGGCTGCACATGCAGCAGACGGATCCCTCAACTGTAAATCACGGAAGCTATGCACTCGCAACTCACAGAATCAGGGGCAGCCTGGGATGTGTAGCCAGCGAGCAGCCCGGCGCTGGTCCCGCGGTCTTGCCCGTAGGTGTGGTACGGCGGCACGGGGCTCTGCGGTTCCTCTGGCCCCTCTGGCTCGCTGGGAGGGCCTCGCTGGTGTCTAGACAAGATTTATTTCCCGAAGAGTCAGCAGCAACTCTCTAGGTTTCGGCGATTGCTGTCACCAAGTTGAAAGACGTCGCAAGATGAAGAAGGATGATCGGCTTCGTTGAAAGAGAAGACTGCCACACGAGAACACGACAACTCACCTGCGTGATGATTTGCCAAACCACTTGGACATGCTCGCAGCACTCGGCTCATAGAAAGTGGATTCAGTAAACATCCCATGCTACACTGCTCGACCTTATATTATGCAACGAGTGGCAAAACGACCCTAACGAACTCTCTGGTCTGCCCTCCCCCGTCACCATCGGCTGAGCTTGTCCCCCCAACATCGCCTGAGTCCTGAGAGATCTGCGGAGAGCCCCTGCCTGACACGATGAGACGTGTGAGACACCTCGATTTCTTTACACCTCTTTAAAGCCGCAATGGAAGTGCAGGCACTGGAGGTCGACCCCGGGAGAAAGTTAGGCACCCATCCCTTCCTGTCCTTTCCGCCCCGCGGAGGCAAATCTGTGCGCATCCTTTCCGTGCGCCACCATCAAAAAGGGCCCATCACGCTAGCCACATGGGCCACTCCAGTCCATCTTCGTCGTGCTGGCTATTGCTCAGGCGCGACATGGCACAGACAAGCCTAGAAGCAGGACAAAGCATGTGCGCCAGGTCAGATGTCAGCGTCATCGAGCTGCGTGATACGGTTAGAGTATACCGCTAACGAGTCAGCGTCCCAAGAAGAAGAGGATGAAGAAGCATCTGTGGTCAACGACACCATTAATGTTTGATCATCATATAGATGTCGAGATCTCGCCTCTGATCAATGTAAATGTATTCCGTGGTATGACGTTGAGGTACGTCGCGGTGATGTTGACTCTGGTCATCAGGGGTATAAGACCTATAAACAACATCAGTCAGTTTCCCGGGTGATGAACTGCGTACAGACTGGACACGAGCACTGCTGTTGGACACGAGCAATCATGGATCCACTGAAGCAAAGTGGACTCGGTTTGGCAAAAGGCACTCACCATGGTGGTCCAGATCCCAGACCGCCATCAATCTTTGACTCTTCCACCCTCTCCCTTTAGCTTGCAGTCGAAGGCATGGAGGTCTGAGACCTGTGATCCCTGTGGAGATGGCTGTCGCTACTCAGTGCTACGGAGAAACGGCCTCAGCCATAATCATAGCAAGAAAGATGTGCATCAAGATCCGGTACCGAGAACCCCCCTGAAGTGGAAGAACTGTCTCGTGTTCAGCTTCTCAAGGATGGGGGGCCTCACTAGTAGCAGAAGAGAGAGTGCCTTGATGTCATACCTGCGCCACTCTTATCCAAAAGCTTACCGCCTCCCCTCGCCGAGCTTGTCATGACTCCCCATACCGTATGATATGATCTGACAATGGCTCGAGAGGGGGAACAGCGTGGGGCTGATGGTAGGGTGCAAGTGGGTTGTTGTGATGCTCTGATATACGCCCCATGCGCTCGTGAATCTTGCGTGCGGGGGGCACCTTGTACGAGCGGGAGTCTATGGGAAAGAGGAATCAAGAATCAGCCTGGGAAGACGGACCACACGCGCCGCAGTAAAGAGGGGACTAGATAAAACAGCTGCCCGTCGGCGTGCATTACGTACACATTACCACGGCCCGGACAACGCAACCAAAAGAGGTGGATAAAGCAAGTTGCATGGGTCGTATGAGTGAGAGGAGCATGCTTCTGGCACCCACTTGACCACAACAGATATGCGCCCAAGCCTGTCTCTTATTGCCATACTCCTCGCCCACGCCACCGCCCAAACAGTCTCCTCTCCACCCCCGGAATCATCCACGCCGGTTGCTGCCCCGACCATCCTCGACAGCTCGACTCTTGTCGAGGAACAGGTATGCTGGGCCGAGCATGATCCTTGGAAATATCTGAAGAGTGGGGATGAGTGTTGTCCGTCCCTCCACTCTGACGCCACGTCGTCTCTGTGGACAGGGGATGTTCCATCGACACCGTCTGAGACGCAAACCTCGTCGGAGGGGGTCATCGGAACGCCGAATGCACAGCACACGCCCTCCCCTGAGGGAGAGGAACCGTTTGTGAGCTTTGAAGAGTGGAAAAAGATGAAGATGGCGGAGGAAGACGCCGAAGACAAGACGACACCGCTCCCGGCCCCTGATCAAGCCACACAGGTGGACACCTCTCAGTCTCCCACAGATCGTGTCTCGTCATCTGGCGCAACGTCAAAGACAGACAGCTTGTCAGTAAAGCATTCAGATGCTTCTTCAAAATCACCCGTACCTTCGGCGGGCGTAAATTCACAGGCTTTCTCTTCCAGCTCCCAGAGCTCGTCCCACCAACCATCGGCCACGCCCTTGACGCATCACCACAACAAATACAACTATGCTTCGCCAGATTGTTCAGCTCGTATCCACTCTGCATCCCCGCACACTCAGCATCCATCCTCACTACTTCACAAATCCCGTGATCGCTACATGCTCACACCTTGTCGAGCCAACGAACACTGGGTGGTCGTGGAGCTTTGTGACGAGATCAGGATTGAAGCTGTCGAAATCGCTGTCTGGGAGTTCTTCAGTGGGGTGGTGAGAGAGGTCAGAATCAGTGTCGGTGGGGAGGATGAAGAGGAAGATGAGGATGATCCCAATGATGATGTGCAAGGAAGAGGTCAAAAGTGGAAAGAGGTTGGATCGTTTGTGGGACGAAACGTTCGAGGCTCGCAGGTACGTTCTCACTAGAACATAGCTGCACTGCTGACTTGTTCCTCCAGACATTCAAGCTCTCATCCCCTACCTCATTCCATCGTTTCATCCGCCTCGATTTCCCTTCATACTATGGCAGCGAATACTACTGTCCCGTCTCGGCGCTCAAGGTCTACGGGATGAACCAGATGGAAGCTTTCAAGTGGGAGCAAAAGCAAATCAGCGCTATAGCGAAAGAGAAGGACCGAAATGGTTATAAAGAAAAGGAGAAGGAGCAAGAAGAGCGGAGGGCGAGAGAGAGGCAAGAGAAGGAGAAGAAAGAAGTGGAAGAGAGGGATAGGCAACAGCAGAGGGAGAAGGAGCTGGATGCGTTGGAGAAGCTGCTGCATGAGCAGGCTGGGCGGCTGAATCCAGATACCATGACCGAGTCTGGGCTCTTTCCTACCGTCGTGGAAGAAAAGCCTTCCAGGCCTTCGGCCCCTGAGACTGCCGTCCCCGTTTCGTCTGATCCCAAGGCCATAGAGAACGAGACAGACACTCTCTCCGACGCTTTGTTGTCAAGTGTATCGTCAAGTGTATCAACATCACAAGAATCATCCGAGTCTTCGTCTACTACGCCTGGCGAGACATCTTCCACCACTCCCTCATCCAAACCATCAGACTCGCCGACTACCCCACCGTCCTCAACAACCAGCACGTACACCCGTTCCCCTCCCCCTCGTTCCGACTCGTCCGAATCCATCTACGCTTTCATCATCCGCCGGCTCAACGCCCTCGAAGGCAACTCGTCCCTCGTTGCGAGATATATTGAAGAACAAGCCAAAGTGATGCGGTCTATGTTGAAGAGGGTAGAGACCGGGTGGGAAGAGTGGAAAGGGGACTGGGAGGGTGATGATAGGTGGAGGTGGCAGCAAGAGGTATGTGATGTCATTGTACGGACTGGTACTCGTATCTGACCTGACATAGCGTATGAGGCAGGAGGACAGATTGGGCAAGGTCATGTCTCAACTCGAGCAGCAGAGGGCTGCTTTTGAAAATGAACGCAAAGCCATACAGACACAACTCAGAGTCTTGGCTGATGAGGTACGTGGTCATGGTTTCCGTTGGACGAAGCTTACGTCTGAAACAGCTGAGCTATGAGCGTCGCAGGGGTATCGCCCAGCTCATAGTCATGATCACTGCTATCGTTCTTGGTGTGGCCTCACAAAGCCGTACCATCGACGCGTTTATCAGCCCTCTCCTCACCGAAGCCCGCCGTCGAAAGAACATTTACGACCGAAAAAGCATATCTGGCCCTCTGACGGGTCTTCGGATCGACATGGGTGCTGGACGACCCCCTGCTATCATCGGCCAGCCGCGGCCCCGCGCTCCCTCGGACTCTGCACCAGGAAGATCTCCTGCTTCTCCCACTCCCACACCCAAGGTCAAAGGTCTTTCCCGGCACGGGTCCAGCTCCACTTCCAATCGCCGCCCGATCACGCCAGGCAAGAAACGCGCCCCACAATTGGTCACACCAGCCTTCCGCTCAGTTTCTGATGCGCGTTACGACTTTGCCTCACCCATTGCTTCTGCATCGATCACAGCTTTGGATGCTGCTGCCAGTCTGGTATCGCCCAGGCCCAGAGTGAGCTTTCCGGGCAACCCGAGGGCGCCGCCAAGGAAGCTTGCTAGGAGCTCACATCTGCATACAATGGAGGCTGATCGAGTGCGGGGACAAGTGCAGAGTAGTGGATATGATGTGGACGGGGGCAGTGCATTGGATGTCGTAAAGAGGCGGAGGCCGAGGTCGTCTTTGGCCAACGGAAGTATCATCACTGGAAGCCCGGGATCTCATCATGGGAACGACGAGAATGACGCAGTGTCAGATAGAACAGTGGAAGATAGTCAAGGGGAATGGGGAACCGAGACCGATCTCGAGACTGAAGCGTCAGCTTCGGAGATTGATAGTGAAATGGACAGGGGAGCGGAAGGGGGGCCAGGTATATCCCAGACACCGCCGAGCTATCCTGGGGTGTTGTTGGAAAAGGGGGCAGAGGTGATATCGAGAGAATAGAACTCGGATTATCGCAGTAGAACAGTCATATCACTGAGTGTAGCTCAAGGCATATAACTTGCAGAGCACATCGGTGGCTCCAGAGCTCAAGACTACATCTTATACATACAATCATACAGTCTTACAGTCTATAAATATCTCCACTATCATCCGCACTTGCCACCTTTAGTACGATGTACCTGTACAGTGCGGTTGATACAGCAGCGAGAAGGAACATTATATCAAACAATCTACCAAACACTCTAAAGTCTGGTAGTGTTGCTAGAAGGGAGTCGCCTCGGGTATTGGCTGGAGCCGCTGGGAAGGGGTCTATTTGAGTGCCGTTGGGATACATGGAAGGATCAGCCTCGGGCAGAGTTGGAGGGAGGGAGGTGCGAAGTTGTATGAGGAGGGAAATGACATATGTTGACTGCAATTCGGTTAGCTGGGTACCAATCGGACTCCCAGGCCACTCACAAACAACTGTCCCAGGCTAAGCACCAGGAACCCTGCCCCAACAGTCTTACTCGTCAATCTCAAAATCTTACTCAAACTCCTCAGAATCTGTGCCAAACTCGACAAAATCAAAATTCCCGTCAGGACAAGAGATATCCCACGACTCCAAGTCGGGACATCGATATCGGCGAAGCCTTTGGGAAGCTTGCTGATGGCAAGGGCAAGAAAGAAGGAGATCCAGTCACCATTAGTGTTGCCCTTGCCTTCTGTAGGGGTTTCGCCAGAATCCTGTTCGGCTGTACGAGGGGCGTAGAAGAGCGAAGGCAAGCACTGGTAGTCGTTAGCGGTTGAAGCAGATACACGATTGTATGGCTCACCATCAACAGTCGAGCAGCACAGTAGACGGCAAAGACGTATCCGACCAGATTGTACACCTGGCCTCTGTAGGTGTGCCCAAAATCTTGCCGTCTCTGGCAATGTAGTCAGCACAGTCATCGACATCTCTTTCGTCTTACCTTTCGGACTTTCATGGCTTTGAGTGATCTTGCGACTTGGGACTCCATGGCCGCCAACCCTCCCAGTTCGGCCTGAAGAGAGGCCACTGATCCAATGTCAGATGTGTCATAGTAATCGCGGTATATGAACTCACCCCGCCCATTCTCACCGCCGAACATCCTTCCCATCCATCCCCCAGAGCTGCCGCTGACAGGCGCATATCTCTCCACCTCTTCTTTCTTGCTGATCAGATCTTGCCTCACTCTGTACAATGATCGCTCCGCTTGAAGGAGATCATTGTCTGTCAAGCTCTTGCCCCCAGCTCGGTGATGCTCGAAGAAATTCCAGGCAGTACGCACAGCACCAAATCCGGAAAGGCCGCCGAGGACGACAATGCCCAGCACCACTACTCGACCCAAGCTAGGAGCTAGCCAGCCGCCCTGCTCCCAGCCCTCTGGACCAGAGGTGGACCATTGCACGATGGCTTCGTCCAGTGTAGCAGCCGTGGCCGAAGGATCATCCACATCTAAGGAGGGAGAGGGCTCGGGTTGGGAAAGAACGAGGGGGACAGCGGTGATGTACGGAGGTATGCGGGTGAACAGGAAGATATAGAGAGAAAAGGGGATCAGGGAAATGATGAGACGAGTGGTAAAAGAGATTGAGGTTGATCGGGAAGGAGAGGTTGAAGCTGTGCTGGACTCTGCAAATGTGTCAGTGGTTCAGTGTGCCATGCCTCAACCTCACTAACCTTTTGTTCGGTAAGTCAGAAGGAGGCATTGGACCAGGGGTATCACAACGAGCACGATGGCAAGGATAACGTGCAGAGATACTGAAAAGTTGACCTGCCGAGACCTTGAATCTTGTTAGCGAGTTCCGGTCACTTTTGGCTTTGAGACTTACTTGGAATGCAGAAGGCCCAAAGAATGAAAGAGGACCAAGCTGATCAACGTACAGCTTTCTGCAAAGCAAACAGAGAACAGAATTCTCGACATCCGATGCAAACCCTTAGTGGTCTTTTTCAGACTTTTGGTCCCCTTGTCGTGACTTCTTCCGTGACTCAATTGCAGGACCTTCTTGCTCACTCCTGAGCTAGCATCCTTCAACTTCTGTCCGATGAGGTGTAGTTCAATGTTGTCCCCTGTCTGGTTGGGCAGATTGGGGAGGCTGCTGGACGAAGACGGGTAGTCATCGCGTCTCGATTCGCGAGATGAGGATGCGAGTGTGGCCGTGAACGGTGCTGGGGAGGAGGGGTAGGATGATATGGGCGTGTTGTCATCCGTCTCCATGTAGTCCGAGTCTATCCCTAAAGGCGCTGCCCGTCGCGGGCGGTCGCCATCCTGAGGTATGGAGGCTGTGGCCGGTAGGATTGTCTCTGGCTGCGAGATATCACGGAGAGTGGGGTTGATGGTGTAGGTGAGGAATTTGCGGGACAGCAGAAAGTAGAGGATGCGTAGGAGGAGGAGGAGGAAGGTGTCGAAGAGGATTGGCTGGTCCATTCTATGTCGAGAGCATTGCAGGTTGTAGAGGCCAAGTCAGAATTCAGCGATTCAAACGAATGTCCGCCGGAACGCGTCGCGGTGACTGCCGTGCCTGGCGAGAATATCACCATGTTTGTGGACTGCTCATTTATCGTGGCGGGGCTTTGTTGAGCCTAGCATCTATGCATGAACGCTATCTACTGTATGACTATACAAAAATTCTAGATCAAGAGTTTTATGTACTGTTCTCGTCCAGCCCCCATCTGTTTACTGCTCTCCCAGACCCTTCCATTCTAGGACCTCCAGCCACTCTCCTACATCCGCCACTTTGCCCAAAAAATCCTTTGACCACTCCTGTAAGGCCTCTTGTGAAGGCTCATAATCTTCTGGATGAACAAGCGCAAACATCTCTTCGGTGGAAGATACAGGGGGCGGAGTAAGACCAGAGGAGGCGCTGGATGCATCGTCTTCTGCTGTTGCCTGCTCCCGGCGGGTGGGAGACGCAGGTACGGCGGCAAGAGATGACGCTTCAAGCTTGGACTTGGTCGAGCTTTCCTTCCCTTTCCTCTTCTTAATCTCCTCCGTTTTTCGATCGAACTTCCACTTGAGCCACGTATGCAGCTCTTTCACCTCCTTGGCACGCCCAAAATGGGTCCACCGTCGAACAGAAGAAGGTAAGTTGTCCTCTTCACTCACACGACCTTCTATCGCGGGACCCCAGACGATCAGCCCACTGCCCCACCCAACAGGAGGTCGAGTATCGTCGGTGACGGGGCGATGACTGAGAGCGTAGTAGATACGGCCATCGAGATCGGTACCAATAGATTCGAAACGAAGGCAAGCGAGGTGCAGCTCGGCGCGAAGGTTGACGTTGGCTTGAGCAATGCGTAGCTTGTGCTGTTGAAACTCCTTGTTCGTCTAAACAATATGTCAGTAGGATCCGATTGGCCATCAACTGCCACTTACCCGTGTGGTGTTGGCCTTGGTCTCCCCAGCAGTTTTGCATTTGATCCTTTCCTCGGATAGCTTCTTCTTGCGCTCCTCCCATGCATTGACCTCTTTCTTCGTGGTGTTTCCATGCTCTCGTCTGGCCTTTGTCTCGACGGCAAAATTCTCGATATTTCCCCTCATCTTTGGCGTTGTAAGCGCCCTTTCCGCCAAAGATAGCAACATCTTCACCACCTCCGCAGGCTCTGGTACTTTGGATGCGCCTCGCCGGGAAGGGGCCGCAAAGCCGGTAGTCCAGACAGGGGCTGGGGAGTTCTCGTCGAGATCAAGGAGGCTCCGAAGACCAGCTTCATCATTTTGGGCACGGCAGTCGATGGGGGCGACCGGAAGGCGAAGGTTCAGAGGTTCGGAAAGAAGGTTGAAAATGGCTGCAAATCGAACGAGGTCTGCGTAGTATCGGAGTTCTTCTCGAAAGTTGAAGAGATCTTCAAGAATCTATCGAAAGACTCAGTGGGTGTTCAGGCTCATGACCTCAAAAATGACTCACGTCCTCGTTGTCGTCGGATTTCTTTGCGTCATATTCCTCTTTGATCATGTCGAGGAACGCACCCGAGAACAGCCTGACATTGGCCTCGGTAATCGGTCTATCAAAGTCGTCCAGCGCAGGCAGCGAGCGATCGGGTATAGAAAGGACAGATCTGAAGCGCCACAACAGTTCCCGGAGCTAGAATCACATGAGCGATGGCTCACCAGTCGAGACATAAGACTGACCGCCATGCGCTGCTCCGCTTCATCGAAACTCAATCGTGTAGCAATCTTCTCAAAGATTGGAGGTGTCGGCTCAACCTTGGGCTTCCTCACTGTCTTGGGCTTTGGTCCTACCTTCTTCTTGGTAGCAGGTGGTGCCTTCTTATCCTTTCCAGCCGCCGCCTTTTTTGTCTCTGCCTTGCCGCCAGCTTGGGTCCCCTTCGCCGGTGCCTTCTCTTTGCTCGCCGAAGCTTTTACGCCTTTCGGCGGCTTCGGTTTGGCGACAGATTTTTCCGTGGGCGTATTGTCTGATTCTAATCCGGAGAGATCAGAGTCTCCGTCCAGAATGCCGTTCGCCTTGTTGGCGCTGGGTTTAGCGATGTCGTTTGCCGGCTTGACTCCTTTGGACCTATGAAAACGAGTTAGAGACATACAGAAATGCTTCACGGATTCTCACGTTGACTTTCTCGCAGCTTGAGCTGTATTGATGACATTGTCAGCTCACCAACGCACATGTGTTGAATCATCGTGACGACGCGACTTACGCTTTGCTGGCGCCTTGTTTTTCGAAGCAGTACTCGCCCTAGGTTTCTTGGACTTGGTCCCTTCTGATGGCTTGTCCTCCGGAGAAGCTTCCCTGGCGTGCTTCTTCCCGGCCACCTTAGCAGGTTTCTGGCTGCCGCGCCCGTCGGACGAAATCGAGCTAAGTGAGCTGCTGGCGCGAGCCCCGTTGGTGGTAGAAGATGGCTCTGTGGTCATCAAGTATCCAGTAATGTCTATACCCCAAGGACAAGACTTAATTCTCGATGAATTGGAAAACAGTGGAGGAAGGTGGAACATGAGATTGTTGATAGATTGGGACGCGTTCCGGCCATCGAGACGCGTCCTTGACGTCGGCACCCCCACTTAGAAGTAGTGGCGGACTGGCGATAAGTTGAGTGATCATTTTCTGTCGCAGATCTGTGTAATCCTAGATGCACCGATATTCTTGCTTGAAATGACCGCACTTATTTGGGCCCTTGAAGAAGAGCTGCCGAGCTGGCTAGGAGCTGGACACAGGCATCAATCTCGGGGGGGTCGCAGACTCAATTATTCAAACCACTTATCGACACTAGTAAGGTTATGTGTCTCTTATTTCCTATTTCCTATCTTTCTGTTGAATCATGAGGAGGCTCAAACATTGCAATCCATACAAAAGATATTCACAGTTATATATGACAAGCAGACAAAAAAGACGTAGCAAAGATATACAATACTCGTGTGGTCAAAGACATATACAAAGAGGTTAGATTGAGCATTTGGGGTACAACTCATATTGATAGAAACGTGATGGGAAATGATACAGACTAGATCACAATCAGTCTCTACTCCTCGGCGAGCTGCATGAGACCCGCAATGGTCCCGATACTGCCCAAGGCAGCGCCAAGCACTACAAGCCCCATAGCCTGCGCCACGTTCCTCCTCTTCGCGGGAGGTTGAACCACCTTGTCATCCTGCGCGATGGCAGTGTTCACCTCGATGACGGAAGATTCGCCAGGCGTCTCGGTAGGCACCTGGACAGACGCGAGACGCTTGAGCTGCAGCACAGGCACGAGGTCTTCGTCTTCCTCATCATCCTGGGGCAGGGAACGTTTCTGGCCGATGATGGGAGTGAGGATACGATTGGAAGCGGGACTGCTCGTGGAAGGGGTAGCAATTGGATCGTTGATAGCGGCGAGATCCGCGGCTGTTGTCCGAGGTCAGGTGTGGGGTTGAACGATAGCGAGACTGCTTACCTGGCTCGAGGGTGTCGGGCGCGTCAACGTCAATAGCTTCAACATACTGGGTGGGAAAAGGCGCGTCCTCGTCGTCCGACTCCTCCTCAGCCCCAGACTGTACATCTCTGTCGTCATTCCTAGCCTCAGATTCGGACTCTTGCTGCACGCTTTCATCTTCACCTTCACCCTCATCTTCATCTTCATCCTCAGACTCGGCCTGGGAAGCCACTTCGGGATCTATAGACCGCTCATCAGTATGTGTCACAACAGGCTGAGACCAATACTCACCGGAACCAGCGTCCGCACCCCTCTCGGCAGCTCCTCGCATATACTCGGCAAGTTGCTGATCATCGAGACACTCCTCAGGGCCACGATAGATATCGGGCAAGCTTGTACCAAGCCATTGAAGCTTGCTCTGCTTGGAGTTGGGTTTCTTGATATCCTTGCCGGTGATAGCTCTGAGCAAGTCGCGCTGCTTCTTGACCGCCTCATGTTTACTCGCATCAATCTCGCTCTCACCCTCACTCTCGCTCTCGCTCTCGCTATTGCTCTCACCTTCACTCTCACTAGCGCTGGACTCTTCGTCGTCCACCGCACTGTCCTCGGACTCGTAGCTCGTGTCGGATGGAGCATCGCTCACCAACCCTTCGTCTTGGTCATCGGAAGCAGCAGAGAGGGGCTGTTCTTCGTCCCCCGTGGTGACCCCGCTTTCCTCTTCTCCTTCGCTGAGTACCTCGTCCCCACCGGTCGCGGCAAAGTCGGCATTGCTCTGTACCGGCGCTTGGTCCTGCTCGGAAGGCCAACCGTCAGACATTGCGTCGTCGAAAGCGTTCTGTCCCTCGGGCTCGTGCTGGGGTGCCACGGGTGCCTGTGTCGGCTCGGCTTCATCCCCAGACTCGGACTCGGAATCTTCAACAGAAAAGGCAGGAACGGACTGTGCCGGGAGGATCTCGGAAGCCAAGAAAGCAGCAAGGTCGGAAGCGCTGACCTTTGCAGACTGGTTGACCTCGGTGTCTTCGGCATACTTGTCTTGCTCGACGGCAGCGCGTTGTGCAGTGGCCTCGAATTCATAGTCGAAGACGCCTTCAGAGTCGAGACCCTGAAGAGCATGACAATCGGCGAAGGGGGCTGGCGAAGACTGATAGTCATCAAAGAGAGACTTGCCCTGAAGGGAGCCGTCGCGTTTGCCACGCCCTTCAGCTTGGTTCAAGATGCTACTGAGGCTGAAAGGGGACTCCTTCGAGAGAGAGGCATTGAATTCTTTCTCAGGACGAGCGGCAGGGACAATCTTGGGGGAGTATTCGGGGGAACTTTGGCGAGATGTGAAACTCCCAATGACTTCCCTGACGCCCTGTACCTCTGGACCATCCTGCTCATTGTCGTCTTCGTCCTCGCTGGCAACCACGTCGCCCTCGAGAGATACATGAGCAGTACCGCGAGGATAGTCGTCATCGCCACCCTCGTCGTCAGAATAGAGGATGCTTTGAGATTTGGCGACACGTTGAAGCCCAATGTCCTCGTTGTTGGGGATGGCGACAATGTCGTCCCCGTCCTCATCGCTGAGGTCGGCAGCATTCTCATAACGAGCATGAGAGATGGGCGCCTCGCTGGCATACCTCATCCAAGCGGGGATACCGTACTTGGAGCTCTTGTCGCCTTCAAGCATCTCGATATCGTTCTCGTCATCTGAATCAATGACGACTGGGGCATCATTGATCTTGCTGACGTTCTTTTCTAAGAGAGGGGTCTGTGAAAGAGCAAGGAACTTGCCTGTGCAATCTTCTGGAGTAAGTTTTCCAATTGACTTGCGAGTGCCCTTGTCGCTGCCTTTACCGAACACCGGTTGAGCAAAGACCACTTGAAGCTTGAAGGGCGTAAACTCCTTTCCGTCTGCATAGACGTCTTTGCCCAGTACGATAGTGTCGTTCTGGCACAGCTGGATAGGCGAGTAAGGGTCGAGCAAGACCAGCTCGCTAGATCCGGCAGGAAGGATTGACGTCCCGTGAAGGGATGAGAGGTCGGTGATGTAGACATGACCGTTGGTGGACATGGTGAGCTGCGCGTGAGCACGGGACAGTATAGGCGAGATGAACACCTTTGGACATGGTCAGTAGTGAATCTCGCCATGCCCAGGAAAGAATCGTACTCCGCTCTCGCCATGCTCTTTGGTTTGGCTGCTCTTCCGCCCCAAGATGACGCCGCCGTGCACCAGACCCGCAGGCTTCGTGGGCTTGCCGTCTTTGGTAGGGATGTCTTTGGTATCGGTGCACGCGAGCTTGGCGATGCTGAAGTTGCGCGGGGTGGTGGTGCTCGCGTTGATGGACCTTAGCTGGAGAAACCACGCTGAGAAGGCGATTAGCTGTGGTTCGCGGGAAGCGGGTTGGATAAAGGATGGACAAAGGAATAGGTGGATGGGATGGGTGAGTACATGGTGAGATGAGTCTTGAGGGGAAAGAACAAGGCGGGCGTTCTGCAGCACGCGCGGGGCGAGATACGAAGCAGTATAGCTTACCATTGGGCGTGTTCTCATGGGAAGTCGGCGGGAGGGCCATGTCAGTGGCAAATGAGCGGGGACGCGCTCCTGGATGGATGTACGGGGGCGCTGTGTTGTCTGGGCTGTGCTGGTGTACAGCAATGTGTGGGTGGCGAATTGGGATACTGGTACAACGATGGAATGAGAGATGGACCACTGATGGCGATTATCGACCCGCAACACCAAGTCACGTGCTCAGTAGATAAGGGTTTACATAATGGCAAAGGTCTCTTTGGCTCTTTGCATGACAGGAGATGTACTTGGAGAGACTGCTAGGACATCGGGAGAGCAGAGAGAGGGACGGCCATGATGCTATAGAGTAGAGTTGAAAGACTGCAAGAGGGGATGAGCGCAGCTGGCCGGGTGGCCATGCCGCCTTGTCAGTCAGCCATTTGCCTGGTGGTACGCACAATGACCCGCGGCCACCTCCATCCTGCTCCCCCTCTCGTTGACCGTATCGCCCTGATCTGTTGATGCTTGTACAAAGAACCAAACATCGATACCATAAAAAAGCTCGATAGGCGCGCCACTTGCGGACATCTCGGCATTAGTAAAAGTGGCGCTCTTTTACACCAGTTGTAATTCGCTGCCTTGCCCACCGCTGTTTACGTGTCTCTCCCCTCTCCGCCCACACCCCAGCGCCATGTACGCCCTCAACAGGCTCGCCAAGAGCCAGCCCGCCCTCAAAAACGCCACCGGCCTCCTCAAGCGAAACGCCTCCACCACCTCTGCCGGCGGTGTCAATGTCATCGGTTTCGAGAACAAGGGGCCTGCTGCCACCTCCAGCTTGACCGTCGCCATCAAGGCCGGTTCCCGATACGAGACTGTCCCCGGTGTCGCACACGTGTTGAAGAGCTTTGCCTACAAGGTGGGTTGGGGGAAGAAATACGGAGCGATATGCAGGGAAAAAGGGACCAGGAGCTGATTCGTCGACAATTTCCTAGGCTACTGCCAATGCGTCTGCTTTGAGAACAGCGAGGGAGGCCGAGCTTTACGGTGGTGTCTTGTCCGCTTCCCTCACCAGGGAGCACCTTTTGCTCTCTGCTGAGTTCCTCAAGGGTGACGAGTGAGTGCGCGTCAGATTCACCTCGATCGCGAATAGCTAAACCTGTCTCGCAGGGAACATTTCCTCGGTGTCCTTGCCTCTGTCCTCGGATCCTCCCAGTTTTACCGACACGAGCTCAACGAGCTTGTCCTCCCCGTCGTTGAATCAGAATCCTTGACCGCCCAGGCTTCCCCAGTTGCCGTCGCCCTCGATCTCGCCCACACTGTCGCTTTCCGACGAGGTCTCGGTAACTCTCTTTACGCCAACAAGAACTACCCCGTAACCATCAATGACGTCAAGCAGTACGGCGAAGCTGCCTTTGCCAAGTCCAACCTCGCCGTTGTCGGCACTGGTATCTCCACCGAGGCCCTGGCCCAGGCCGTCAACAACTCTTTCGGCTCTGGCTCCAGCTCTGCTTCTCAGCTCGCTACCCCCGCCGCCCAATACTATGGTGGCGAGGCCCGAGTTCCCCTCGACATCCACGCCCCTGCCACCTCCGTCCCCACCCTCGTCATCGCCTTTGGCACCACTTCCCCCGCTACCGCCGACCTCAAGGTCCTCAAGCACCTCCTCGGTGGTGAGACTTCCGTCAAGTGGACGCCCGGCGCTTCTCCCCTCTCCAAGGCCGCTGAAAAGATTCCCGGATCTTCCGCCAAGGCTTTCCTCCTCCCTTACTCTGACGCCGCTCTCTTTGGTGTTGTCGTTTCCGCCCCCACAAGTGCCCTTGTCAAGACTTTGGCTACCGAGGTTGCCAGCATCGTCAAGAACGCTGGCGAGGCCAAGGAGGAGGAGGTGAAGAGGGCTGTGGCCAAGGCTACTTTCGAGGATGCCTCTAGCACCGAGTCCTTAGCTGGTCTCGTTGCCGCTGCTGGTCCCGCTGCTCTTTCCGGCTCTGCCCCTGCTTTCGAGTCTTTCTCTGGTGTTTCTGCTTCTTCCGTTTCCAAGGTATGTCTTTGCGTTTTGGTAATGCTGTTGCTGATGATTGTCTCAGGCCGCTGCTCAGTTGCTCAAGTCTAAGCCTACTGTCGTTGGTGTCGGAAACATTGCCGTGCTTCCTTACGCGTGAGTCTTGGAAGTACTGATTTGCACAAATGCTGATATGGTCACAGCGATGAGCTCGGTCTCTAAGACTGAGGGGAATGAGGGTTAGAAAATCATAGTCATGGCATTTTAGATTGTATGAAGTGCACATGACTCGGGCTATCATTTTACATGGGTTTACAACATGATGTAGGGATATAATCACAATGGGTATCATGTGGCGCCGTAGAATCTGACAGCGGCTTCTTCCACACTGTGGAATTGTCAGTCGGGTTACGAGAAGAAGGGTAGAGACTTGCCGTTGCTTGACCAACATCATGACACCTTGCTGCACCACACCCTTCACAAGCTGCCCCTCCAGTCCGATATAGAGGCCCTTGATACCTTCCTTCCCCACCCTGTCTTTGAGCACCTGCAAGATCCCTCCCTCTTGCGCCTTTTCCTTCCCCTTCACAGATCCTGACTGGTCTAGCACCTTGACCAATACCAAAGGGTAGAGAGGAATCGTGGCTAGGGCATTGGATAAAGCGCCAAGGAAGAAGGTGATGTATCCTGGTGGATGGGCACGATGTCGCGCGGGCACGATCGCTTTCAATAGCACAGAGTGGATATACAAGGTCAACGAAGGTAAGAGAGTGAGAGGAATGGTGGGACCAAAGCCTCTGAATAGTCCCGCCAGCCCGTCATCGGCGTAGATCGTCTTTAGCGTGTCGAGCATGGAACGTGTGTTGGCCTCGCCATACTCGTTCACTTGCTGCCGAACGCAGACTGTAGAGATGGGGAGTGTCACGCCTTTGGAAGTGATACCGGCGAGGATGCCGATGATGAGCTCTTCGAATGGCTTCGCTTTGTTGCTGGCTGTTGTATCGGAAGCTTTCCCTGATAGACCACCGATACCGGCAGGGGACGATCCGGCCTGATATACAGCACGTCGAGCGCGGTATTGGCTTAGTGCTTTCTGGAGGGTGGTGTAGGCAAAGAAATAGAGGAAACTGGAGAGGAATGTGGACAGTGTGTCGGCCTCGAGGCCGTCATATACTCTGGAAAAAGCGTTACGGCGAGAGAGAAGGCGGTGAAGAGTCAATATAAGAGTCACTGAGATCATCAGCTCGGTTATCAGTCTGATGCATTGGTGCGCACATCGCTTGCCAGGAGATCGTTTGGCGTCATTCTGCATACGGGTGGTGGCGACATCGAGGGGGTAGACAATGGCGTTGCCGACCGCCGAGCTAGATAAATGTGTTGGTGATCAAGCAATGCGAGCACAAGAAACTCACCCTACTGCCCCCGAGGAGGCCTGGAGCAATGGCGGGAGTTTTGTCTGCATCTAGAAGTTGCCAGAGTAGACTGGCTAGCCCAGTGAACATGAGACCGGCGATGCTTAAGCGGGGAATCCTGTCGGCGGCCGGGAGATGATACCTGGGCGGAACTCGCCGGGCTGCGATAAGGACGACGATGGGGATGTTGCTGTTGCCCGCTTCTCCTGGCGACGAGGGTATCTCGGCAGCGCAGTCGGGTCGGAGGTCTGTCTCTATGTACCCCCACCGTCTCGCACCCGGGCACCCCTATTGCCCACTGACCCTCTCGCTGTTTCAGCCCACGCTAACGGTCTTGGCAACACTCTTCCCGCTCTGATAACCCCAGCCAAGGCGTATATAACCCCCACCAGCTTCTTTCGCCCCGTGCTACTAAGCAGGTGGCAAGTACTGGATACTGACCATCACAATGGCCTCTCCCCTCCGCCCAGCTCTGCGGCACAGGTCCCAATCCCACATCTCCTTCCTCCCAGACGACCCCGCCGTTCCTTCGCACTCGCACTCGCAGAGCGACACCTTGTCGCCATTGAAAGGGCCGTCGGGATGGAGAAATACCTCGCCTCAGAAGAAATGGCATGTAGTCATCGAATTTGGCGGAGAATTCGTGGTCCGCGAGCAGATGCGGAAAGAGTTTGACGACGACGGCGGTAGTGTGTTGGCGGTGCTGCAGGCCACTGTAGGATCTTTCATTCTTTCCTTAATCAAGTACTGACACATACCTCAGCCGCATCAGCAACTTGTCCATCTCCTCCCCCAGCTTCAACTGCCCTCTCCCCTCGGGCTCTTCTTCACTCTGGTCATTCCCTATCCGAGCGCGCGCAAAGCTCCCAAAGTCACCGACAGCCTTTGGCCCACCCTCTTCTCGTCCCATCTCATCCCCGACCCCTCACTTCCTATGACCCACTCCAATCCATCTTATGACTGTTTACCAATAGCAGCAACACTCGGACTGAAAGTGGACAAAGACCTAGCGAGGTGGTGGAATGGATGGTTGAGGGAGGGCGAAGATGGTTTTGGGGTGGGGATGAACCTGGGTATAAGCTCGAGGATGGCAGATGCGGAGAGAAAGAGGGTGGACAGTATACGCAGTGTGAGTATGGAACGGGTTATCGACAGTGAGGCCACCAAAAACGACCGGCAAGAAGACGCTTCTGTCTCTGTCGAGGTCGTCTCCCTGCCTGCTACGCTTGCCCCCCGGCCAGCCAGCTTGTCTCAACAGCCACTCAAAGTGCAAATAGGCGGCTTTGCACCCAGCCTCCGGCCTTCCCCTTCCCGGGAGATTTCTGAGCCTGACCTTGCCCCTCCGGAGCCATCGAATCCTCCGCCTGCTGCTCGAGAGATTCCAGCACCTCTGGAGATCTTTGACCTTCCCACATCTCCCGCAGATGATTCGGAAAGTTCGCACGACAATGGATACACCTCCTCTGTCCCCTACTCTCCCACGCTTTCCCCTCCTGCCCCCGAGGCGCTCGCTTCTCAGCCTTTTCTTCAAGACCTTCAAGGTATGCTCGAAGGCGTTCAGAAGGAAAAGAAGAACCTCACGGTCAAGGTTACCAGCGATGTGCCGTGGGCAGACCTGGCCAGTGCGGCGTTGTCGGAAGCGACGAGCTGGGGTCCTCCAGACACTCCTTCCCCTGTCATCTCTCCCCGTCCGCTCACCCCTCCCATTGCGGCTTCTGCCGAACCCATCATCACTCGCGAGACTGAGATTCACCCTCACGCCCCTCACCCCGAACACCACCCTACTGGTCACAGACATCATCCGGCATGGACCTTTCTACCCCGGGGTCCGGTCGAGGCGAGACCATGGGAACACAACTGGCCATTTTATAGAAGCCAGGATGTTCCAGAGCCGGAGGGTCTTTCCCAGTTCCCTCGAGAGGCGCATGGGCACGTCCAGGTTGAAGAAGAGCAGGCGGTAGAAGTGGAACAGGTCATTGAGATGGAGCGTGACATCCAAGTTCAGCGCCATCTACCCAGCTCCAACGTGGCGCATCATGAGCCTGATTCGAAAGACGCCAAAGGACACGGGCATAATCCATCCTGGACGTTCCTCCCTCGTGGTCCGGTAGAAGCCAAGCCGTGGGAGCACAACTGGCCTTACTATAGAAGCCAAGACGTCCCAGAACCGGAAGGGTTGAAACAGTTTCCGCGAGAAGAGCACGCGCCTGTTCAAGAAGAAATCAAACTCGTCGTGACCCACGAGAAAGAGCAGGTTGTCGAAGCCAGTCTTCCCGATCTGGCGTCGCCCCAAATGTCTGCTTTCGCCAAACAACAAGCTTTCGCAAGCCCCCAGGCGCCTCTTTCTCGCGAGCTCGTCAATGAAGGGCTGGACACGGCGAGCGAATTCGGGGTTGACGCAGGCCATTTCCCAAGCCATAGAGTGGCCGAGTCAAACGGGGAAGAAGAAGAGAGCGATGGCATCGAAGGGTTCGATATCATTACCCCTTTCCAGGAACCGTCATCTGTACTCAGAAAGAAGCCTGAGGATCTCAACTTTGTCATACCCAGTCGGCAGTTTGTTCGAGAAGACTACATCCCCGACACGCCTTCCTCCCCTTTCGACAGCGACAGCTCGCAAGAAGAAGAATTCGAATCCGCCGATCCAGGGGGTGCATTGATGGATATGATGGCTCCACTCTCTCGGGTGTTGGCGGCTGTTGATCCTGTCATGCATGCCAGAGCCCCGTCGCTGGGGACGCTCCTCGATGTTATTGAGGAAGCCGAGGACAGCTCTGTAGAGTCGCCTCTGGTTCCGAGAGGTTCGGCGCTGCCCGAGGTGCGAAACATCCAGACGACGGTGAAGCACGCGCCTTCACATGAGGAAGATACGGAGACATTCGAAGGGACGGTCGTGAGTAGTGAGATGGAGACGTGGGAGACGGGCGTGGTTGGTGAAGCGGAAGTGCATACTATGAGTGGGCAAGAGGTGCCTAGAATAGTGGAGAATCGCTCAACCGAGGTGGAGCAGCGAGACCTAGAATCAAGGAGTACAACTCCGGAGGAGCAACCCCTTCCGCCACCACCATACGAGCCCATGTTCAACCCTCTCCCTCGGCAGGCCATAATGGGGCCATTCCCACAGATCACTCCCCGCCCTCCATCCCACTTGTCTTCTCCCAACCTCGTCAACCAGATGTCGCCCAGTATGGCGTCTCCTTACTCTAGATCCAGTGTAGGGTCGCTACCAGACCCGCATGTGAGGTTAGATCCTCAAAGGTCTAACGAAGGCCGGCCGATGTCCAGGGGTATGACCGGGTTGGATCCCGGGCAGAATATGCGCCCGACGCCTCCTTCGTTCCACGCAGACTCGTCCGACTCGGAAGAGGAGAGACGGGTAGAAGTGGGGGAGCAAGACGAAATCCCACAGACGAGGAGGAGCATCTTCCGACCACGTTTCGGTCGCTCTCAATCCCACTATGACACGTCCACCTCTTCTACTCCTGTCCACGCCCCTCGGTCGTCCTCCATCTCCAACCTTTCCTCGGTCAACATCTACCGCTCTTCTGCCGCCTACGAAGGTGCACGGGACAGCACCTTCTCTCTCGCATCCGTCACTTCTACATCATCAAAGGCGCCGGCAAGGCCGCTGAAGAGGTTGAGTCAGAGTGTGTCGGGTTTTTCAGGGGCCCAAAGCGTGGAAGCGGATGGGGCCTTAAACGGTCTACGCCCGGCGATGAGTGAGTTTGGGCATACCTAAAGATATTATCTTCTGCTGACATCATATAGTGAGTTTGAGGGATTCGAGCATGTACGTTGAAGGAAAGGGTTACCCGTACCTTGAGATCTGTGAGTCAGACCGATATCAAAGAGAATCGGGCTGACAGCAAGAAGACCACTGGCCTAGAGCTCCACTCGTTTCTGTGCCAGTCTACAGCTCCGTCTATCCTCGTCTCGAGATATACGCCCCAGCCAAATCTGCCATCATGTTGGCAGAAAGACAAGTCAAGCTGGTGGACTACAGCTATCCGGCTATAGTGATTTATCCTGCAGTGGACAGAGCCAGGTCGGCCCCGAGGACCATCTCAGTCAGGCTGGTAGACTACCAGTACCCAGCTATCGCCCTTTACCCCGTCGTTGCCCGTCCGGTGTCCAGAATGGTGTCGCATGCTGCAACAGCAGTGCGGAGCATAAAAGTGATGCTGGTCGACTTTAGTTATCCCAACATCAACCTTTACCCTGCGGCTCGCTCTGTGAAGAGAATAATCAAACGAGAGATTGAGACGAGACAGACGTCCGTCAAGCTGGTCGAATATGTCTACCCCGATATCGTGCTCTACCCCGCTGTCATAAGAGCTGTCAAGCCCGTCCCCAGAGCCCTCATTTCGGCCCCACCCACCCAATGGACGCCAATGTCGAAGAGTATTCGAGTTGAGCTGGTACCCATCACATACCCTGATCTCGTCATCTATCCCGACATGGCCCCAGTCTATCGAGAAATGGATATGGCTCACCTGGAAGCCTCTGTCAAAGTCAAGCTGGTCGACTACACCTACCCGCATATCGCACTCTATCCAGCCGTGGCTGGTAAGCGAAACGTCAAGGCCGCGGTGACATCGACTTGCCAAGGCAAGCTGGTTGATTATAACTACCCAAACATCGTCCTATATCCCGCCGCCGCCACCAGGGTCCGCGTCAGGAGAGAAGTGAGGATGTCCAGTGTCCAGGTTGAGCTGGTACCATTCTCATACCCCAATCTAATCATCTACCCGGCCACATCAGCTTGGCGAGATGTTGGGATACCTGGCAACAGATCTGCTGTCAAGGTCGAATGGGTCGAGGTCCTCTATCCCGACATTGTGCTCTACCCAAGCATGTCTCAGCCTCGCGCATCTCCTTCCCGTGTGGGGATTGCCGAAGCATCATCGGGTACGGTTACTCCCTCTGATAACGGCTACAGTTCTTCAGTCCCATACTCTCCCGATACGTGCTTTGCCCAACCTTCATATGAAGCACCTTCCACCCAGCCATTCTTGATGGACCTGCACTCCCTGTTGGAAGACGTTGCCGAACGCAAGGCGAAAGAATTGCTAGTCAAAGTCAGCAATGATGCACCGTGGAAGGATTTGAGCAGTGCTCAATGGTCCGAAGCGACGAGCTGGGGTCCACCCGATACACCCTCGGATTACGAGTACCCTGTTGCGAATGTTGCGCCGAGGATCGACAACATTGCAAAGTCGATTGGTGCGCTTCGTAGCGTAGACGAGCTCTTGAGGCCATTTACATACCCGGATTTGGTCGATAATCCCGCTGGTATCCAAGTCAAGCTGGTCCAGTATGTCTATCCCGACATCGTGCTCTATCCCGTCATGCCGGGTCGCGCAAGAAGCAACCGGGAGACGCACCAGCAGCTTGGTGAGTATCTGACCTCTCCATGCGATCATGAGCTGAAAGATCAAAAGTGGCAGAGACCGTTCACGAGCACCAAGCGCCACCTGATGACAAGTACTTGAGTGTAGCAGATGGGCTTCTGGAAGCCGCTAGAAGGAGGTTCGAAGCTGTCAGGTCATCCCTCGGTGAGCGCTACCGTCCTAGCTGTCATCGCTTAGCACTAACTCGTCTTCAGGCAAGATCGATACCGAAATGATCCCGCCTCCAAACCACCACCGCTCCGGATCAAGCGTGAGCTCCATACAGTCGGCCTCCACCCAGGCAATCAATACACCCGCCTCTGCCCTTTCTCCTTCATCCTCGACCCGCTTCCGCTCCCAGTCTTACGTTCATTCTCGCTCTCCATCAAACTCTTCTCTTTCTTCTGCGAAGCTTCCTCCCAAAGATCTCCTCCCTGATCTCCCTGCTCTTCCAGTGACCAGTACGCTCAAGGGCGACTTGCCGAAGTTTGGGCATTCGAGGTCGAGCTCGAGTGTTGGTTCTACAGCTGCGTCGACGGCCGTAGAGGGCGATTCTCCGTATGTGTTGAGTCCACAAAGTACGGGAACGAGGACACCCACCAGAGCTAGAAGTAGCACCCTTGTTTCGGAGAGGATGAAGGCATTGATGGACCAGACGCAGAGTAAGATCATGACGATCCCAATTCTGCTCTTAGCTGACGCTATCTGCAGAGAGTCAACCATTGCCGCCTTCTGCGGTCAATGTCAGGGGTATCCGAAGCAGTACTTACGGTACCATGAGCCCGCCTCATATCAGCAGCACGGAAAGCACGCCGACGAATGTTGAGGAGAAGCCAGGGCACCGCCCTATTGGCAAGCTGTCAAATTCCATGTTCCGCAACTGGCAATAGATCATAAACGATAGAACCGTAGAGCTTGTGGATTACCCGGTGTTTGTAAAGCCTGTGTTTGTAAGTGGTTGTTTGTGTTCTGGGATACTTGTACATCATGCATGCCTATAGGCTAGTCTGAAGAAGCGCAACCGCGACAGCCTTCAAGTCATATGAGCTATTGTTCAGTCTTGCACAAAAGAGATACGCACCACAATGAGGACATTCGACCACAACGTCCTTCTTCAGCTGCGCCTTGGGCACTCTACAAATACAAGTAGACCCCTGGAAATTCATATCCTTCGTCTGGATACACCTCACACAGCAGAGCTTCTCGTACCCATTCTTCTTCCACTTTGCTATCAGATTAGCATCGGCATAGCCTTGCTTTATAAGCCAGTCGTAGAGCTCTCGCGATATGAGTTCGCGCTTGTAGTAGAGGTCGTAGATGTATCGGGAGCGAGCGTGTGATAAACGCATGATCGGCCTGCTGAGAGTCAGTCTTGTCGCGACCATCCAATCACAGATACTGACCATACACCTTCTACATTACGCTTGCCTTCGTGCGTTTCGCTTTCGGCGTCTCTCATCTTCTTTTCGTAGTCTTCGAGGACATCCCTGGAGGCAACAGTCAGCACGAGAAGCGATACCTGGCGCCATCGGAGCGAGCATCTTGGACAGGTCCACGTACTCGATATCTTCGAATCCCTCTGGGGGAGGTTTTGTGCGTTGTGTTCTGATTTTGGGCATGGCGTTGGATGGCAAATGAGAGATTGATGCTGGAGATAGTACAGTCAGACAGTTGTCGACTTTTGTTGCAGCAACAAGGAGATGTGTACGTAAACAAGGCGGGGATCGCCGACGCGCGCACGTGGACGCGTCTGTACGTTTGCATGTTCTTTTTGTTGCGCTTACAGATCCTCAGTTCATTCCGGAATACAAAATAAAAATAATCCTGCCACCCTGCCCGGTATAGAAATCACAACCCGCTGCCAACGAGACCTCCACCAACTCGCATTCCGCCGCCAGCATGGGCAAATGGCAACACACCAAATACGACAAGGAACTTGCCTCAAAATTCCAGTGTCTCTTGTGCGTGTCTTTGCCGCCCTCGAAACATGCCAGACAGCTGACTGGCTATATCAGCGAGGCTACAGAGAACCGTGACAGACGGAGGAAGGGGCACAGCAAGGGTGCGGTCTCAGACCGAGCCTTTCGCCTCTTTGTCCAAGAACTCGACCCAAATGACGCCGCTACCCAAGACTGGTTTCTGGAGCTCCTCAGGCGCATGCGCAAGCCTTCGAGACGGCCGCACTCATTAGGACGCTCGCAAAATCCAGAAACGTTCTTGCATGATGCTGGCGAATGGATGATGAGCCCCAGTCCTCCATTGAGCCTGGAGGAAGATGACCAGTCCGAGGCCGGGTCTCGGTCAATACAAGATTATACCCAAGGCCCCATAGCTGTTCCTTCCTCTAGCCGATTCCCCTCTCCAGAGCGTCGGCAGCGAATGGCAGTCCCTGGCGAGCCTTCATCTTCCAATGCTCGAGGAAGCGGAGGGTGGCGATTCGCCCCCTTTGTCCCGCACGCTTCGAGGGACATAAGTCGCCTTGTCAGATCACCGCTGGGCGATCAAAGAGATCACGATACTGCTTCCGCTCCCGGCGGACCTTTGAGACGGGAGAGAAGTCCGCCGGTGTCTGATGCGAGCTTATCGTGGCTGGCAGGCTACAATCGAAACGCGCCCTCCTCCGACCCACGTCCTCTCCGCCCCCTTCCCGTTCGTAGCACCACCAACCGTCCTCCCATCATGTTTCCCCGGAATACACGCGACCTCCGCGGCCCTCTCTCCCGTAGCGGACAATCCAGCCGGACGGCCTCGCCCTCCGGTGCGCTTCGTTCCACGCATGATGCTTTGGTCGGGAACGGTTCCCACCGAGATTCCCACCGAGCTCAACCCGGCCCCAGCAGTCAGTCCTCAGATACCGATCTCCGAGCCATGTCTGACCACCTTGCCACAGCTCTCCGTCGTAGACGCACGCACGACGAGGTTGACGGTGCCCAAGCTGAGCCCCGAACGAATGGGCGCCAGCGAACAGACGGGCCATCGGGGCGCATCGAGCAGGAGTGGCGGGTGGATGATGATGCTTGGAGAGCAGCGGAGGCCGAAGCGGAAGGCGGGGGGAGGGATACGAGGAGGGATGGTGTGGTGTTTGACACGGCAGACATGCTCGGAGAGGATGGAGAAAATGCCAGAGATGTAGAGGAGGGCGGGAATACGTTCTGGGTGGTGGACGAGGATTGGGAGGATACGGGCATGCCGTATCCTACCCGAGAGAGGGATTTTCCACCGCTTGCTTTGTCTCACCTGCTCGACACTTCCCAATATGACGACCCATACCTCCCTGACGAGTATTAGATGTCATCGGCCAATCCCTTTTCTTGAAAGGGCCTCAAACCCACTTGCAGTTGTAGATCTTTATCTTGTCATCATCACTTTGTAACCTCTACCCCTCCTTCTTTGTAGTCCTGGTATTTCCATGTAAATAACCTGTCTTCTTGGTCACTGTGGTCAATAGAAGAGCGCGTTGAAAAAGCAAGCTGCACCTCAACCTTGGATTTCCCTCCTTTTGGAATATTCCAGCGAGCAGCGACAGTGAGCGACTTGACTTGCGCGTCGCGTCAATGTTGTTCTGACTCTTTTTCACGTTCTCCACCATCTCTCTTCAACGCATCAAGACAGCCCTTCTTCCTTGAGCATGTCTATCAAAGTAGACATCCCAAAGTCCGAACAGTCACGTGCAGACGTGAGTTGCCAGCTCTGAAAGCCACCTCGGGGACTGACCTCTGTCGAACAGGGCAATACATCTTTCAAAAAAGGCAAATGGGCCGAAGCTATCGGTCAGTCGCCTTCTTCCTCTGCTACCAACCCCTCTTGCTAACTATCGAACAGGACACTATACGAATGCGGTTATATACAACCCCCAAGATCCTGTTGCATACTGTAACAGAGCACAAGCATACCTCAAACTCGACAAGTAAGACAATCCTTCCATCGTTATTCACTGCTTGTAGGCATCTGCTCATACGGGTGTAGGTTTCAGGATGCGGAGAGGGACTGTACGAACGCACTCGATCTGCCAAAGGGGAAAGGAAACATCAAGGCTCTTTACAGACGGGGTCTTGCTAGAAAAGGTCTGCAGAGGAATGCCGAGGCTATCGAAGGTATGTCCTGTCTCCCATATCTGAATTACGCTGATATGATCTGAGGACAGATATAGAGGCGATTTTGAAGCTGGATCGAAAGAATGAAGCTGTCAAGACAGAGTTGGAAGAGCTGAGAGTTTTGAAGAGAAAGCAGGATGAAGAGCTGAAAGTGCGTTACGTTGGCTCTTTCATATCCGGTTTTTCGTGCTCACAGGTCTTTTAGAAACCTCCGCGGAGACCTCTGACCCCACCCTCTCTTCCCAAACCCACTCCATCATCCCAACCCATCGCCGACCTCACATCCCAAACGCAAAAACTCGACATTGCTCCCAAACCCGCGCCTGCTCGAGAATCCCTTGAACCAACGGGTTCAAAGAAGGAGAACTCGTTTGCAGCTATACGGAAGAACAGAGATGGGAAAAAGATGTCCTTTGCGTCGTCCAGTAATGGAAGTGGTCCGGGAACAAACGGGACTGTCCAGGAGAAGGAGGGAGGAGATCGGGACAAGAAGGAAGAGGCCATACAATCTGCTCTCCACGACATATTCCCTCCTTCCAAACCCAACTCATCGCCTGCAGCCCAACAAGGAGCACCCAAAGGCCCACTGGTCCAGCCCGCCGAAACCGAAATCGTCCCTGCTCTACCAAAGAACATTGACACCACCTCGACCTCCCCCGGGGCTGGTCTCGTACTCTTACGCCACTTTACTCCTTCCCCTACTTTCAACTACAGCCTCATATCCCTCTACCCTCCTCCGAACATCCCCGTGATCCTCGGGTCACTCTTGGAACCAGATACACTTGGGCAAGTGCTCTTGGCTCTCGAAGAAGGTGTTCGATCGAAAAATGGCGAGGATAAGGAGAGGGTGAAGATGGTGTTGGAGGGTTTGAAGACGACAAAGAGATGGGGGATGAACGTGGCTATGCTTAGTAGGAGGGAGAAGGAGGCTGGGGAAGGGGCTTGGAGGGGGTGTGGGGGTGAAGGTAAGTGGGCTTGAATGGGGAGACATTTGACTCGAGCTATGCATATCTACGGCATATCTTTCTCTTCCTCTGTGATTGGGCATAGTGACGACCCGATTCAGTGTGTCATTATCAGACACGGAGGTCTGACAATTATCGTTTGTGAGAGGCGCAACACTCATATATACTTGTATATCATCTGCTTATGAGCGCTCACCGGCCTTCGCTCTCCATGAATGTGCTCGAACCTTTCCATGCTTGTTCCTACAGCTGCAGCACCGAGTCATAATGCAATATGCACATCAATTCGTACAGACTGATGTATCCAGACCATCACCAAACAGATCGCGGAATGCAGCAAAATGTAGCACGACGGATCGGAGAGCGGCCGCCGCCCCCAAGCTCTGCCTCTTGAACGGGATGCTTCACTCACTGGGGCCATAGACATGCCTACGAGGTCATCTGGCGTGAACCCTCTTTGTCTGCACTGGGAGAGCCCCTGCATGATAGTACGTGCCAGACGCCATCCAACACTTCACTTCCCACCACTCGCTGCTGCTGCACTCACTCTTCATAAAGTACATGGCACACTCCGCGTCAATATCGGCCTCGAGCCTCGACCTCCTCTTACGCCAAGGTATACCACGCAAAGCAAGCCATTCGGCCCGCCGAAAACGCAAAAAGGGTGCAAAAAGGTACTCTTTATTACGCTACATGTGCATACCCGCCAAGGGGCTGTGACCTGAACAATCCCATCACCTCCCCTTGCCCATCACCTGGCACTGCACCTGGATCACCTGAGCATGGCGTACATGGGGAAAAATGGGTTCAAGGAAGTTGGACCCTGAAATGAGCCTGAAAGGCCTGAAACCAAACTACGAGAAATAAAAAAAAAAGAAGAGCGAGTACCGTCTTTTGAACCCTTGACCCTGAAGGAAGGCCAGGAAGGGATAAGTGAGTTGGTTTGATAATCTAATCAGTTTATCTCTGTACCTCATCCCTTCAGGGATAGATAAGATTGAGTATGGCAAAAAAGTCATACATGAGTAGTAATGCTTGGTAAACCGCTTACAAGAGGTCTTGCAAGGCGACCAGAGGAAGGGAGAAAGGCAGCAACGCGTGCCTTGCAGCTTGCGCCATCAACATTCGACTCCTCGCCTCGCCTCGCCGTGTACTTTGGAGAGACAACAATCAATGCATCTCTCTGACAAGTACCCAAATAACCCGAAAGAGCCCATCCCATATATCTTGATGGAACCCCGAATCTATAAGAACGACCAAAAACCAAGAAAAGGACAACGACTATAATATGTATGCTAGTGTAGATGGAAAACATTTCTTTGTTGCCGGCTCATCTACGGGGATGGCCATACCCATTCGCCGTAGGACTTCTCTGCGCTTGCCCTCCGCCACCTCCTCCACCACCACCACCGCCGCCGCCATAAGCAGCAGCAGGTAGCCCATAAGACCCTTCCCTATGCTGAAACTGCATCGGGTTGTACATGTGTCCCTGCTCTGGCATGCCCGTACTATACAGACCATGGTGCACATACCCGCCCGGCGCAGGCGCATAGCCCATCGCACCCGCTGGGTATCTGTACGTTTGCTGATGCTGCGGTGGCACGGCATACGACGGGTACTGCTGGGTATAGTGCGGTTGCGCAAAGAAGGACTGTTGGTGTGCTGGGGGCAATTGAGCGTGGGCGTGCTGCGGGTGACCGTTCGGGTTGGTGGGTGACGGCACGCGGGAGGAAGAGGCCGAAGGAGGTTGGGCCATGGACATGCTTGGCGGAATAGGGTAGGGAGGCGGGTAGTGGGCTTGGTCGTACATGTAGGGTGCGTACGGGTTTGGCCCGGCCTGAGGGGGGTAGGGGGAGGGAAAGTGCGGGGTGGATGCCGAGGTGGGGGTGCCGGTGGCGCTCTTGGACTTGCGTGGTTGGCGAGCCGTCGATGATTTTAACCCGGCGGCTTCCATCGCAGCATTGACTGCCGCCCTCGCTGCTGAACCTGAACCCCGTCTTAGTGTCGGCGACAAGTGCGTTCGGTAGCTATCCTATAGCGTCAGCTTGTATAAACATGCGAGACGCGACTTGTGCTCACTGTTGTTGCAAGTTGTCCTGCCGACTCGTCCGCGTCTCGCACCCCGGGAAGGGGCACTTGAACGCCTTCACCCCCGTGTGGATCCGCTGGTGTCTTTGCAGATGCCCACCGGTCGTGAACCCTCGTTGACAGACGTTGCACACATGAGGCTTGGGTTTGTTATCCGCCGGCCCCGTTGCGCCATTCTTTCCTTTTAGCCCCTGCGGTCCTCCTTGCTGTGGCTGCTGCATAGGTTGCTGTTGCTGGAGCGACTGCATCTGCACTGTCTGGCCGTTCGGCTCGCCCACGGGCCCCGAGTCCTCCGTCTTGACGCTGCCCATGGAGAGGTCTGCAGCAAAGGAGTGGGTTGTGCTAGCCGAGTCCGGCATGGGGGTGAGGTTGGGCAGCCGTGGGGGCCCCTGGGTGGCAGTGATGGGTGCGGCGGACTGGGCGTAGGGGGAGGGGGAGTAGATGGGGGGGATGTGTTGCGGGGGCTGCTGAGGCTGGTGGGGCGGGGGACGGTGGGAGGGGGAGACATCTGACATGGTATGACGGTGAGATGGAAGTTTACAGTCTGGGCGGAAAGGACGGCGGTTCGGAGAGCGACCGGATGTCGGCAGTGGTCTGAGCGCGTCGTGGGGGAGAGCCAACAGTCAGCACAGTCCAGAATGATCTGCCTACAGCCGAAGAATCCCCGACGCTGCCTGTGTGGCTTTGTCTGTGCACCCGAGATCGTCTAATGCCACAAAGACACCCCCCAGTGGCTCGCCATCGCCCCCGGCACCCCTCCGCCCGCCTATTCCGCCCGCAGCCCGCCAGCAGCCCAGCGCACCACAGCAGCCAGCGACAAGGGGCAACGGCGCGTAACGAACGACTGTACACTCCTCCACCCCAAAGGACCCACCACAAACCTTCGGCCAGTTCGGCCAGGTGGGGAGAAGAACGCGATGCAGCAACGGCGACTCACGGGTATATGGCGTGTCGCGAGGGATGTCCTCCGCTATTCTATGCTCTTATCGGGGAGGCCAGTAGACAGATGACAATAGATTTGTTGTTGCGAATGAACCAAAAAAGCCCCTCGGTGTTTTTTGACAAGAAGGTGCGAGACGTGGCGGAAGAGAACAAGATGTGGCGCTAGGAAGCGATACCCACCTGTTAGCCCCGCTCACCAAGCTCCGCACGCAGTACTCACCAGGCTGTATACAGTCGTCACTCCAAGAACAACAGTCGACGTTCGAAAAGATGGAGGAGCGGGGAGGATTGAAAGAAAGGACAAAAGGGTTCCATTGGATAATCAAGGGTCCCAGAATGCAGGACGGGCAGGGGCGAAAGGGAAAAGAAGAGGGAAAAAATTCAGAGTGGCCAACGCGCCGCACCGATTTTGGGTGCTCTGATTGGTGCGCTTGCCTGCGGTTGGAGTATCGGCTTCGGGTCGAGGGGGATCGGGCTCGCATTTATTGGCTCTGTCGCCCAGGGTGCACGAGGGCGGGATCGAGGGCATGCGAGGGCACAAGCAAAAGAGCCAGCGACACACGAGAGGGAGCCAGACGGACCCCAAAGGGCAGAAGGTAAAAGTAATCTCCGCATCTCTGTGGATCTAGGGCTTTTTTCAGATGTATTTCATGGCGAGTCGCCCAGGAGGGCTAGGAGAGTTTTCTCTCCCCAGGGCTTTGTTGTAGGTGCTATACACTTCTTTGGTCTTTCATCCATAGCTTTCAGAGCAGAACTACACCCAGAAACGCCCAAACAATGCGCAATCCGGTTCCACCGCGGAGCCAAATAAACCCAAAACAGTTCTCCACTGGTTCAGGGAGCACGTCTCTTTCTCTTGGACTTGACCCTGAGTTTTCAGCGCAGTTAACGTAAGACAACGTGGATCAACAAAAATCAACAAAAATGACGAACGAACGAGATGACGAGAATGGCTCAAATGCCGGGGGGGCCTGGCGAATGACCCGAAAACTTCGGAGAAGGCCGATATGGGGTGGTGACGACTCTGACAGTTACATGCGAGTACAAGTTATGTAGGCGAAGTGAGCAACCACAGCACAGCAGAGTGTCAGCGTGGTAGTGCAACGTCCTGAACATCCTCGTCTTCAATGACCCACCGGCACTCTACACGTTCGCTTCGACGCTTGTTCCTCTCGGTGTCTTCTCGGTTGTCTGATCGGTCAAACCAAGAGTGGTGGGCGGTGGCTGAGTGGTGGTCACGTTGGTCGACCACGCGCCACGCGCGTACTCTATTAATCGAGCTGTGATACGATGTGCCCGGCATGTGGTTGGCCGATCCGCGCGCAGACGCAGAGGACAAGATCTCACACCGAGTCCCATAGGGGATTGTTCGCAAGCATAGCATCGACGGTGGCGTATCTGGAATATCTCGACACAGAGTGAACATACACAAAATCTCGTCTCACGCATGGGCCCACAGCCCTCCGGCATTCGCCCGTGTGCAGTGCAGAACAATTGCCTTTCGCACTTCAAGCAAGAGAGAACAGAGAACGATGACATCTCCCAAAACCCAAAAAAGATAGCGAGTATGCGCGCACTCGTGACGCCACAAGGTACGCACCAAACGGGATCAATTATTCTCGAGTAAACATCTCGCCGCCCAACTCGCGCGAAACAGCCGTCCCTTCATAACTCGCATTCCATCCATCCACCCTTCAACCCCTCTTTTCCACCTCGTTCTTTATCCCAATCGCAGCATAAATGTCTTCCAAAACCGGTGGTGGCAAAGGCGGCAAGAGCAAGACTTCTGGTGAGGTCAAGGTTTTGACTACCAGGTCCTCCAAGGCTGGTCTTCAGGTATGTCGGCGTTACATCCCTCTTTTGGGCACTATTTACGCGTCGGGGCTGATATTTTTTCGTGTATAGTTCCCTGTTGGTCGTATCCACCGGTGAGCACTTTCTCCGACGACTGGAAATGGGCGGATGCATGCTTGAGGATGGGATTGTACTGACAGATCTGGGTCAGATTCTTGCGAAGCAAGAATGCCAACAATGTGCGTATCGGAGCCAAGGCGGCCGTCTACGTCGCTTCCATCATGGAATACCTCACTGCCGAGGTGCTCGAACTTGCCGGTGCGTCCTCTTCCCACACATTACACGCGAGACAAGCTAACGACGAGACAGGTAACGCCGCCAAAGATCTTCGCGTCAAGCGAATCACCCCCCGACACTTGCAACTCGCTATCCGAGGTGACGAAGAGCTTGATTTGTTGATCAGGGCTACTATTGCTGGTGGTGGTGTCCTTCCTCATATTCACAAGGTAAGCACCCATCCCACTCCGAACAAGATGTGGCTGACAGGGGAACGCAGTCTCTTGTGGCCAAGCCTGTGGGACAGCAGTTGAAAAAGTCCAAGTCTGTCGTCGCCTAATCCATTCGCCTTTCTGTCTTTCGTTGTGTCACAACCGTTTTCGTTATTTCGATTTGCTCTTATCTTTCTATAGCGTCTGCTCTTGACATGTCCTACGCGCTCGATGATGCGTGGCGTTCAAAAGCGGGGTGTCCTTTTCAATTTTGACCGAAATGTATAAGGGTATATATATGCCATGGACGCGCTTGTGCCACAAGGTCAAGGGTAGGATACATGTATAAACAGCACGAGTACAGCAGAATTGAACAAATAACACACGCAGTCCTTGACCCTTTACCAATGCGGCATCCAGCCCAACGTCTACCATGCGCATGTTAGTAAAGAATCTGTGGACTAGGTGCTGTGGTCCAGGTAGACTTACATATCCTACAGTCGACGCGTCAGCTTTGTTTCATATCAAGGGACGCGTAGATTGAAAGGGGCTTACCTTGTGAGAGATTTTTGAGGTCGGTGGCTTCTTCTATGAGCTTTTGAACTTGTTTATTCACACTCAAGGGCTGCTCATTATCCTGGTGGAAACCTAAGCCTATTGTCAGCTCTAGTGAGTATTGCATGGCACCACTTACCGATGAGCTTCTTCTCGATTTGACCTAGCACCTATCACAAGTATCAGCCATCTCCTTGTCCACCCCGGCAACGGAACATACCTGCAAAGCCCGACCATTCGTCATCCCGTTCCCCTCTACCTTGGCCAAATATGAATCCGTCTGCATATACGTCGACACGAGCGAGTTTTCAAACTTGTAGTAGCCTTCCATATCGCCCGGTTGATTGTTAACGGCGACACTTTGAGGGACGACGTATGATGGGCGGTGAGGTGATTTCACCTTCTGGGCTTCTTTGTCGGGAGTAGGTGCGTCTGTGAACGTGTGAGTGAATGACTCGATGTGGGTAAAGCTGGATACCTGTGGTGTCAACGTTGCTCGAAGGCTCGCCGCTGTTCTGCGTAATCATCAGCCATGTCATTCATGCACAACACACGCCACATACCGTCCAAGATAAGAGCGGGTCGTACAAGAATGCTTCCAACATTGCCAGAAGTGTACTTCGACTATCACTCAGTACGTCCATGGCGATCAGCGAAGCTTGTTTGTATGATCCTCGCGAGCCGGGAGTTTCGAGGCCTCCCCGAGAGGCGAGCTGCGTCTGGTCAGTATGGTGCAGGACCTGACGAGAGGGACAAACCTCAAAGGCGTTGGTCATCATTCTGGTGAGGCGGAAAGGCACTTTCTCGGGCAGATATGATCTCTCTTGGGCGACGTCGAATAGCTATGTCTCGTGTCAACCTATGTGCCAAGCAATCGTGTCCGACTTACATCACCGAAATCGATATGCAGAGCACCCCACGTCAGCTGGTCTACTAGTATGTTGCTACCATGCCTGTCCCCAAGGCCAATGATATAGCCGACGAAACCTTGACCGTCGTTAGCTTTGTCACCCGATGAAGGAAAAGGAAATGCCACCCACTGCCAACACCAAGGGTACGTGCAAAGTTTGTCCTCCTCCTAATCCAGACATCCGAGTTCGGGCTCCTCTGCCAGAGCACATCCCTGATGTCGCCTGCAGCCCTTTGTCAGCTTGGCAAGAAAGAATGATGTTGAAACATACTCTGATCAGAATGCGAAAGTGCAGATTTGAGCCGTTGGACTTTGGTATTGACTGGTAGCTTGTCGTAGCGGTCCATCTCGGCAGAGACGTCCATCCGGGCTTGATCGGGTTTTGGTCGCCCATTTTCGGGGTCATACTGTGAGGTCTTAGCCGCGTCAAGTGCAGTAAGTAGACACGACTTACACCCAGGATTGAGGAGGTCTCTGCATCGTTCAACCATTGCTGGTGATACTTGTCTCGTTTGGTCTGAATCATTGATTGCAGTCTAGAATCTTCAGCCTCTATGCAATACAATGATGGACAACTTACTGCTGAGTATTCGGTACCCAGCTGACTAGACCGGCAGACGGAGAAAGAGGGATTACCTCATACGGCAAGAGGTGAAGATTGCGACTGAAAGCATCGGGGCGATGGTTCAGGAGCGTGTTGATGAGACTGAACAGCTGCATGATTCTCTCGTCGCCTCGCAAATCCTCATTGCCTGTCATGACAACATGTCAGTACAATATTCGGCTCCGCTCCTGTAAACTCACCCTTGAGAAGGAAGGTGTGGTCTGCCATATACGACCTGATGACAAGTTTTCTAGGAAGCATCTTGGAGAACAGCAGATGCACAGTAGGATGGAAGCTGTCGATAAAGGCTTGGTCGTCTAGTTTGATATGAGGATCATACTTGCCCGGAACGGTCAAGATACAGTCTCGAAGGGTCAGAAGCCGAGGCGCAGTGCTCCCAAGGTGTAGTTTGTTGCCCGTGACTTTCCATTGGTTAAGGTGTGCGTCGAGCTCTCCCCAAAGCTGTGGTGTTGTTAGCATCTGGGAACACTCCGATAGCAGACTTACCTTGTAAAGCTCGGTATATACACTGTTCACTAGACTCATCTGTCTTGTAGATTTATATCGTAGCAATGTCTTGTTGATCCTCAAGAGGACGTTGCCGAAGCGTCGTACAAACTTTTCCTCGTCAGGCGTTTCGGGATACTTGATGATTCAGAGTGAGTACTTGCATTTTCACAACCAAAGACGCACCTGTAGCTTCATCATGTCTTCTTCCCAAAACTCTGGGAGTTCGTGCCAAGCCCTGTCCATGATTTCTCTGCGAGGCAACACCCTGTCAATGATGCTCCGCCACCTGGTAGTCGTTAGCTTCTAGCAGAAGACCATTCAAAACAGACTCACTTTTCCATGAGAGAGATAGACACCCTGATCAGCTCCTTGCCTACCAGCTCCGCCTGGTCGACCAGTCTTGTCCCGTCCGGCATCGTGCAGATAAAGTTCATAACCACCCTGGCAGCTTCATGATGCTCTACCTTCTGAGTCTGCGTAGCCGTCAACAGCGGCCAAATGACAGCGTGCGGATAGCGCGACGAGATGGTCTTGAGCAGATTGATCAGCATGTATTGAAGATCTTTGTGCGGGGTACCAAGTCGAGCGATGAGTTGCGGTATCGCAGCCAGCCAAGTGTCAACCTGAGTGATATTGAGCTGATTTTCGACTTCGACGAGGACAGCCTGGCTTTCGCCGAAACTGAACCAGAGGGTGACGAGACGCAAAAGTGCTTTGATGACGAATTCGGGGCTCTCTTTGGTACGTGATGCCTGGAACAGTCCTCGGAGCGCGGGGACGACTACCCAGAGAGTCAGATAGTCCAACAAAAGGAGCATTTTGCTTACTATAGCTTCCAACAGCGACACCGTCAGGCTTGGAACAGCCGTTACTCTCAAACAGAGTGACGGATCTCTCTGCCAGTGAGAATGCAGCCCCATACCTATGGATCATGGTCGTCAGAGAATGCCAGGGTCATTGTGATAGGACCCACCATGACTCGTCCAATTTGGACGCCAAGGAAGTGTAGGTCAAAACAAGAGAGTTTTCGTCCTATCACCATCAGTATCCATCGGCCTCAAGCAGGGTGTGCCTCTCACCTGGAGCCAATCTGATCCTTGCAGGACAGCAGTCCACTCGCCAAGCCTATAATATCTTCGAGCAACAATGAGCTTGGTGAGCCGCTCTTGATTGCTGATCACGTCAGACAACGGCTGCAGCCCAAGCCCCGACGCTTCAATCTTGTCTCTGTCGAGCCCCATATGCTGGAGATAGCGATCGGTATGGTCATTCAAACGTTGATACACTGCCTCCATAGCGGCTTGATCTCGCTTTTGAAAGGCGTCCTTCCAGCTTGTGAATGTCAGCAAGCTTCGATGCTTGTTTGCAAGAGGGACTCACTCAAATCTGAGCTTGGTGTACTCGACTTTGCAACCAGGAGGAGTGACCTCGGGGGCAGTCCTCCTGATGATAGACTGCGCCGCCTCATGCATCCCCGCGCTTTCACAAAGCTTTGCAGTATTCAAGAAGCAGCTTTGCAGCTCAAAAGTCGTCGGCGGACACGCCAGCGTCCATATCTCCAGTCGCTTGAGCCACGAGTTGGCATCCGCATGGCTCCTTTTGAATCTGCTCTTCCAAGTGTTGAGGATGCTCTCCCTCAGCTCGGGCTGAGACTTGTATTGTATCGCTTCCTGCAGCTCAACGAGGAACTCTGTCTTTGCCAGGCTCTTGAGGGCTACCTGAGGCCCAACTCCAAGCTTGACTTGGAGCTCGTCGTACGAAAGACTTTGGGCCTTGTTGATGTGATGGAAGGCAGAGGCGTATTGTTCGTTGCGGACGTCAATGATGGCTTTGTAGAGGGATTTGCTTGTACCTTTGGGGTGGAATGCGAGATAGTCGGCCATAGTGTCGAAATCGCCCTTCATGTGTCATTAGCATTGTGATTCGCGAGAGCGCTCGGCTTACCATGTGCCATGCGGCTGCCGTAGCCCAGTGGGCAGAGGTTCTCCTTTCGATATCATTCAACCCTTCGAAGTAGTTTTGTGCCAGTTCATATCCTTTCTGATAGTCACCTAAGGCATGATCTATGATACTGATGAGCACCATCCCGTTCGCCTGTCACTACACTCACAGCAGATCATTCTGATGTTGAATGAAGAGTACATTGTGGTTTCTTGCGTCTCGTCAATCTTTAATTGCGCATCCAAGCCCTCTTGCCAATGGCTGAGTGAGGTAATCCACATTGGGTCGGGCTCGACATTCCAATCGTTCTCCAGCCATAGGAGACTACTCCAAGCGGCATCATACCCTGAGGACCCCACTCTACTCCTTCATCAGATATCTGCGGCCACGCAAGAAAGAGACGTACCTGATGTTTGCTTCGACTATGTTGGAGACATTTTCCTGAGTCGGGTACATTTCAGTGTACTGCTCCATATACCATAGGATCACCCCTGGGAGGAGCTGGTTCAGCGCCCCTCTAAAACTTTCGAATGCGCAAGCTCGGGCTGCTTCCTGCACGCCGTGGGACAATGAACTCTTTCTCTCTTTCGAGCAAAACGCGAGGAGGTCCAGAATGACGACCAGTATATCTCTGCTGATGGATCGATCGGAGAGGAGGTCGATGAGAGCTCTGTCAACGCAGCTCTGCGTGGATTGTCAGAAGGTTTTGTCGAGCTGCGTCGGGACATACCATGAACACAGGATCGTCTTCTAAAGATGTATAGCACTTGAGAAAGGCGGTCTGGAAGATATCTCCGTGGACCATTGACCCCAGCTATGACTTTTGTAAGCAGGCTGAAGCATACAAAGAGAGCGCGACCATCGTACACGTGAAGTTATAACCACTTCCGGTATGCCACTAGCTTCCAAAGTGGCTTGATATAAGCTATGAAGCCATACGGAGGGGCTATCGTGAGCTGATGAAAGAAGCGTATGAGTCCATGCGTGCTGGACGCTTCGAGGTTTCGGAGGAAGGTTGTGGGCCAAAATCTCGGCGAGTAAGGGATGCTGTGTGGCTGCTTCGACTTGAGAAACTGACTTTGGCTCTTGGCCCTGATATGATGTAATCTAAAGAGCTGGTCAGAGCCATATGCTGCAAATCTCTTCAAACTCACACTTCGTGGACCCTTCCCAATGACCTGATTATCCTCGTTCCGGACGGTAATGTCAAGCCGCTCTACAGCTTTGGTCAAGTACTCCATGGCTGCCATATCCCCAGATTTTCCCAGAGCCCTCAAAGGCTTGATAAGGCAGCTTTTCATCGGCTCCAAGGTTCCTGCTGCGCCTACTAGGAGCTTGAGAGCTTCCACCGTCACACTCCTCGGCCTGGTTGTCTCCAAACCCTTCAGCAGCAGCGGCAGCCATATTGATGTAGTCAGTGGGAGGACTTGCTGAAGCTTGGGGTTGGAAAGGATTCTGAAGCCCTCGGTCCAGACTGTCTCATCGTCGGGGGAAGTTATGAGGGCTTGGCAGATGAGCGGGACTGTGCGGTGGAGGATGTGGTGTTGGGTGTTGGTGGACATGGTAGGGCCAACCAAACGAGACAGGGAAGTTGGAGTGACATTGCTGGTGCTGACTAGGGAAAGCGGATAGCATACCGGGAAGGGTCTCCTTTGTTGCGTTCGATGTGGAAAAGAAAGGATGTAGATGGGACTGTTCGTGTCGACGTCATCAGATGTGTCGGGCCGTGGACGGCGGTGGCCGAGCGCGACGTGACAAGTAGTACTAAGATGGATTGTATCTCTCTTGACTCTGCATCTATCCCGCCATGACACAGGGCATCCACTCCATGAGCACCATGCTGTACGTCCACCCGCTCCACCCGCACCACCGGCCACGCTGACCTCCCCCTAGCAAGCGTCTCGAGGGTACGCATCACCGCCGTCGCCAGGGCCCTACTGACCATCTACAGCTGTCACAAGCCGCCTCGAAGACATCGCCGTCTCCCAACAATCCCAGTCCTTTGGAAGCGCCCTCAAGTCCCCCACATCCAACACCCACGAGGGCCTCGCCGGCCATGTCCCTCCCCCACCTCCACCCCCCCCCCTGCAGCCGCGCCTGCTCAGCAGGAGACCCCTGTTCTCACCCCTATCGTGCAAGCATACCAGGACCAGATCCTCAACGGCGCCCTTCAAGAGTTCTTGCGAAAGTCCAAGGAGGTCGGCGGACTGGTAGCTGAACATGTGAGTGCATGCCGATGTGAAGTATAACAGTCTGACTCGTCACAGTCTGCTCTCTTTGAGCCCCTTGTTCAGTCTCAGCTCGAGTTCCTTCAACTAGCTTCTGCTCATACCAAGCCCTCGCCGACGGCTTTTGCCCCCCTTCTTGAGCCTCAAGCCAAAGCCATCCAGGCGATCATGGAAGCCAAGGACAAGCTTGGTAGATCCAAGGAGGGCAGGGAGTGGGGCGTATGCTTCAACGTCTTGGGAGAGGGTGTCCCTGCTTGGGCCTGGGTTCAAGTCGAGCCTGCCCCTGTTCCTTATGTCCTTGAAACCAAGAATGCTGCTCAGTTCTGGTCTGACCGTGTCATCAAGCAGTTCAAAGAAACGTGAGTCTCTTATCATTGTTGCAACAATTGCTGACTATGACTGAAGAAACGCTGCTGCCGTGGCCTGGGCCAAGTCCTTCCTCGCCCTCATTGCTGCTATTCAAACCTACGTCAAGGAGTGGCACACCACTGGTGTAACCTGGAACCCCAAGGGCTCCCCTGCGCCAGCTACCTTCCCCACAAAGTCTGCCTCTTCTGGCGGTGCCCCTCCTCCTCCTCCCCCTCCACCTCCCGCCGCTGCTTCCCTTTCCGCCCCCGCTGCTGCCCCGGCTGCCGGTGGCCAAGCCGCTCTCCTTGCAGACCTCAACCGCGGCGGTTCCGTCACTTCCGGGCTACGCAAGGTCGACGCTTCCCAGCAGACCCACAAGAACCCTGAGCTGAGGGGTGGAAGCACCGTGACTGAAGCTGGAGCTGGCGGTAAGAAGCCTCCTGCACTCAAGCCTAAGCCTGGGTCGTTTGTTGCTGCGCCGCCCAAGAAGCCTGCCAGGCTCGAGTTGGAGGATGGAAGTCGATGGATCGTTGTACGTATATCTATTGCAGGAATGAAGGACCAAGCTGATTGTGATACAGGACAACCAAGAAGGTAACAAGGCGATCAAAATTGAAAACACCGAGCTTCACCACACTGTGCACATCTTTGGATGCAAAGATTCGGTCGTTCAGATCTCTGGCAAGATCAACGCCATTTCTATGGGTAAATTCTCCACCTTTCACCAGGGCTTAGCTGATAGCGAACAGTTGGGTGTAAGAAGACCGCCATTGTCCTCGAATCCGCTGTGTCCTCCCTATCGATCACATCGTCTCCATCCTTCGAGGTCCAGATCACCGGTACCATCCCCACCATCCAAATCGACACCACCGACTCTGGCTCCATCTACCTTTCCAAGGAGTGTATGAACACTGTCGAGATCGTCACCAGCAAGACGAGCAGTATCAACATCTCGGTGCCTACTGGCGATGAGGGCGACTTTGAGGAGAAGCCTGTGCCAGAGCAGTTGAAGTCGAGAATCGTGAATGGAAAGCTTGTCACAGAGATCGTGGAGCATGCCGGGTAGACAGCATAAAAGAATCTTAATGAGTGCTTTATGACAGATTAGAGATGCATGATGAGCGTTTTTTCATGTTGTCCTGCAAGTGCCTCAAAACTCTGCTCATGAGCTTTAGCATAGGTCGAATGCATTTCATGATCTCCTGCGTCAACTTAGACGGCACCAGCTGCCCGATAGATGGTGACGACCTTGTCATCCCCGGCGACTGCAAACTGCTTTCCCGGCGCCAAGTTGCCGGCGTCAGCAGGCTGCCACGAGATTCCCCACGCTTCAGCGTTGGTGGAGGAGGTGGAGACGCATGTACGTTGGGAAATGTCCCAGAGTTTGACCAAGCTGTCTGCGCCCCTGTATGCTATCGTCAGCAGACATCGTGGAGGGAAAGAGGGACGTACACGCTACCCAGCAATTTTCCATCCGGAGAAGCAGCCACCTTCAGAACAAAGCTTTGGTGCCCTGGTAGAGTGGCTACAGCGCCTTCTCCTTGCCCCTCTGCACCATTGGTGGAACCTGCCCGTACGTCGTAAAGGACGATGAGCTTGTCGTCCGAGCCTGAGAAGAGCCACTATACACTCATTAGCTTGGTCCCGCACGAGAGAGGAGAGAAGCATACTTGAGAGTCGGGAGACCAAGTGATGGTACGGACGGCTTTGTTGTGCGAGTTGTATGACGCAACGATAGATTGGGACTCGGTGTCGAGGACGATTACTTGGCCCTGCTCTGTGGACACAGCCAGAGATCGACCATCAGGCGACTATATCATATCAGAACCCATGCCATTTCTCTTTCGACCCGATCTCACATATTGCAGGTCCATACAGAACTTTCCCTTGCCGACATCCACGGCCGACCGGGGTCCGCTCAAGATGCCTTGGCCCTCTGAGCTGGCTTCCGCGGAGATCGAGCCAAGACCGATTCTGGAGCCACGGCCTGCCCAAGCCCATGACGTGCCTTGTGGGTGGATAGCGCACGCGAACGCAGGCACCTCTGAAAAGCAGAGTCAGCAAGCATGTCATCAGCAGGAAGCAAAGAGTCCTGACCAAATTCATCCTCCCCAATCGCTTCACTTGCAGTCTCCACCTTACCCAGGATCTCCCCGCTATCCGTGTCTATAGCTACTACAGTCCCGTCCAAGCTCGCGGCTAAAGCTCTAGTACCATCGGCAGTGACTGAAAGGGAAGAGATGGCGAGGGGGTGGGACGGGATGGTGTGTACAGGAGCGGTGAGGGAGGAGGAGTCGTAGATTCTCAGATGACCATCGGCGGATGCGGAAATAATGTTGTTGGAGTGCAGCCAGGCGACGTTCCAGAGGGCGTCTGGGGCAGCTGCGAGGTCTTAGTTGTATGGGCAGGTGGAGAAAGAAAAGCGTACCGGTTGTGGATTCTTGTTGGAGGTACGCCAGAGACTGGAGCAGGTCAACGCATTGATACTTGACCTCATGGATGGACTTACCATTGAGGGTTGTTTTCAGGTGACGAGAATAGTGATTAGGAAAGTTGGCGCGAAATCGGAAAGAGGAGATGAGCGGGTTCCAGCGTCATCGTTTTTCGGGGGCCGGATCTCGGGACGGCTAGAGCGATCAAAGAGCGATAAGACGCCGAGTGAAATGTCTTTTTCCATCTAACTTTTCGCCATGTCCCTCGCCGACAGCGTAGACTCCCTCCTGCCTCCAGACGACCCCGGGCGCATCCTCTCAGTCCAGTCCCACGTCGTGTCCGGCTATGTCGGTGCGTCAATTTGCCCCGTCCACCGCCAATCGCTGACACACCATATCAGGCAACAGAGCTGCCACATTTCCCCTCCAGACCCTGGGGTACGACGTGGACGTGGTCAACACTGTACAATTCTCGAACCATACTGGTAAAACTTGTCCCTCTGTCTATGCGTACAACACTGACTCTGCTACAGGCTATGGCTTCACCGATGGGCACAAGACATCGCCTGACGAGATAGCGGCTATATTCAACGGTCTCCGTGTCAATGGCCTTCTGACCCACCCCAAGGTCCTCACAGGGTATATCCCAAGTGCTTCGGCTCTGCAAGTCGTCGCGGAGAACATCAAGAGCATGAAAGACAAGGATCCGGAGACTATCTATCTTCTGGACCGTGAGGCTGGATACGGTGCGGATCGAGTACGTGCTGACACCCTGCACAGCTGTAATGGGAGATATGGGAACAGGTCTTTACGTCGCACAAGATGTGGTACCTATATACAAAGACATGCTCAGTCTCGCAACCATCATTACCCCCAACCAGTTTGAAGTCGAGTCAGTCCAAAATCCAAAACACTCTTATCTCAATCCCCGTCACTGACGTTATCCTAGGCTCTTGTCAGGCATCAATATCACAGACCTAGCATCCCTCCGGAAGGCCCTCTACCACCTCCATACCACCTCGCCTCTCCCGCATATCGCATTCTCCTCCATTCCCCTCCCCATCGCCCTCGTCGCGTCTCTGACCCTGCCTCCCCCGCCCGAATCTTACACCCGCTTACTGCCCCACCCTTTGCCTCCGTGGTACGATGCAGTCGGAGTGGGCGCACCAGAAGATGAAGTTCTGGTCTGTTTCGCGAGTAGCTGGGTGGACGGGCAGATGGAGACGCATGCCTTCGCGCTGCCCACCATCCGGGGATACTTTTCGGGCGTGGGAGACCTCTTCTCTGCTATGGTCTTGGCGCACTTCAAAAACCCACAAGCCAAGACCGATCTGCCGCCTCTGGCGTATGCAGTGTCAAAGGCATTGTTGACGGTACAGCAGATCTTGCTGCGGACGCATATTCATTCTTTGGCACAAGCCGAAGCGGCGGGTAACGCTACGCCGCGGCCCCTCCACAAATCGTCTCATCAACCGCCGAGCGTCATCCCCTCCGACGCGGAGCTCGACGAGGTCCTTCCGTCCAACCCGAAAGACCCCAAAAGAAAAGCGCGAAGAATGAGGTTGAGAGAGTTGAGAGTGGTGCAGGAGAGAGCGCTGATCGAAGACGGAGGTGAAGGATGGCCGGGAAAGAAGTTAAGTTGGGAGCAATTACTGAAGGGACATGTGTAGGCATATACATATAACCATGGTTCTTTTTACTCGAGTACCTTATCACGAAGCTTGACTCCTCGATCCCATGGATTGAGTCGTGAGCTGCAAAGACTGATGCAAGTCTTCATAGCTCTGTTTCTGCAAATCCTGCAAGAATCTTGCAAGAGAGGCATTGTCGAGTCGAGACGTGCTGGCAACTTGCTTGAGTTTTGCCCGAAGCTTGAGGGGGTCCCGCTTCCGTCAGAGACTCCACCGGTCAGCATAGCTAATACTTACCTCCCAGAGGACTTTGCGTCTGTGAACAGTGAGATTCGATAAACTTGACTGCCGACCTATTCTTCCGTCAATATGTCCCCCAAAATCGACCTGGAGAGTCCTCTACCTTGTTCTTCCAAAGCACTCAGCTTCTCCGCAACCTCCGTAGCTCTCTTAATCACCGGCTCGGGCAACGACGCGAGCTTTGCGGTCTCCAAGCCGTAGTGCGAAACAGGTGCTGCTCCTTCGGCAACTTTGTAAGAGAAAGTGGAGGTGAACTCGGAGGATGTTTCTTTGCTTGCATCGTGCTAAAGTGAGCATATGAGCTTACCGCTTTTCTTTTTTTCGCGGGGTTGCTCACTTGGACTTTGAGGTGGAGTCTGTTGATCATTAGCAGAAAGATCCCCCACCACAGGACGCGATACTGACTTGACCACTCCAGGGAGATTTCCGAGGATCACCGCCAGGTCTTGATAATGAGTTGCAAAGAAGACCAAAGTCTTTCACTGTGTCAGTCGCTGATAGATGGCATACTAGAAGAAAGACAGGCTGGGAGCCTTACTTTGCGTGTAATCAGAGCTTCTGCAACGGCATGCGAAATACCCATCCCTTCCAAGGAGGACGTTCCTCGTCCCAGCTACAGCCGCCCCGTGATCAGAATAACAACCGTTCGCACAGGAGAAGGGCTCACTTCATCGATGAGGACCAACGTGCGGGGCGTAGCAAGACCTAGTTGGATGAGGGCTGGTTTTTCAGGTTCAGGTCAGGTGCTCGCTCACCAAGTATCATTGCTGAAGTAGCCATCTCAGCCGCAAAAGTTGACAGACACTTTTCCATTGAATCTCGCACCCCATCAGCTTCTGTATCATAGGCTCCTATTCCACAAGATCACCCACCGTCGTTGGACAATCGGCTCAGCAAAGCGTCCGGGAGAGGAAAACAAGCATATTCGGCCGGCACGCTGAATACGAATATATGACGTGAGTTACACCGGCTGGACCAAGAGCACATATCACTTACAAACAGCCGACCATGGCTTGGACGGTCAGTATACCGATCTGCCTGAGATACGTGCTTTTGCCGGACATGCTACCAAATCCTGGTCAGCTAAGATTCTGACGGCCAGAGCCGGGGGCGACACACTTTGGTCCTTGGATGATCTGAAAGTTGGCAGAACCTCTCGAAGCATAGACGTGGTTGGGGACGCATTCGCCGGTACCTAGAGTCCTGTCGAGTATGGGGTGGCGTCCGCTGTGTATCTGACATGTTTTCAGTCGGGAAACAAAACCAAGCTGAGAAATGCCTGACAAGAAACTGACCGCTAAAGTGTCTCTGAATTCGGGTCGGACTTGTGACAATGTCAATAGTTTCACTTGCACGCCCAGGCTATATGAGCTTACTGCAATTGTGACCTATTTTGGCAGTCAGTGATCAGTGTATGCTTATTCCTGATGTGCTCACCATTAGCGTGGAAAGCAAAGCCTGCTACCAGATCCAGCACGGCAACCTAGAAAACGTCAGCCGTGCTCAGCCCGATAAATGGCTTGAGAACTCGCAGCTTCTGTGCAATGATAGAGTCCGCTGAGAGTACCCATGACTTCCGATATGAGGTTTACGACAATCTGACCGCTGATGAGGAGCACCTCTTGCTCGGATTGAGAGAGCTTGGCACATCGTTTGAGCTGTGATTCCTGTCTCGTTAGCATACGTTTTTCCGTTGCCAGTCTTGCCGTGACTTTCCAATTCCTGATTGGTGAACCGGATTCTGCAACGGTAGTAAGTCACCAAGAACCTAAAATCATTTGTAGATCATGTCCCACTTGTTTTTCATCTTTTCCACCCCATAAAACTCGGAGGGAAGAGCGTCTTCGATGTCATTGGCAGGTACGGTGAAGTAAAAGTTGCTCCCCTTGTTTTCGACTTGACAGGTGAAGTTGTGGGTTGCTATGGAATATCAGCTCCCGTTCGGAGGCAAGAAGCCATGAGGACAGTCTACTGACCATAGATGTCTTTTTCTACTGTCAAGAGGAAAAGTATCACACATTGCATCATTCAACATTGCCTGTCAACTTACAGTCGTAGATGTCCTGCAAATTCTCCTGATATGTCTGTCTTGCAACATCGAGTAGAGGTGCAAAACTGGCTCTTACGGCGAACAGTCGGGAGATCCTCGAGTTCTGACCTTTTGCGCTTTTACCGACGGAGACCTCTCGCGAAAGACAAGCTATAATGTAAGCATATACAGTGTACATCTGACAACGCACCATCAATGATACCGAAGACGTGATCCAGCTGCTGTCCGGAGAAGTCCTATACCGCTTATGAGTGCAAGTCAATTACAAAAGAGATTCCCGAACCTTGGCGATAGATCGAAGGATGTGGGATTCAGTGTTGGCCAGCTCTTCTTGCAGGGCCTGTACCACTTGAAGATACTCCATCAGATTGAGCAAGAGAGATATGCGGGTGTCTGTGACGTTCACTTCCATGATGTGAAGTTGCTGCTGAGATATCTGTATTATATGGCAGAGAAATGAGCAAGCATTCGTCGCACTGATTCACAAAATGCTGACCTGGGAAAGTATCGAGTCCAGATCAAGCTTGATTTCTAGTCAGATGATGTCGGTTACGAAGCATACTGCTCACCTGGGCCACGGATGCAAGCTTTGAACGAATGATAGTCAACTTGTCTCCGCACTTGACCAGTTCTGGAGACAGTCAGTACCACCCGGTCGATGATACAAGCAAGCTTACCTTGCGTGGCATCAAGCCTGTCATCAATCAATTTGACGACTGTGAGGGTGATGTCAGGCCAGTAAAAACGTGATCGCGTCATCGGGCAAGGTTCTCACAGTTACCGGGCTGCAAGATGTTGGTGCGCAGCAATCGAGAGCCCATGGGCGTGTGGCAATGGTTTAGGACAGCTATGGAAAGTCAATCTCATGAATCCTGAGCAGGCTAATGACTCACAGAAAAGTGTGTTGGTCGTCTTGTTGGTCAAGCCGTTTCGGACCAGTTCCAGGCTTCTCGCAGTATCCACATCGATAAACATGGTTCCTGCAAGGTGGTCAGATCAGACAAAGGGAAGCATGCTAGAGCTCCCGCCTTCTGATGCTGCATATCGGATGCGCAAGCTTCGCTCTTGGATCTCGATACCTTTCTCCAACTTCAGATACTTAAAAAGAGCCGAAACCGCACAGAGAGCGTAGAATCTGGAGATCATGTCAGCCCTCAGAGGGAAATAGAGTGATTCAGCTTACTTGTCCTCGACGGCCATCAAAGTTGAGGCTTTGAGCTCATCATCCACTGCTAGAGACTCCACAAAGTCACGGCCTTTGGACGATAGTCAGCTCGTGCACTCGAGGCGAGGAACATGACTAACCTGTTTCCCTGTTCCACAACGCTCTTGCAACGCCCATGCACTCGATCTCGAACTCTTCTTCCAGCTGTTCTACCAGAAGACCATCTCCAATAGTTCTCCTCTCGTGCTTGCGGTACTGTCGTTTGTTGTCGTCTTGAAGCATGGTGTCAGGCACTATGATAGCGCTCGGGGGATGTGAGTAGAGATGTTGAATTGTCTTGTGGAAAGCTGTGTGAAGGTCAGTCCATAGTTTTGTGGGCGAGACGGCTGGTTCCCACTGGCATTGTCTGCAATCTAAGCAGGGACATCAACCAGGCGAAGGTCTGGGAAGAAAGCCGAGCGTCCTTACCTGCGTGACGACAGTCTGAGAACTGAGTCAGCTCTAGCTTGCAGGATAATCCTCATGTAGCTAACCTTTCCTGTGAGAAGACAGATAGCGGCGACGCCTATCTCATTACCACTGCCTGTAGCGTGGCTTCTCAGACGACATACCAGACCAAATCAGTCACCACTGACCTTTGCCTTGTAAAAGAGCGACGACGAAAGGGGGGCTGTCATCGGCATGGGTCGAAGCTCTAGTGGGTGGGAGGGAGATCCCCTGGCGGCGGACAGAAGTCACTACAGAGTTGGAACGCCCGCCCCGGCGGCTGTAGGCGGTGTTTGTGGGGGAAGGTGGGAGTGCATTCTGTCTGGAGGTGGTGGCCGTACTGGCGGTGCGGTATTGCGGTATGGTGGGCACTGTTGAGCGAGCCATGGCGCGCAAGAGGCGATGGGGAATAAAAGCAAAAGAGAAAAGAGATCGCAAACGGTTGACATCAGCCACCACACCACGAGGGCCCAAGCGTGACCGTCGGCTTATGAACACACAGCCTTTCCTGCCTCAACAATAATGTGTCATCTCTTTAGTCCCTCTGCCTCGGCCTGATCTTTCAGCACGCGCCATGTACCGTCAACTGGAAGGAGCGTAATTGCTAAAGGGACACTGTAAATAAGCCATGATGCATACACACAACAAATGATTTATACAAAGCGATTACGCTCACTATGCAACACCCAAGACCCCACCTCAAGATTTCTTCTTTAACCATGCCGAAATGGTTCCTCTCTCAGCCACTCTCTCCTCCTTCATCTGCTCCTTTGGCTTTACCGGAGAGCTACTCTCGCCTCGTATGGCCACAGGTCTCTTCTGGTCGGCTTTCAACCTCTTCGTGACCGCCGGAGACACTCGGCTCGCCTCCCTGATCGCATCCTTGTTCAAGCACCAATCGACATGGTCGTTGAGCTCCTGGTTGGACGTGCCCCCGGGAAGGTTCTGGCCGCATATTGGACACGCAGGGCCAGGCGAAGGGGAAGGGACATCGGTCGAGGGTGTTGGAGATTTCCGTTTGCCGAGAATGTGGGACGATGGATGGCATTCGACAAATATTGGGTCGTCGTCATCATCTGACTCGTAGTAAACCTCTCCATCATCTTCATCCATCTTCGCCATCTCGGACATACGACCTCTCCTTTTGGATGCTTCTTTGGCCGTATTCTCAGCTGGTGGCTTGAAGAACTGACATGCCATCAGGACAAATCATTACCAGCAAGAGACATGCTCACCCCTTTGATACCCTTCTCCTCCACTGTTAGGTCCCTCAACGTCGATAAGCGTATCCCTAAAAGGCGGATTCGCAGGGGCAACTCCCGTTTCAGTAGCTCTTGTGCAATGGGTAAGATCTCTTCAGCAGTTGTGAGGAATTTGGTCACTGATTTGGCCCTTGTCTTATCTGCACTTGTGTTAGCCGGGCAGCTAAACTGGTCGGGAGACACTGACTTTCGTACGTATGTAGCTACAGACATCAAATGTCAGCGTACAGCTATATGGACCAGATCGGGACGCACCTTGAATTTGACCGTAACGGTCTTCCCAGCATACTGCAGGCGCTCGAGATCCTTTTCCAGCTCGTCCGCAATGTCGGCCAGACAAGCCAAGATCTCCTCGTCATTCGCCTTGTCTCTGAAGGTGCGTTCCACTCCGACGCTCTTTCGCTCTTCTCTTTTCCCAGGGGCAACTGTATTGTCGGCGATCCCGAGGTAAGCTTTGCTAAGATGAACGATCAGCCATGACAATAGGTATACAAGCGGGGAACGCCTCACCAAAGCCCATGGAAGCCAAACCAATGATCCAATAGCAGTAGCTCTACCCTCTTTTCGTATATTTGCCCGCAAGTCTCCACCCCCAGCCCTTCAAGACACCGCTCCGTCACTCGTCCAAAGCCTGGGATTTTGCGAACAGGAAGATCGCGCATGAAGTTTATAATCTCGGCACGCTCAAAGCTGAGCTCGAATTGGCCGTTGGGTTTGTTCTTGTCGGAGCAGATCTAAGAACGGTCAGAGATGTAGAAACTTCTTGGCCCTAACACACCTTGGCAAGCATCTTGTTGGGGGCAATGCCGGCTGAGATGGTAAGGTTTGTCTTTTCTTCGACTTGTGCCCGGAGTTGGGTGACGACCTCTGCCGCCGTCATGCTGTGCGTGGACATGTAAGGTGTGATGCTGGGGCCAAGTGTCAGTTGATCTTTTGCTGGAAGACAGTGAAGCTCACTTAAGATAGCCTTCGTCCAAGCTAGCCATCATGAGATTCTCGTCATACTGGACAAGCACTTCACGGACAGACTTGGAGGCGGCAATGTACAAGTCAAAGTGCATTTCGGTTCTACATTTGAGCATCAGCACAGGTCTCGAGTCGTCATAGATACTTACAAGATGATCTGAGGGCAAAGCTTTTTGGCTATGAAGCCAGCCATCCCTGAGCGACATCCAAACTTTCTGGCCTCGTACTGTCCGAAAATTAGCACCCCGAAAACTTGTTTGTGAAGACTTACAGATGCGGTAGTCAACACCCCTCGACCCACACCGAACGGTTTGCCTTTTAGGGTCGGGTCACGTTGGACCTCTACAGAAGCATACTATAATAGATGAAGTCAGTGGAGCTCTTGCAAGTGAATCATTCGAGCTCACGAAAGCATCCATATCCACATGTATGATGGTCTGTGACAGATCACGAAGAGCCTCGACATCCATGAGCTAGAAAGAAGTCAGTAAGCAGCCTTGCAAGCCTGAGAGACGCACTATACGATCAGCCTCAGCTTCAATCTGCGCTTGATTGGCCATCGACATCAGTTCATCCCGCTGTACAACGATGATCAGTGACTGTCTGTTTGATTGATGCAGGACTTACTTTGGCCCTATACCATGTGATTTTCTCATTGAGCTCTTCGTCTTTTCTGACCTGATTCTTGTAGTATTTGGATCCCTGTTTTCTGTCAGCTCTGGTAATGTTTTTGTTATAGAGCTCACTTTGGAGGCTTCCGCGATGATCCTGTTGATTTCTGCGCCCATCATTGTCAATGATTGGCGCTTGCTGGTACCCGCTGCACTTACCAGTTTGGTCTCTCATCAAACCTATAAGCTGGTCAGATATCGATGCATATCGAGATTGACATCTGGCTTACCTGCTTTGCCAACACTCGGCCCAGCCAGACTTCTCTCAAAGCTCCTCTGCTTTGCCTCTGCTTCCGCCCTCTCTTCCTCCGTCATTTCTTCCCATTTCCTCTTCTTATCTTCTTCCTTATCCTTCCCCTTGCCCTTGTTGAAGCTATGTGGGCGGGACATGGCACTGTGTCGAGGACATCAAGTTGAAGCTGGCTTTGCTGACAAACCACAACAACAACAATAAATCGATCGTAGAAACGCGTCTGGCGGACGCGTCCGCGGTTGACATCACCAGATCCGGACACCCTCCATATGTCCCCGCTTATCTCCTCTTCCTTGCTTCTCCGAGAGAAACCTGGAGCACATTTCATGCTCAAATCTGCATCTCGCGCATATATACCCAGCACAGTACTCTTGAGAAGAGCCCTCACCAAGATGGCCTACCCAACCAGCCCCCAGGACCCCCTCCAGCTGCTCAACAAGCTCCCGGAAAAGTTCGAAGACGCGAGAAAGAGTGGACAGTTGTTCTTCTTCCCAAGCGAGGCCAAGGATATCTACAACTCTGGAAAGACGGTGAGACGATCTGACTGACGCGATTGCCTCCATGGTGCTCACTAGCGCACAGTTCAACATCCGACTCTGTCCGGCTCTCCAAGACAAGTCCAAAGCCAAGTCGGACGCCCTCGCTGCTGTCAAAGCGGAGAGAGACGATGGATCTCCAGATAAAAAGCGGCCTAGGACTACCGGGTCATCCAAGAATGACGAGGAGGGGCTGGAGGACAAGCAGAATTCACAAGAGCCGTTCAAGCCGCCCTATGTGCCAGAGCTTTTCGTCGGGTCTTTGAAGGGAATTGATGGAGAAGAGGGGATGTCTATCTTGGTGAGTACTGTGAATAGAAGCGCATGAGTCGCTGCTGATGGCCACATAGCTCAACAAAGTTCCTATTTGCCGCTTAAGCCTCATTGTCCTTCACTGATTATTCATAGTACGCCGTCCTCCCCAACCACTTCCTTCTCTGCCCTCCTTCCTACCAAGCTCAAGACCTCCCCCCTACCCCTCCCCAGCTTGCCGCAGCTTACTCTCTCCTTCTTGCCGCTTCTCGAAACCCCAGCAACCCGGCCAACCTCCTCGCCTTCTACAACGGCGGCCCCGGTGCCGGCGCTTCTCAATCCTGGCGTCATATCCAGTTCGTCAACGTCCCAAACGGCCGCGCTCCTGTGGAAGACTGGGTACAGAGCGTCAACTTTGAAAGGCCTGACAGAGCCGTGATCGTGCCCGACTTGCCATACTTGCATGTGGTGCATCCCCTGCCCCCTGCTGGGTCTCTGCCTTACCCGTTGACAGAGGAGGCGGAGGAGAATCTGGTGGATGTATTGGCGCTGGCGCTGATGAAGCTCCTGGATATGGCATTCGATGCTGCCAGGCGCGGAGGGGGAAGGAAGGATGGTGGATGGAACTTGCTTCTCACTCTGTGCGTCCACCACACCTTATATCAATCTTTACTGACTCTCTGCAGGAACCATATCCACCTCATTCCCCGAAACCTCCCCTCCTATCCCCTTCCATCTCCTCATCAGCCACTTGAACTGAACTCTCTCGGTTACGCCGGGCTCATCCTCGTCCGCTCGCAAGAAGAGGAGGCGGCTCTCATGTCTGCGGCGGAAGCCGAAGGAGGCGGCTTGGTGGGGGTGCTGGCCAAGTGTGGAGTGCCCAGGGAGACTGGAGAGAAGGTGCTAGAAGACGAGGCTGTGTTCCAAGGACAAGTGGATGCGGGACTGATTTAGAGACGTAGAAGACAATACATGTGTAAGAGAAGCTCAGACGTCGCCTCGTCAAACAATCATGCATTTGTACCATACATACTCAGGGTCATCAGGGGTGATACAAGAGTCACTCTCAGTCTCTTAATGATGGCCAAGCTCGAGAGAAAAGAGAAGTGGAAGAAGGAATGATCTAGCTCCGTTCTGTGGCGCTCCTGGGCAGTTCGGGTAGACAACCTTTGCCCGTAGAGATCTTGCCAGGACCAGAACTTTGCATGGCGATTGCAGGAGAGCTTGCCGCTTTGCTTGTTGGCCGACAGCATACGTACTTTTGTATGGTTCGGCATCCTTGCTGTCACGTGACTTACCCTTTAGTTGCAAGAGACGCAAGAGACGTGTCAATCAAGAACGACAGTCTATATTTCTCTCAGTCACAATGTCCCGGTAATGTCCACTCTGGAAGCACCTCACCAATCCACTAAACCCTCGAAATGGGGCAAAGTGCGCTCGTCTGTCAAGTTCACAGCGGCAGCCAAAGAGAAGAACCGAGCGACACAGGCAGATAGCTTGTCCGTCTCGAATGCCCCTGTGCAGAGCTCAGCCGGGGCAGCGGCAGCCAGAAGCTTGGTGCTGTTCTTCGGTATGTCTGAAAGAAGAAGGGCCGACGGCGTAGCTGATAGACACAGGATTCTTGTTCAGACGGCCTTCGAAACTGTTTAAACCGAACAGAGGCAAGTGCACCGAGCAAATCCGCCCTCAGAGCTGACAGGCAGACAGTCGACACATGGCTAGGTCTCCGACAGCTCGCTATATCGACAGACCAACATCTATCCCCAGCATTCATCCGCTCACTTCTCCAAAATCGTACAGGCCTCATCGCCGTGGGCCTCACCATCCTCCCTCCCATGCTCGTGAACGCGACACTCGGATTCTTACTCTTCACTTCACATTCCCTATTTTCCCTGGGTCTTGCAAAGCTGGACTGGTTTCAGAGAAAGGTGGAGGCGGAGAATGAAAAGGGAGAGATGATCGTCGAGGAGCAAGAGGAAGAACTGAATCTGGAGACGCTGATACGGGGGCCCAGTGTGATACCAAACCACCCAACGGTATTGAGTGCGGTAGCTGGGGCAGGGGCGGGGCTGATACAGGGGATGGCATTCACCCCGGTGGACAATGTTGTCAGGTACGCTTTCAACCAAGTCATGACCGAACGCTAACGTGGGCAGACTGATACATCAATCTACCACATCTTGGGTCAATATTCTTGCCCGGTTCGTACATCTTCCCGTACCCAAGACTCCAGACAATATGAAGGGAAGTTCCGTCACGCCTGTGCAGGCATTAAAAAACTTTTTCTCGGACGATGCGTGGAGAAGGAACAGGAACTGGTGGATAGGTTGGCGGTGGGCTGTTGCCCGTGACGCGTAAGTCACGTCGTGGACCCGGCCAATTCGGAAGCTCATGAAGTTGAAGGTTGAGCTACAGCTGCTTCTTTGCTGCCTTTGATGTGACCAGGCGAGTGGGCCTGCGAGTGAAGGGCATGTTTGGCGGCAATATCGAGCATGACTGGGACAACATCTTCATTCTTGATTTTGACGGCGACGCCCACGATGATTCCATTTCTTCACCCTATCCACCACCTTCCAACAATACTTCCTCCTCTTTACCGACGTATCGTCCCACAGGGGATCAACCTCAGGCGCCCACACTCGCCCGCGTAGCCCAAGCAGCGACAATAGTGACGGGCGGTGTGCTTGCCAGTTTACTGGCTCAAGCGGCGGGACGACCATTCAAAGAGTGTCAACGGATCATGCAGCTGGACGACCGGGAGTGGGCGCGCAGGGCCGCCAAGGGAGAAATGATGGCTAGAAGACCGCACTTCTGGCAAGCTCTACTCAAACCCCGCCCCGGGGACAGACCGCACCCCATCTTAAACACACTACAAACCAAGGGCCTCTGCCCTTTCATTAGATCGGAAGGAGAGCTCAAGAGTGCGCAGATGAAACGCGAGTTGGAGCAGGAAGCACAGGCTCAGGGGAGGATCAGGGGTATGGTAGGAACGGTGGTGAAGAGGGTCGGGTGGAGAGTGGCCAGTGTTGGGCCTTGGGGGTGTGGGTTCCTGGTATGGGCTTGGATCGGGGGCGAGGTGTAGATCCACCGTAGCTCATGAAGGCATATCATAGAAGGGATGTAGCAGCGACAACTATACATCATCTAATGCTTGACAGATATGCAGTGCTGTCGCAATAGGCCAGGTGGTCTTCTGTTGAATTGCGGCAACTCCCACTACTGCAGCGTCTGCCGTGTGAGTCATGTCTCGCCCGCTGTGCCACTCTTTAGCATTGGCATCATACTGGAAGTCACACTCTTGAAACGAGCTCTTCCTCTCCTCAGAGCGGCACCACAACCGATCCCTACGACATCAAGCGCCAAAATGGCCATCGGCAAGCGTGTACTTCGACTGTCCGTCGTCGGGCTTCCAAGCCGCTCCGTCATCCTACGTTCACCACGTCCGGGCCTCTCTGCGTTATTTGCGTCTCAGACCAGGCGTCTCGAAAGTCTACCATCTTCTGCGGCACCTGCGAAGAAGAAATTTATGTCGAGGGAGATACACTATAGGCAAGGTACGCCTGTTTCTTTTGTTGTTGTCATCGTTATCTGACCACACATACGTACTTTAGATGGATGACGGATTGATCGAACACGAAGTGGACTACCTGCACGACACTGAGCAGACTGGTCTTTTTGGGGTATTTTGGTGAGTGATGCGCTGAAAACACCGACATGGGTCTGACCTGTTCTTGATGGCCCTGCCGAGCGCGGCACGCTAATCGGAGCCAAACTGCCGGCAAGCTCCTCGGGCCTCGCTGATTATCTCTGATAGGGGGATATGATTGCGTCACAGCGAGTAGCTCGGGGCTCGGAGAGTAAACTTGGCACAGCTTGACAAGCTTTATGCTATGATGTCGGGGCTCACCGCCCCCTCTCCAGTGCAGCGTACTCGTACCGTACGGCCGTAAGCTTGGTAAGGGAAAGAAGCGCCAAGAGACTGGCCGGATAGCCGGGGTGCCTGGAAGTGGCCGCCGCCGCCCACCTGCGGATCAAGAGATAAATACCCGCTCAGGTCGCCACTATCGCCACCAGCTTGCTTATTCTTCTACTGTACTACTACTACTACTGCTACTCTACTCCTACTATGTCCCACGACAACAAGGCATCCATGGACGGCACCACCATCGACTTCAACAACAACAACGGTGCCAAGCCCCAGTTCTCCTCCGCGGGCCACTCCGTCCCAGAGAGCGAAGAGCTCGATCGCTATGTCACAGACGACGTCCCCAGGCAGCAGAAGATGTCTGTCAGGCCTCAAACCGCCCCCGAGGGAGGTTTGATCGTGAGCACTCTCTCAATCGTACCAGACGCACGCTGATCGTGGACAGGCCGTGCAACCCCTGCAGAAGAACGAGATGCAACCTTCTTACGCTCAAGACCTTGGCGCCGGCTCGATCGACGTGAGTTTTTCATTTCCTTCCCGCAGAGATCGAGCTGATAGATCAACAGCACGGCTGCTATGGAAGCTTCATGAACGCCCTTGGTGCTTGTATCGGTGCACTCGGTGAGTTGACCCTTTTATGTGTTTGGTTCACATGTTGACGATCACCAGGTGTCGTGCCATGCTGCCCCTGCCCGAACGTAAGCCTCAAGACATTTAACACGAAATTCGCACTGACACACCCTGTAGCCCTTCCACAACATCTCCCAAGGCTCCGTCGGCCTCGTCTCCCGTTTCGGCAAGTTTTATAAATCCGTCGACCCCGGTCTCGTCAAGATCAACGTCTGTACTGAGGGCGTCCAAGTCGTCGACGTCAAGATTCAGCTCACCGGCGTGCCCCGCCAGACTGTCCAAACCAAAGACAACGTCTCGGTCGATGTCGACAGTGTTATCTGCTGGCACGTTATCTCGCCGTACAGAGCGGCTTATGGCATTTCGGACGTCCGATCTGCGCTGGTTGAGCGTGCGCAGACGACACTTCGACAGGTCGTCGGTGGTCGTGTCTTGCAGAGTGTCATCTCTGACCGTGAAGGTCTCGCCCACGAAGTCGCTGAAATTGTACGTCCTTACTACCAATCTTTTCACCTCCTGCTAATCCTCTCTGCAGATCGAAGCCACCGCCGAAAAGTGGGGTGTCGCTATTGAATCCATCCTCCTCAAAGACATCAATTTTTCCATCGAGCTCCAGCAATCTCTCTCTTCTGCTGCTACCCAAAAGAGGGTCGGCGAGAGTAAGGTTATCGCGGCAAGGGCAGAGGTCGATGCCGCCAAGTTGATGAGGCAGGCTGCCGATGTAAGTTCTCATACTATCTCTTGATGAGACAGCTCTAATGTGGCGTGATAGATCCTTGCTTCCCCGGCGGCTATGCAGATCCGACAACTCGAGGCTCTGCAGAACATGGCTCGCAACTCTGGCTCCAAGGTCATCTTTGGTATGTCCCATATGTCTCTAGCTGCTACACTCATTCTGACTTGATGGGTAGTGCCGATGAGCCTCGGCGGAATGGGCGCGGCGGGTATCACCAACGACGTTGCCGACCAGATCCGCGCTTCTGGTCATGAGGGTGAGAATGCCGAAGCTGGACCCTCGTCGGCCAGTAATGCAGGGTTGATCACCTCTATGGCCAACATCTAAGTCCCAAAGCTCTTGTCGAGTTATGTTTTTGAAACGAAACGGAAGGAAAGATTATGTTTGGGAATCAGCAATCTTTACGAAATCGAAAGTGAAGGAAGGGAAAGAGGAAAAGTGAGAATAGCTACACACAGTATAATTGAGATTAATCTTTTGGGCCCATCGTGCGCCGGTCTTATACACGCAGACCTACTGTAATTCTATCTTGCTAGCCTTCTATGCGAGTCAAATGTAAAGTGCGTGCACTGTAGCCCGCCAGATCCCCCCTTTGCACACATTGCACATCCTCTCTCTATCTCTATATTCTCCTCATCGTTCCACAATCCACCGTGCGGATCATCATTGGGCAGATGCAGATGATGGTATACACGTACATATACATTTTAGGCTCTCTACAATCACTTTCTCCTCCTCGCGAGCTCCTTCTCAAACCTCGCCTTCTTGGCCTTGCCCCCACTTCCTGACGCTCCCGCACCACTGCCTCCTGTCCTCTTCTTTCCCCTCTCCAACACCTCTCCCCTAGCCCCAAACTTGCCCGATACACCATCCCAAACGCCCTTGTCACCCCTCTCCCCAAGAACGCCTTCCAACTCTGCTTCCAATCCGTTCCTCCCTCTCCTGCCTCTGCTGGGCCCAACGCCAAAGCCCATGGCGAGCGCCTCCTCATCCTCACGACGACGCTTCTCGTCCCTCTTGGAAGTGACCAGACGCGTCATGTTTTCTTCTTCAAACTCGTTGATTCGCTTGAGCTCCGCAGCGCGCTTGGCGCTTATGGAGTTGCTATGCTTGGCCAGCGTGCTCGATGTCGGGCGGACAGACAAGCCAGAGGTAGACTCGAGTAAGGGAGCAGAGTCCATCGTGGCGGCGAATTCGGAGAGGAGAGCGGGGGCACGACGTTCGCGTTCGCGCCGGGAGGGGGCGCCTTCTTCAGAGTAGGGCATGGCGGCCACTCGGGGAGGTCGGTAGATACCGTCGCCGCCCTCAGCTTCGTCGTCGTCGGAGGGAGTGCCTTCTCGGATCTTGGGGGCGTTTCGGTTGACGATAGCAGTGGGGTTGGGTCGGAATGATAATGGGTCTTTCGTACTGTCAGTCAAAGGTCAAAGCCAGGAATAAAATCTACACACCTTCTTCGACATCTTCGACGACCTCTTTCCCACGCTTCTCCTCTGCCTCGGCAAGCCCGACGAGCTTCTTGATCTGATACTCGAGCTTATTCTCCAAGCTTCTTGTCTTGTCCATGACTTCCTGGTTCATCACCAGCTCTCCCGCAAGCTCGGTCAAAATATCCGTCAGGGACGAGAGTTCAGGGCGGGAACGGGGGTTGGTGAACGGCGTGGTGAGGGAGGAGGAGGAAGCGGGGTTGGGCTGTTCTTGTTGGGGAGAAGTAAGGCTGAGAGAGAGGAGGATGACGAGCTGGTGTAGTGATGACAGCAGAAGGTGCGGCCGCAGATTCAGCAACGACAATCCTTGTCCAAACTCGAGGGCTTCATCCTTCTGTTCAACTCTGCACGAAAAGACACAAGTCAGCCGTTTGCAGCTGTACCAAAGAGCGAGGAGGCGTGCTCACTTGTTGAAGAGAGAAGTGGAAGAAGAAATAGTTGCATCAACAGCAGTCTGTATAGTCCCAAACAACTTCAGCACCTCATCGGTGGAAAGGATCACTTCGGCGTCAGACTCCATCTTTTATCTGCGTTTGGGTGTCAGCTTGCACCTTGAAAAATGATTGTTTTCTGGGGTATGCTCAGTCGCGAGGTTTCTAGGCTCGCCCCACCCTGCTAAGGTGGAATAGGCGTGTAATCTATGTCACTTCTTTGAGTGCTCAGTGCCCAGTGCGGAAACATCACAGCATACCCGAGAACAAGCAGGAAGACTTACGATTCGATTAGTTTTGCTGAAGAAGAAGAAAGAGAATGAGGAATTGCGACGAGGCAGAATTTTATCAAGAATTCATTTTGCGGGCAGCGCCGCCGACTGGTAGGCGCGCCGGTCTCCCGCTGGCAGTGCTCTCTCGGCCTCCGTCTGCTTCGAGTCATTTCTTTGCATCTACAACTTGTTTACAACGAACCGCCGCGATGGTCCCCGTCCCCCAGGAAGAGCTCCCCGTCCTCGAGGCCCTCATCAACATCCGCAACAGGCTCACCGCCCTCAAGAAGGCAAGTCCTCTCCTTTCTGCCAGTCCCAGCTCACCCCCTCCAGGACACAACCCGCTTCATCCGCGCCCCCGATGTCATGCCCATATACAACGCCACCGTCAAGCAGATCACCCGCCTAGTCAACGTCAGAGACGAGCAGTCCCAGTCGCATCCGAATCTCAATTCGGGATCGTCCAGTTCGGCGAAACCACCACTACCCGAGCCCAACAGGGTGGATCAGCTCTTGGCAGATGTCTTCCAGCTGCTGAGTCTGTTCTTTTTGACGATAGGAAAGAGCCGCGAGACACCCGCTACGTACTGTCAGATCGCTTCTATGCGCGTAAGTCCAGTCTTGGCGCACGTGCCGATCATGACGACTGACCGCCTTCTTAGCAAATCCTTATACATATGAACGAAAGTGGAGCGTACACCGAGCAATTCCTCATTCCTTTCAGAGAGAGACTGGATCAGTTGAAGCAGGTCATCAAGCAGGATTCGACGGAAGGCAAACACCCAGAGGCGGTGGTTCGGCTGATGCTTTCAAAGCTTGAAGCTGTCGGTACGTTATCAATCTTGCGCCAACCAAGCGTGACTAACATGGGATCAGAGCGCCAACTCGATGAACTCTTCCAGTCTCTCACTGTCCTCTCCATCGAACTCGTCCCCATCCACCAACGCCTCGTCGCTCTCCGAAAACAGCTCTCCGCCCTTGCCGCCGAGCCAAAGCCTAGCAAGGCAGAGTATAAGGCCGTTCTTGAAGAGCTGAGGAAGATTGATGGAAAGCGGGTGGATGGAAAATTCTTGGGTCCGGGAGGGTCGAGTGTGCCGGAAGGCCAGGCGCTGCTGAGTGGATTGTTGGAGACGTGCTTTGAGATTACGCAGGATATCAAGGCCAGGGATGCGGAGGAGGATGTCAGTCCGGTGTTGAAGCCGATCTACGACAGATTACTGGAGATGAAGAATGCGTTGGATCAGATGAGTAAGTGAGATTGGACTTTGCGGTGGCAAAATGCTGATCTCTGACAGCTTTGACACACCGGTGGACACTTCGTGAAACCGACCTGTACAATTACGCCATGGCGTTGCGCGAGATTGACTCTATGCGGGTCGATGGAAAGTTTGTGGATGCCGATGGCAACAAAGCTGGAGGACAATACGTGAGTACCACTCGGCTGGCGAGAAGGTGGCTGACTCTCGACAGGCCTTGATGTTCTTGTTGCGACGTTGTTATGGTCTGATTTATCGACTGATGTCTGAGTCTGAACCCATATCCGAGGAACTTTTACCGATTGTACGCTCTCTCTTGTCCAAACTGACTCTTGCTGACTCGAGCAGGCCAACAAACTTTCGACAATCAAAAAATGTTTGAATGAAGTTTTAAAGTACGGTGGCCCTTACACTCCCCGCGACCTCTATCCTTATCACCTTGCCTTGCACCAAATCGATACTCTCCGCAAAGACGGCAAGTTTTACGCCGATGATGGAAGTATACCCGAGGGGCAGGCCATCTTGGTCGCGCAGCTGAGCGAGGCGCATGAGTTGTTGGAGATGTTGAAGGAGAGTATGAGCGATGAGGAAGACGACGATGACGAGTAGGGGTAATTTACAAACGAGGATATCTGAGGACCAAGATGACTGGCTCAAAGTCATGGCTGTAGTGATTAGATAGTATATCCGTACCGGGGTGGGCCATGATAATCGCGATCAAAGTCGCGTTTCCATATGCATGTTTCGCCATTCATCCACCAAGTGTCCCCACGAGTCAACATGCTCCGCCTGCCCAGCAAGTGGCTATCGACTGGTTGCCAGAATCGCCACCTACCCGTTGACCCTCGTACTTGTAGTAACGAGTAGGACAAGCGCAAAAAGGCACGAAGGCCAGATATCGCTTCATGTCCGCAACTTCAGTTTACGCGTCCAGTCAACCGCTACTTGTTTTCTCTCTCACACGGCAGCCTCCATCCCATCCCCTCGTCTCGCGCTGCCGTCCTCCCACAACCGACATGTCCCCTGCTTCCGATGACGAGGGAGTAGATCAGCTCTACGATTCGGACGAAGATGCCGGGTCTGACGCTTCCGAATTCACGCCTCCACCCGGGGCGGATGACCCAGAAGGTCTGCAACTATTCATGGACAGGATCACAGAAGGGCAGCTGGAAGATCCGGAACACCAGGTCATGGATTGCAAGCGACTGTATGGTGAGTTGATACTGGTCTTTGTGTGATTACACGACCAACTGATCTATCTGTAGAGATGGTGAAAGACGGGAGTATCGATCTAGATCCCTCGTATCAACGTGACGTGGTATGGAGCACTACAAAGCAGGTTGGCCTTGTTGAAAGCTTGATGCTTGTAAGCCATCTTTGCCTTTCCAGACACGTCGGACTCATCAACTTGTCAGAAATATTATGTTCCGCCCATAATATTTGCTCTCATCAACATCCGTACACTCCAAGAAAAGTACATCTGCATAGATGGAAAACAGCGAGTCACTTCTATAATACGGTTCATGGACGGCGAAATCCCATACTCTCGGCCTGGTTCGAAAGAAAAGTTTTGGTGGTCGGATGTGGGAGCACCGGGAAAGAGAAAGGTCCTCCCGGGGCCTCTGAAGAAGCTCTTTGAGAAGATCAAACTCCCATCGGTGACGTACAAGGAGCTCAGGGATGATCAGCAGAGAGATATCTTCCGTAGGTCTGGACTCCTACTTCCTTGTGAGTTGCGCTGATGACGGCTTCAGAGCGTGTCCAGCTTGGTGTTGCACTTTCATCTGCCGAGAAACTCCAGGCCATCTCATCCCCGCGCTCCTCATGGATCACCTTTCTGGAGCGCAAGTACATTGATGGTGAATCTGGCACCCTCAAGGGCCTGATAGATTGGGATCTGAAACGAGCGAAGGGCTTCCAGAATACAGCATTCTTCGTCTGCCTCGCCAGTATGAACTTTGACAAGCGTCAAAAAGCAGAGAATAGTAGATCATCGGGACGATCCACATGGACGTCCGGTTTTGAGAACTGTTCTCCTGTGATGGTGCCTACGACCGGCAAATTGAAGACGTTCCTCGAGCGACCGGATGAGGTGAGCGCCCGTGTTAGCTTTGTGATAAACATGCCTAATAGGACGCAGCCGAACGACGCCTTCAAGGCAAAGGTAGAGCTGGCATTGGCCATATGGGTCAAAATTGGACAGGAGTTTGGTCAAACGGCATTCCACACTGTATCATCACGCGTCTCTCCAGTCGGCAAGTATATTCCTCACCCCTCTCCAGACTTTACTGATCCGACCTTTTACCAGAGAGCATGTTCATACCCTATGTCATCTTTACTCACGCCGCTCACTTGACTATCCCTCAACTCGCCAAAGTCATCGGCAACCTCCGTGTCGAAATACACACCAAGCACCACGGCAACGTGCTCACCAACGCCAAAACCGCACAAACATTCAGTGATTGGTTGCTGAAGACGCCGGCTTCCATAGCGAAACAGGTGGGCAATAAGGAGGAAAGACAGTTTGCGGCGGAGGAGTGTGAGAAGGAAGTGCATGTGGGAGTGCCCGTCAATGGGGAAGGACCGGCGAAGAAGAAGAGACGGAAGGGATAGAGATAGAGCGTGTGTGGTATATTTTCTTCGTTCAGGTCTGAACATGGTGTACTCGTATGTATCATATTTCCGACTCATACTCTAGGATGCGGAAGTCAGTCGGGCATCATCATGTAGTCGCGAGAACCAGGAGGCTTCGGGACCAGCCACCTTGTAAGCTCATCACTGCCCCAGTCATTCCGCCTGGCTCGAAGTGATAATATCACAAATATAAATGCATATGAGACACAAGACACACGGAAAAATGAAACGATCCCTCTATAACAAGTACTGCTTACAAAGACGACTTGCCCCGGGACTCGTAAGGCAAGATCAGGGTGAAGAGACCAGCGGCTATGAATAAAGCTCCACTGGTGAACACGGGCGCGGAACTCTCCAAGTTGGAAAACATAGCAATGATGGGGGCTGTATACAATCGTCAGCTTCGAATAGTTGGATGACGTGGATGAACGTACCCATGACACCCATGAAACGGTTCGTGATAGCCGCAAGCGCATTACCCGTACCCCTGTCCCTGGTGGGGAAGACTTCGGGAGTATAGGCGCAAAGCACGGCGTACATGATGTTGGAAACGAACGAGTAGACGCAGTTCCATGCCAACAACGAGTTGGAAGTGAGGGCGGTGGTGCTCCCACAGATGAAGACTCCTGTGAGGATGGCGGAGACAGAGAGAGTACCCTTTCGCCCAAGTCGGTTGATTTCGACGAGGTAACCACCGAGGATGGCACCGGGGACACCGAGGACGGCAATGATACAGGAATTTCGGTAGGTGATGTATGTCGAACCATCACCGTAGGTAGCACCCTTCTTGGCCAACGTATAGGGGATAAAGTTGTTGTAAAGAGGGAAGGCAAGACCGATAAAGGCCCAGATGAGGATGATCATACCGGAGCTGAAACCGAGCTTCTTGGAAGCAAACAGCCTGCTGACGTGCTCGCCACCCAGGCTTCTGAGCTTTCTCTTGAACGCAGCCTTTGTGTTTGTCTCCACTTGCTGATCCTCGCTACCATAGTTCTCGCACGCTTTGAGGTCCTCGACGGTCAACGTCGATTCTTTGCCGTTCCTCCTGGCGATTTCGTGCACGATTCTGACAGCTTCTTCGTCCTTGCCCTTGCCCATAAAGTACTTGGGGCTTTCGTACATTTGGAAACAGCCGAATCGGAGGAACCACATGATACCACACAAGCCGCCCATCGAGAGAAGAAGCCATCGCCAGCCCATGTTGTCGCCTTTGAGACAAGTAACGGCGTCTTCCTCGCATGTGAATTTGCCGAGCAGACCCCAGGCAACACCGGTGACAATCAACTGGCTAATGGCCCAGAAACTGGCAAGGACGGTGAGGAGGTATTGGTGGCTCTACGTGATTGTCAGTGTGGTACTAGTGATGTGATAGCAAGACGCACTTGGGGCACTATAGATCGTCAGCGCAGAGCATGACATAGGGCATTTTCACTTACCAAACTCCAAGAACAAGGCGCTGTCAACAGGCATGTTACCTCCGACACCGAAAGACCAGAAGGCGTCAAAGACGGCAATCATGGCAAAGTTGGGAGAACCGGCGGCGGCGAGCGCAAAGACGGTGGTGACACCCAACGTAAGGTTGAAGGCCCACTTTCGGCCAAAGATGTCGGCTCCCAAGCCCCAGAAAGCCGCGCCAGCACACAAGCCAATGTTTTGAGAGAGCGTCAAGAGAGCCGGCTGCCCGACACCAAACTCGTTGGCGACGGGGTCAAGAATGAGCTATGGAAAGTGTTTAGTGGGTGTGGGACGCATGATGGAAAGGGGAAGAGGTGTACTGAGGTAAGGATGAGCCAAAGATTGTCTTGAGCCCAGCCGAATCCAGCCACACAGAAGAGTTGCCATTGGTATCGACCCATGCCAATGTCATTGATCTGCAAGGTGTCAGCGGCAATCGGCGGGACGGCAAAAAAGCAGGACGGCTTGAGCCGCGGCCTTGAACTCACTGCTTGGTTCAGCACACCAGCCTTGGCAGCATAGACGGGCTCTACACCATCGAGGACCAAGTCGTCCTCTGGACTGGAAACGTTGGTCTGGGCGTCGTCTTCGTTGAGAGCATCGGGGTTGCTCTTGTCCTTCTTGTCGTTCGTGTCGATGCGCGAAGGCTTCTCCTGGAGCTCCGCCATATTGTCGGAAATGATAATGAAGAGTAGATTGTGATTAGAAGATTGATACGATGAGGATGGCAATAAATTGCATCCAGGGGGGGGCTTTTCTGTATCCGACAGCCCGTCTGGTGAAAGATCTGATATGACGTCTTGGCTGTTTGTGTGCGATCCAGCAGGGCCTGCAGCAGATGCAGCCCGACAATTTTTCAGCCGCAGAATTACCCAAAGCAGTAACCGATGCCCCCCCCCGAAGCGGCGGAGAAGACTAAAACGGAGTGCATGCAACTCGCTAACAAAAAAGGCAAAAAAGACTCGGCGGCCGTGGCCAGAGTGACTGACTTGTGGAAAAAGTCAAGATGATGCATATGGGGTATGGGGTACTCACGCTGCATGCATATACAATCCGATGCATAGCAGTATATGCAAAAGAGCGAGGGAGATGGGCAAGCGTCATTTTCCACACTCTCGATCTTTCCGCACGGGGTGTCCTGAGCTGTTCTGAGCGATGAAACTGTTTTGCAACTTCAGAGATCATCCAGGCACGCTGCGGGAAGCCGAAGTATGCGAATCTCACATCGTACTCGCCGCAAGCGGCGTAGCCGACAGGAAAAGTTTTACGGCAAGAGGGGGTTGAAGGTTTGGGAGAGGTCGTATGGCAGACTCGCAGCAAAAGTCCCAGAGGACAGCGATGACGGGTCATCCTTCGCAGAGATCCACCCACTGTGTCCGGGGCCAAGGCTTCTCCAGCATCTCTCGGCTCCCTGACTAGTCATCTCAGGAAAACGATAACCGGCAAGCGTTAGTGTCCACATGCTCGACAAAGAACCTCATCAATCACATATGGGGTAACATCGTGCCGAAGTGCATTGTGTAGTGGCGTAGCGTATCATAGAGTGGGGTTGCGATGGATGTCTGCATTTGTTGTATGTACTGATTAGATTCGTACTATCAAGCATATGTGAGATGTGGCAGCAAGGGTTGAGTAAATACCCGAAGCCATTGGCCCCCCTCGTATATCTAATCTCCCCACCCTCCCTACATTCTTTCGCTCTGGTCATGTGACTAGTCGTGCATGCTGCGCCCCTGCTTGCGCCCCTGCTGCACGAGTAGTCCTAGGAGGCCGATGACAAAAGTCTGATTATACGTTGACATACATAGCCATGTCGGGGACCTTGGTCCCAACTCCCAACTCCTCCGGTGGCCACTGGCCACTGGCCAGTCTACGATTCACGACCGTGTTTCCGTCACTTCAGGGTCTTCTCTGTCTGGCTGCTGTCCGGGCTTGCCGAGCTTGCCCCGAGAAACGTTACCAAGTGCTGCTGGGGCCCTTCCTGGGGTTGGGCTCTAGGCTCTGGGCTCTGCCTCTGTCCGCTGTGTTCGTACTCTCTTCGTGTTGATTGGGATCATCTACACGTCATGAACAACCTAAATCAGACGTAAACCGAAATATATACTATGCTCGTGAAATGACAAGAGCATGCGATTATGGGACAACAGCCTGTCAAGAGCTTGCCAATGGAGCGTACAACAATAGGTCGACTACCAGAGAGCGAATCTATGGGTCGCCATTCAAGATCCTCGAGCTGTACGGACCAGTCTGCCTGTTGCTCGCACACCCTCCTCATCTCATCAGGGCAAACAAAACATTATGTACGCTGGACCTGGGAATTCTCCACATGTGCGGTGCTGTAATCACCCATAACGACGTTGGACTGGTGTGTGTGTGGAAGTCTATGAGGTGGTGTGTTGGGTGAAAGTCTTGATGACGTGCCATTTTCTAATAGTCATCATTGAGCCAAAATGTACTATTGCAATGGGTCTGTTGCAGGACTCGCATCCCCCAATGGGTACCATACCACGCAGAGCCCACGCTATGTGTAGGATGGCACAGGACAGAAGCAGGATGAAGCAGACTTCCATCCTGACTGTTTCTCCTCAGATGTTGACATTTAGGCCGGGCATACTGCTGGTATTCTGATGTGTGAAGCGTTCGCCTGTTTCGCAAAGCCCACGCTATCCCGACAAACGCCTTATAGCTTGGTCACATGTTAGCGATAACTTGACGCGTTGTGATCTTATGTACCAGCAAACCCGAACCTACTTCACCAAACACTTGCTAAATCCAGTCTCATATGCTCCAATCCTTCCAGCGCGCGATCCCCATCCAAAAACCAAAGTATCGAGAAATTTGCATAGAAGAGCCATGTAATACAAAACCCTTCGCCGCGGTCCGCTATCCCAAAGGATCCGTCTCCATCCACTACTACCACAAAGTACCTCTCCACCAGCCAAAGAAACTATAAAGTTGCTTAAGCAGTGTCGACGACCTTGCCGGCGGTACCCCTCTGCAAACAATGTCAGCGAGATGAAAGAAATATAGACCAAAAGACGTACGAGCAAACCAGTCCTCCTGGCAGCGATAAGACCAGCCTTTTGACCGGCGGGGGCGTCTCGGGCCATGGTAGAAGCGTGACCAATGTGCTGCAAACAAGTTAGTATTCACTCCAGAGCACAAAAGAACACGACGCACCTGGTGGTTACCACCACCGTGGGGGTGGTCCACGGGGTTCATAGCCACACCACGAGTCCTGGGCCAAGAGTTCCTCTTAGCACGCATAGCGTGGTGCTTCCTACCAGCCTTAAGGAAGGGCTTGTCGATCCTACCACCACCGGCGATGATACCGACGGTAGCCCTGCATCGGGAAGAAACAGTCTTCTTGGAACCAGAGGGCAACCTGATTCGGGTCACACCAGACTCGGAGTGGCCGATGATGGTGGCGTAGTTGCCAGAGGTTCGGGCGAGCGCTCCTCGGTCACCAATCTTCTCCTCAACGTTGCTGACGATGGTACCTTCGGGGCACTGACCGAGGGGGAGGACGTTGCCGATGGCGAGGGAAGCCTTCTTACCGCAGTAGACGAAAGATCCGGTAGAGATACCCTCCGTAGCGAGGAAAGTCTCCTTTCGGAGCTTGTATCGGTAGGGGTCACGGAAGACGACGGTGGCGAGGGGAGCACCTCTGTCACGGGCGTCAGCGACCATTTCCTCCCATTTTGACCCTTCCTCGCATCCTCCCCGTACTTGCTCCATTTTGCTCTCTTTTCCTCCCTCCTAATGGATCTTCGACTCACCGACCAGCGTCGTGGATGATGTCCTTGACAACACCCCTGATGTAGCCGTTCTTCTCAGCGTAGTCGACGTTCCTGAGCTTGGCGGGGTTCTTGTTGTGGTGGGTGTGGGACTTGAAGATACCACCGGACTTCCTTTGTGCTCGGATGACTCGACCCATTTCTGCGAGGTGTGAGCGGCGGCGGGGGGAGGGGCAATGGGGACGCACTGAGAAAGTTTTGAAGGTTGAAGTGATCCTGCCAGCACGAAAATCACCAAGTCGTCCCCGCAACCACCACAATCGCGGCGACCGCCGACACGCGGCAAATTGCGGAAACTGTGCTTGTGTGGCACAGCGCGGGCTATCACCGATGAACGCGCCAGGAACCATATCCCATCGTGCTCAACTCGATCTTGCAACAATCGTGGTATGCATCGTCCACACCCTGGTCACGTTGCCCCTGGTCACGTTGCAGTCATCTGAGACGTCTATTACCACTCCATGCATCGTAGACAGTCTGCACTCGATGAGTCCCACTCCGACTTCCTCCCTTCATTTCTGCAAGCGCACCCCGCTTCCAGACTTGCAGAATCTGCAGACCACCTCATTAGGGCAGCAAAGTTTAGCAGGACACGACCACGAGCCTCAAGTTCAGCACGCGAGCTGTAAGTGCCCAGAGAGAGTTACTACTTGGCAGCGCTTATCTCGTATTGGGCCTAGAATACCATGCGACTACCACGCGGTTCACTATGCAGACTGCAGTAACAGGTGGTGATGCAGATTTCTGGCAGGGCTTGACTCCCCCGCACAATGCTGTTGAGCAAAGATGTAGACACTCGGATACGTCGGTCATCAATCTTGATCTGACATGGCATGTCAACTCTATGGATCACAGATACCTAACACAGTGCACCAACCTGAGCCCATTAGCATACGCCACGCGATGTATCCTATCCTAGAGTATGATCCCCGTCATCTCCTCAAGTCGTTCTTTTCAAGCAAGCTTTCAAAATCCAAGTTGCAACGATTAAAGTTGAACGCGGCGGTCGCAGGGGGCTTCCGCGGCAATGAACTCTTTCAATCTTTTTCCAAATATCTCAGTCTCAGCTTCCACAGCCTTGCCACCGCCGACCATGTCCACTCCCCCTCCCCCTACCCCCGCTCCTACTCCCCCCAAACCCCCTGTACCCCCTCCTAAACCGCCCGTCCCCCCAGCCGCCCCTGCCGAGCTCACCGGCTTTCGCTCAGCCCTCGCGCACACTGGTATCCCCCATTCCGTCCTCACCTACTCTCCGCGCCTTCCCTCGCGCAACTGGCTCATCTTCTGGTCCCTCTCCATCTCGGTCACTTCTCTCTACATATATGACCGCCGAGAGTGCAAAAAGATCAAGGAAGAGACGGTAAAGAGGGTCGAAAAGTATGGACAGGAGCCTCTGCCCGGGGGAAGCTTGGGTGAGCCGAGGAGGGTCAAGGTCTGGGGAGGCAAGTGGGGTGGTGATGAGGATACTGATAGGGCCAACAGATACTTTAGGAAATATGTCAAGGTGCGTTCACAATACTCGTAATGTACACTGCTAACGCTTCACAGCCATACCTGGTAGCCGCTGGCATAGACTACGACATTCCTGCCAATCCTCTACACGGATCCATCGCCCGTCAGCTCCATGCCTCTATTCTCGCCCTCCGCCGTACTTCCCTCTCCCTTGACGCCCCCGCCCCCACTCTCTCTCTTCCCGGCTACAACGCCTCTCCCCTGCAAAAGCTCCAGCGCGAGGTCGAAGGCGGTGTGGTGATTGTCGGCAGGGCGAGTCTCAAAGAGTACCTGGAAGGTCTGAGGCGGGGATGGGAGGGCGGTGTCGACAAGTGGGAGTGGGAGCAGCAAGTCCGGGAACAGCTCGCAAAAGACGACTTGGCGCTCTTTGGCCCCGAGGATGCTGCCCCCGCTCCTGCTGCCACCCAAAATATCCCTGCTCATTGGCACGTACCTCCCATCCCCCTGCCCCCTTCTCCCCCCATCTGTCTCCTCCCATTCACAAACCACCTTGGCTTCTTTCAACTGCCCAACATGATCTACGACTTTTTCACGGAGCGTCACAAGATCCAGGCTGGTGCCGACGCCGCCATCTCTCTCATCGAGGGTGGTGTGCGGGATATGACGAGGGAAGATGCCGAGCATTGGGAAGAGTCTTCTGAGGGTTACTACAACAAGATGGCGAGGACGACGAAGGACAGGATGCAAAAGGCACGAGACGACTATTACGGCGAGTTGACGAAGCGCATCCAGGACGCCCGGGCCTACGAGATGGGCGAGCGAGAAATGACGGATGAAGAGAAAAAGGCAAACAAGGTGACCAAAATTGCCGATCTCAAGGAGGAGAGGGTCAAGCGAGAACTCAGATGGATGGGTAACGAAGAAGGCTGGGACATTGTCAAGCCCGATACCCCTGCTACGTGGAGAGACAACTGGGAGGGATGGTTGAAGGTTTACGACTTGCCCGCCGACGTCAAAGAGAATGGATTGTAGAAATAGACATAACGACTCGTCATCCTGCATGCACTGATTCCCCATTGATGTGCTTCTGAAGTAACGAATTCATGATCACAAGAGAGAAAGGGGAAAAAGGAGAACGAAGAGGCATGAAAAGAAGGTTGATTGTTGACGGACGGCTAAAAGGAGTTTGCTATTGCATTAAACTTGGAACAGAGGGAAGTTCCCAAAACCCGAACGATCATGAGTCTCTGGTTCTACACTTCTCTAGGCGGCGGCGGGAGCCTCCTCAGCCTTTGGTTCTTCCTTTGCTTCCTTCTCAGAGTCTGGAAAGAATCAGCGGTGATTCCATCAAGGCAGGATATACGTACCGGGCTCGTTCATGTCAGAAGTCCAGAGAGTAAGGTTGTCCCTAAGAAGCTGCATGATGAGGGTAGAGTCCCTGAGATCGCGTCAGCCAAGTCCCACCCAATCACGCTTTTGCTCACTTGTAGGACTCCTCAGAGAGGGTGTCGAGCTCGGCAATAGCGTCGTCGAAAGCCTGCTTGGCGAGATGGCAAGCACGGTCGGGAGAGTTGAGGATCTCGTAGCTTTTTGGGGTCAGCCAAAGCCTCTTTTTCGGCAGTCGACTTACTAGAAGACCGAGAAGTTGAGGGCCAAACCAAGACGGATGGGGTGGGTAGGGGGGAGCTCGGTGACGGCAACATCGGAAGCGTTCTTGTAGGCCTCGAGAGACTTGTCGGCAGAGTCCTTTCGCTTGTCGCCAGTGGCAAACTCGGCGAGGTATCGGTGGTAGTCACCCATCCTGGCATACGCGTCAGCGCGTCCCTTTACAAACTGTCTCCACTTACATCTTGTGGTAGAACACCTTGGACTCGCCAGAGGCGGCAGAGGGGATAAGGTGCTTGTCGAGGACCTCGAGAATGTCCTCACAGATCTTGGCGAGCTCGGCCTCAATCTTCTCCCTGTAGGACTTGATCATGGTGACCTGAGCCTCGTTACCCTTGGACTCCTCCTTCTGCTCAATGGAGGAGACGATTCGCCAAGAGGCTCGTCGGGCACCGATAACGTTCTTGTAGGCGACAGAAAGGAGGTTTCGCTCCTCGACGGTGAGTTCCTGGTCGGAAGAGGCGACGGCCTTCATGTTCTCGACCATCTCTGTGCAGGGGGTCAGGGTGCGTCCGCACGGTCAAAATATGTAAAAACGTACCCTCGTATCGCTCAGCCTGCTCAGCGAGCTTGGCGAGGTAAACAGAGTCTTCCCGGTTGGCAGTGGACATTCTGTGCGGTGAAATGATGGGGCAAGGGAAAAGGGACACGTCGAAGAATATATAGAGAACATCCGGTCAGCGACATGCTCGACGGTAGAAAATCGCCCCCAAGGTGATCACTGGGGAAAGAGGCAGAGGCGACGAGGGCAAAAAGCGTGACATGCTGCGCGCCACGTATTCGCGTGGGCCGATAAACCCTGATGCGATAACGGCGGGGGCACTCTGCGCAACGCATCTCCCCAGCCAGCGTCCATCGCTACCCCGTGTACGGCGCGGCGCAGGCAAGATGCGAGGTGAGGATGGATGGATCAACGTATCCCATGTGATGGTCGATCGCACGGACGCGCGAAAACGGGGCTTTCCCGTTGCCACGTCGCAGACCCGTCCTCAGCCGACGCGTCGCTCCACCCACTATGCGTCCCCCCCTCTCATCTCGCGCCCACAGGCAGACTGGACAGATCGACTCACGTTGATAGTAGTGGCTGGGCGTTGACGACCTGCGTGGGACAATGTATCGTGCGATGCGGTGCAGGGGCGGTTGGAGAGACGGGCGCGGGTGAGAAGGGGACAGATAAGAAGCTCGTCAGCGGTGTGCACTTAAGAGTAGAAGGCGCGAGAGAGGGGAGAGAGGGGAGACTGTGGCGCCGCAAAGGGGAGAGGGGGGTGACAAAGGAGCCAGATGGGAAGAGGAGAAAGGGGTGGAAGCGGGTGGAAGGCCCCTCCCCGACGCGCCGGGCAAGGGGGGGGGGCTTGGGGGCGGGAGGGACTTACGGTGTGAGTGGGTGGGCAGGGGGGATGGATGGGGTGGGAGTGTTTGTGGAGGGAGGCGAGAGCACCAACTCGGGAGGGGCGTGAGTGAAGCGCGAGAGTACGCTACAACCGCTAACGCCGTTCGCCCGTTCGTGTGGCAGGCATGATGTCACCCGAATTTCTAATGGGCCTTCTAACTACCCAGGCACGGCTAATTGTCATTAGCATGCCCGGCGCACCTATGCTTCTTAGGCGTGAGCGCACATGTCCTCGTTCAACCAAACAACCCAGTGTGGTGAGGCTTGCAGTAGGAGAAGCCTATGCTATGTCACTTCTCGTGGTATTCCGACACATCGCGGCTGCCACCCGTACATGGGCTGTCCGAACGTCAGCCATGTTAAGCCGGTAGAATCAAACCAGCAAGTTGTCTTGCCAATGAGAACGTCTGGCAGAGTATTTCTGATGCAATGTCTGATATGACTGAACGAATACATGAATTACACTAATTGGGAGAACTTAGAAGAGATCGTACTCGAGTACGGGCTCCCCGAGATAAGAAACCACCGCTTCAGTAGCCGCTTTAGCAACCACAGATGCTGACGTCAAGTTGTTTGTGATGCAGAAAGGCAATGGGGATACTGACCGTACGCTGCTCTTTCTTGATGGTGATTATTGATTCTCCCGAGAGACCCGTCGCGTGGTGCCGTGGCGGCTGATGACAACCGTTTTGGCCTCTTTCCTGTGGTAATGCATATCGTCTTGAAGCAGATAGCGGACCGGATATGCCTTTCATTTTGTGACCCACGTCCTACAAGTAACAAACAAGAAACAACACAAGAAACAACACAAGAAAAAGCATCGCTCAGCCTCACCTCGCTTGAAGTGGATTCGGCAACCAAGCCGGAGGACCGAGCGTGGAATTGCCCAATCAGGCAAGTGGAGGCGACCACCCTCAAAATGCGCTTCCTGCTTTTTCAATCAACATGGCGGGTTTCTCGGTAGAGGATGGTAATTGGTGACCATATGCGGGTGCAAGGGTCAGATTTGACTGGAAAATATAGACAGGTACGATGCTGCTCATGGCGATTGTACGAGTAGGGTTGCAGGATAGGACCTGGAAGAAATGGCGAATGAGCGCGCGGCTTTTACAGCTGACCATACTGCATGTAAGGCAAAGATCCAGATGACAAAAGGCTGGGGTAGTGAGGAAGGGAGGCAAGCTTGATACATCAGCTGGGGTGTATGCATGATTGAGGGTCACGGCGGTGTTGTTGCGCTGGGCGAAGTAAAGGACGCAAAGATCAAGCATGATTATCGACAAAGCACTGCTGACAACATGACGAAGATTCAGACAGCGAGGGTGATGCGCATATGTCAGCAGCCACGAGTGCAATGTCTCCTTTGTATATTCAGGTACAACAGAGGTTGGACCACGGCGGAGACGGTAGAGCGCCACCAGGAGGAGCAATTGTAAAAAGGTTCTCCAACGTCTTCGCTTTAGACCAGATGCGACTTGATGTAGCGCACAAGGACCTGTGAAATTGTAATCAGCCTAAGTGTGACTCGAAAAACAATCATGCCTTTGGGATATACTCATTGAGTGACTGGATCATGAAGCAACTGGCAAAAGCCTCATAGCGTCGCGCGTTTCGTCGCCTCCCGGACGTGAGTTGGATTTAGTTCGGATGCCTCTCGACTCGATGCAATTTGTGTCTAGAGCCCAGCCTTCTCAGAGCCTCTCGATTGAGGACGGCGGACCAAGCAAGACTGGGTGAGACGTTCCTTGCTGCCATCCTCGTTCGTTCAATCAACGACATCCTGCCCTCGATGGTCAGTAGCGCCTTGAGCGAGGTTTACATGCTTATGATGCTGGGAGAGTCTGGGTGTCCAGCGGTGCTCTTCAAGCCTCCTCTTCTTTAGCCCTTATTCTTGTCATGTCTGGATTATATAGTCGTGCAGTAGTAGGCCTAGGCGTGAAGTTCATATCGGGTGGCGTGCGTGGAGGCATCGTGCGCTTGAATGTGGACGAACCCTAATAAATCAAATAAAAGAGATGAGAAGAGAAAGAGAAGTAGGGATAGATATGAAGAGGGAGGATGGGAAGAAGATGGTGGCGGCTCGAGCGAGAGTTGACTGGACCGCCGACGGCGAGTGGCGCGACGCGGCGCGACTGTGATCATGGCCGTGGTCGCATGCTGTCTGTGTATTAGTCACATCTGCACTTAGACCTTCCAGAAAGAAATCACTGTTTGATACTAGCACAAGCACAAAACACCTCGTGAGTGGTCTGATTTCAGTCACGATGGTGGCCGATACTTGTCCCTAGCCACATCTTGTACTCCCACAGGGTCAATATAGGAAGAAGAAGTAAGGAATGCGCCCCATGACGGAGTCCTGACTGCATCAGAGATTGCTGCTGGTTACACTTCCGCTCGCAAATGAAACTCTATAGCAGAGCAAAAGCATCTTTGTCGACGACTCTGGCAAGGCAGACGGATAGACGGCCCTGGCATCATCATCCTTGATGTCGAACAATTCCACGTCCTCTAACGAAGATCTTAGAGGTGCGCTCAAAGACCAGGGAAATCTTCAAGTCACTGCCGTAGGAAGGGGCCCTTACACGTGCTGGGACACAACGGCAAGATCAGATCGACAAGTGTACGGAACATTTACGGTCGTGTACGCGTTCAACATTGTATATCTGTCTGCAGAAGAGCATGTTCCCTTCGCCTTGCGGAAGGGTTGCCATTGACGTGGCCTGCCCCTTCGTGGCATGTTTCCACAATTGACGTCCCGATGATCCAACATGCTCTTGCGGATAACGGAAGCATTTGCGGCAGCGTCTATTTCCGTCAGTCATCTCCTTTCTCTTATTTTTGTAACCTCACTCTCCGACGCATCCTATAATCCTCCGACTCATTTTTGTCCCCAGAGGATGCTCACCTGATCGAGGCCACGTCACAAACATGCAGAGCCCACAGGACACAGGGCACAGCGCAGCCAGCATCGACCGGTACGTATCATATCTCATGAGGACACAAAGCTGATACCGCGGCAACGTAGCGAAGCCAAAGCTCACGCAGAGGACCTCAAAAGCCTGCTTGCTAATAGCCACTTCCCTTGGAGCAAGGATGTCGAAGCTGCTCAGAAACAGTCAGCTTGACCTTCTAAACCTTGGCCCATGCTGATAAAATTCGGCGCGTAGATGCCGCAATGCCCATCTCAAGTTGATATTTCACCATCCCCTGTCCCCATATTCCCAATCTTTGGACCCTTTGTGGCTGCATACAACATACGCTCTTATTCAATCTTACAGAGAGGTCGTCGCAGGCCTGGAGCGAGTAGCGCAGTCACAGGCAGGTTCTCCCGTGGGGAATGGCGGGGGACGAGGAGGGCGACGCAAGGGAGGGGGGGCCGGCGGTGCTGGCGGCGATGTAAAGAAAGCCTTGACGCGCTTCCGACAAGTACTTGCCAGCGAAGAGACGTTCTATCGCAGCATAGTTGCCCGAATTGCTTCATCCTACGAGTTGGGCGAGATCTCGGGTGTCGCAAGCGTCCTCAGGCAAGTCAAGCTGCCCGTGGACATTTACTCGCCCCACGAGACGTCGCCGCTGTATGAAGATGCGTCGCCGCTGGCCAGACGTGGGTCGACCCAAAGCCTGAGCTTGGCAGAAAAGAAGACAAAGTTGGGACTCTTGTATAAGGGCTTGATCTGCCTGGGTGATCTGGAAAGATATCGCGAACAGTACAAGGCGCCCATCAATGGTGCAGGAAGGCGAGCGCAAGAGAGAGTGAGGGAAGGAGGGAGGTTTGAAGCAGCTCAGAGGTACTATACGGCAGCATGGAGTTTGCTTCCCGATGATGGTATGCTTGTCACAAGTCCATAGCTTCGTGTGCTGATGCGCTATTATAGGCTCCGCGTGGAACCAGCTTGCGGTGATATCGACTTATATCCCCTCCGACTTCTCCACTGCATACTACTACATCCGAGCCCTGTCCGTCCGTCAAGCTTTCCGGGGAGCTGAAGGAATTCTGCAAAAGTTCTTCAGTAGGATGTTCGATAGAGGCCGAATCAGGTGGAAAGAAGAGGACCTGGTGGAAAGAGAAAATGGAATGAAGGGCGTGGATGGTATTGAGAAATGGAAAGATGAGGTGGTGGCCTTGATAGCGATCGTGCATCTCAAGATTGGGCAAGTCATCGATCATCGGAATAACAATGAATGCTGACCAATTTGACAGTTTCACATATATACCCACTCTCTTGCCCTCCATTCTAGACTCTCTCAAAGATCACCTGTCTTCTCGCCACCTTCCTACTGAAACCATTGTTCAACTCACCGCCCTCCTTATCGGCGTTCACTTTCGAAATCGTTCCACAGCCGGAGTCTTGCCTACCGGTAACCCGGTGACTTCTCAAGATCCCAAAGTCGTCAAGAGATCTTATGAAGCTGAAGGCAAAGCCTTGGAAGTCATGCTCCGAGTCTGGACCGTCTATTTCCTTGTTGCTACCGAGGAAGTGAGAGATGCGAGCTTGGCAGCAGTTGGGTCTTTGGAAGGCAGTGCTCTGGATGACAGGCCTGTCGACGGGGCTGGAATTCGCCACGACGAGATGCCGCAACTCATCTCCGCCGTCCTCAGACGAATTTTGCCTTCCCTCCGGCTGATCTCCAAATGGTTAAAGTTGAATTCTTCATATCTTTTGCGACTCTCCAACACCCAAGACTCCAATCCGATTTGTTCAACAAATCTGACTACCGCTCAAGGTGACTTTGAGCGACAATATGAAGCCTTTTTGGGTCTGATAGGCAAGACTTTCCCGTTGGACAGATTGCCCAGTTTAGAGGAGGCACTGGAGGAGGATATCGACATGCGGGGCTTCCTTGGCCTAGTTTCTGGGAGTGCCAGCGGAGAATCCAATGGCTTGGCAAAATTCAGCGCTCAGGGCCAGACCAGCGAGCAAGGCATACTTGATGGGCGAAGTGCGGAGCGAGAAGTGCATCCAAATGAAGAGCACTTGATGCGACTGAGTGATCTGCAGGTGGACGGGAAATTGATCTTGAGTTTCACGCAAGGCCATGACTCTGTCGAAGTAAGTTCAGGTCTTTCATCAGTTTGAGTATAGTTATTGACATGGCAGCCGCAGCCTCTAGACCTCCATCAATCGTCGTTCAGCATTCCTGACGCCACTACCAAAGCTTATCCAGCACTGCAGGATCTTCCGCACGTGCCGCCAGCTTTGTCAGAGCAAGACGATCTTGGATCAATCTCAACCAATACGGAGGATGATCCTGTCACTCTCGCCATGCGTGCAAGTCTCGGAGAGCACGGGGAGAGCGAGCTTGGTGAAGGCATTGACGATATGGGGGACGACGATGACGAAGAGGTCATCGTTTGGGGAAGGGGGTCAAACGCCTTTGCTCAGCCCCCAAGTCAGTCCCAAGGATCGTTTCTCTCGAATGGCACACCCCAGGCCCTTCCTTCCCTGGCTCCTCTGCATCAACCACCATACACAAATCCTCCTCAATCATTATCAGCTCAACATTCTGCTACCCATCAGCCCAAGCCGCAGCTCCACAACTTCCAGCAGCCGACTCATGCTACAAGCTCTATGATGAGCGGGATGCCCAATGCTGGCGGGTCTGGAGCCCCCAAAACAGCAGCCGATCTATTGCACGATCTTCTCGAGGGTGGCGTCAATGGCTCTGTGTCACCTATGGCGCAAGGTCCATTGTATGGTCAAACCGGATCACCCTTCGTCCAGCATTCCCCAGGCTTTGCACCGTCGGGGGGCTTCTCGAGGAGTAACAGCATGTCAGGGATGGGTCTGCCATCACCTCACCCATTGCCTCTTCCGAATGGACCAACTGGACATACTCAGCATTCATCCCTTGGGTTTCCCCAGTTTCAGCCTCCCTCAGTTCCGCAACACTCGCAGCAGCAATCGCAACAGCCGTTCATGGGTGCTGCTCAATCGGGTGGAATGGGAATGGGAATGGGCAGTATCTGGACCATGACAAGGGAAGAAAGCGGAAAAGGTCAAAGCAGGGGCTGGGACGGAGTTGTCGCTGGCAACGGTACCGCGCCACCACCCGGTTTCGGCTTGAATGCTCCTCAACCTCCTGGGCCTTACCCCGCTCCCACCCAGCCGCAGCCCCAAGTGCTTCCCAATCATCAACAAATCTCCATAACGACATCGCGTCCATCAACGACACTCCAGGCCCAAGTCAAAGGCACCTATCGCCCGTCACCCTCTACGAATCAGCCTAGCAAGCAGGCTGGCGTGCAGACGACTCGCCAACCCACCGGACCTCCTTCCAGCGGGCCTATGTGGGGCGGTCCTGGGGCCGCAGGAGCAGCGAATGGGAGTGGCGCCGCACAAGTAACAATGCCTTTACCGTCTGTCAAAGCCGGTGAAGGAGCACCATACTATATGCGCCCCGGGGTATTTGGGTCTACTGGATCTGGAATTGCCTCGGGACCTCCTGGACTACCTGCGGTTGCCGTAGGGGGTGGGTTGTCTTTGGGAGGTAGCGGAGGCGGGATCTGGGATAGCAGAGCTGGGACAAAAGAAGTCGGCAATGCGCAAGGATGGGTGTGAAAATCCACAAGAGTCAGATTGTTGGATGCTGCCTTGAAAGAGTAGCATCGGTGTATGGTCACCTACTGCTCCTGCCCCACGAATCGTCGCGCGCATTAAAGATCATCTCAGAGATGGGTGTACGTATATTTCTTGGCTGCACCTGTGGGTCTTGGGATGCTTGCAGTTGGAGTTCACGGGTATGGAGCAATGGGGGAGGGCTGTCTTTTTGTGATATTCTCGGCAAAGGAGAAAGGGTGGATGTAATGTTCTGTTCTGTTCTCTTCTGTTCGTTCTGGGCGGGATAGCGTGCCGTACGATCACCATGCTGTGGTATGCATATTGAAATGATTATAGAATTCTGAAGTATACCGAGTACTAGTTTCACGTGATTGCCGCGACTGTTTTGTTGACATAAACCAGTATCTCTTGTTCATTTCTTCACTCAACCTTGAAATGCCTTTTTCCTCCTCCAGCACCGACAGATTCAGCAATCACCTGCCCCCATCCCCGCCCCCCGTCCACCCCGCCCCTGCCGCCCTCGCCCCGAGTCTACGCCGACATCTCTCAGATCAGTCATTCGCCTCTCCCAAGGGCAAACCCAAACTCCGCCTGAGAATCTCACAATGGAGTGTCAAGAACAGGAAGAGCAAGGGCGAGATTATGAGAAGAAAGCAAGAGAAGAGGAAGGCCGAGGACAGAGATGAAGAGGAATACAACTTCATGCGTGCCAACGGGCTTCTGGCACCAGAGGAGTACGAATGGGAAAGAAAGTTGGAACATCGGACGTCAGTTGCTCGGCTGGGCGTCAAGGGTGTCAGTGAGTCGTCCATACCCTCTCTGGAACCCATCTGATGAGACCTAGAGATGAGGATGACATCTCTGCCCTCAATCTCTACCAGCCCATCCGCCTTCTCCTTCCCTGCGCCGCCTCCTCGAGACAGCATCTCCAAGTCGATCAATCTTGACGACTACGAAATCAAGACACAGTCTCTCTTGGCTGAGCAGTTCAGCGATGGCAGCACCGCATCTGTGTCTCTCTCTGGGGCTGGTGAGCCCGAGGTTGAGTCCGAGATAGAGTCTGAGCCTGAGGAGCAGGCCACCCCAACGGCGGTTCTCAAGGTGGCCGTCGGTGTACCTGCCATTGTGCGCAGCATCCCATCTATGAACAGCTTCACGGCGCAGCCCTCATTCGTCTTGCCCGAGGAGGTTGATATCTTCTATCGAGGCGGCTCGTGGTCGGATGAGCTTGGTGAAGGTGGTGAGCTTGAAGCGATACCTCCTCCACCGGAACCCAAGCAGGTGCCCAGTGCGCCCTCCCAGCATCTGTCCGTACCCAACTCTCGGTCTGTCCCAGCAAGAGATGGGCAATTCACAGATGCCGATTCGTACTACTGGAAAGCAGAAGATGGTCAATTCTCAGACATTGGCAATGAAGACGCCCATAAGCCGGCGGAGAAACCTCTCCCGGTTGCGCCTCAGGACGGTCACTTCATGACCACTCTGAAATCGTCTCGACCCTCCATTGGCAATCTCAGACCTTCTCATGTATCCGACCTCTTCTCCCCGGATGTCACTGGTGTCACATTCATCACCGGGGAAGACGAAGACTGGTCAGAGTCGACTCCAGGATACCATCGGCGTGACAGGATGATCTCGTCAAAGTTCTACGAGCATTGCAATACCACGTTCGAAACCGAAGAGTGCGATACGACGGCGGATGCTTTGATGGTCCGGCAAGATAGCCATGAAATGTACAGGAAAGAGTATATTGGGTCTGACGGTGAGTTCTCAGCGGAGTCTATCGATCCTCCTTGTTGACTGACACTGGCAAGGCTCTACTACGACTCTAAAGCAGCATCGACGGACGACATCAGTCGGATCTACCTCTACCGACGCTACCGCTCGTCAGCCCGAATGGCCTCTGGGCACCGCACTCACTCAAAATCTTCTCCAGAAGGCCGCCACCAAAGACGCCCACGTCAGGACACACTCAGACTCCGCGCCACCACGCCCTAGCACCGACTCTAATGCTGTCCGAATTTTCAGTGGTACCGTGAAGAAAAAAAGGCCGCCCAGGCACTCTGTGGACCACGAAGCGAGCCCTGCTGGCGATTCCTTCGACGACGTCGACCCACCTCGAGAAGACGTCGAAGTCATCGAATTTGGCCTCAGTACTCATCCTTCCATCCGCCGTCCTTCAATCTCTTCCTCTGTTGTCACCACAGAACGTATCAGCTTCTCCGCTCCTCGTGCCGTACGCCCCAGTCATTCCATCCGTTCCAAACGGGCCAACAGCACCACCCGAGCCCCTGAACCTCGCGCCTCATCCACCTATACCCGCCAATCCGTCACCCGCTCTCACACCGATTCTTCTGTCCCACGCTGCTTTCTAGATCTGTCCCATATCTACGCCCCGTCCTCCAAGCAGCCACACCACCCTGTCTCTCAGAACAAGCCCCATCGGAAGATCCATGACCCATTTGCGGTTTTCGACCCCTACCCGCCTATCGTTCCGGTCAAGCAAATCCCAAACGATCCTTGGATTATGATCACGTCAAGTATGGATGATGACATGTTGAGGAAGAAAGGCTGGAAAAAGGTGGAGATGAGGAGGCTCGAGGGGGAAGGGTTCTGGGCGTGGATGAACAGGAAGGTGCATGGAGAGGGGCTGAACGAGGCGAGAGAGAGAATGTTGGCGGTGAAGGGGAAGGGCATGGATGGAGCAGTGCACGAATGATACAGCAATTGCCCTTAGGACGCTTTTGTAGTAAGATCAACCGTATCTTGTTGTCAGGCAGCGTTCCCTGTAGTAGAGACTTTTGTCTTTGACATTCAAGTGGCATAATCTACTACTCGATTTCTCTGTGATGTGTTGTATAGGGCTCCTCGAAACGACGGCCTCTATGTATCTTATGGCTTATGAAGGATTGACACCTAAGGTACTGTCAGTGGCGTCAGGAAGAACAGCCACTCAGCAGCGTCCGTAACTTGGTGTACATATGTACTCGCAAAATGCCTGAATGGTCTAATCAAAAAGGATTCGTTTATGCATAGGCAAGTCATCTAGTCGTGGAGCAAAGATATCATCAAGTCGTCAGCATCAATTGAGAAACATCAAAATCGTGGTCAAACATCAAGCTTGGCAGTGCATGAGCCTGTTGTCATTCTAAGCCTCAGAATCCGCTCGTGCAGTTCCTTGCAGCACTATAGGAGCACTTGACATGTACAATGACTGTCAACAGTCCGTCAGCTCTGTGTGACTTGGCATATTCTAGGACTGCGGCTTACCATGGCAGTCGTCGCATTGCATCCCAGGCCTCTGGCCAATCCTTTTCGAGCAGACGGCACATTTGGAGCTAGATATGCCGCCGAAGTCCTGTGTCGGTTTCTTTGATGAGACAGGGGCTGCCTTGCCGCCTGGGGAAGAGGGCGGTTTGCGAGGTAAAAGTGCGGTGAAGGTCGAGGTTACTGTGACGGCCGCTGGTCAGCTGGGGCCCTATACAACGTGCCAGTACTCACAGGTCGAGGCTAGAGGCTTCCTGCCAGCCAGTGAGATGGGGTCTCTATCAACTAGAGTAAATCGATGGGTAGCCGCGTTGTTGTTTACAATTTTCCGCGTTTGAGAGGGAGACCTTGGAGACTGAGGGGTCGGAATCGCAATAGGAGGGCTATGCACCTCTTGCGCCTCTTCATCCGGATCACTTCCTTCACAGTGGGTGACGAGAGTAGAGTGAGGATGATCCTGCGTCGCACCAACCGGCGCACCGGGTGAGGTGGGCGAGGTAGGGGCTACAGTAGCCGCGGCTGTACCACCGTTCTTGATAGTCATTGTTGACGCTGTCTCCTCGGCAAAGGGGGTCGCTGGTTGGAGGACAGAGGCAGTTTGCGTCGGAGACTTGGCGGCATCCGAGTTGAAGGAGGAGTGAGAGTTTTGAATGGACGGGTTGATGAGTGGGTTGATAGAGGAGGGTGTGCTTTCGATCAAGGGTTGGTGGCCTACTGAACGTCAGAGTTGCTTTTCAATGTGACCCCAGACTCACCTGTGAAAGCGCTTGCGGCCGTGACATACGTCGCAAAGCTCCTCGGCTCCTTCCACCTGGCCGTCCTCCACCTTTCCTCCACATCTCCGGCCGTATCCTGTTCGCCCACTGCCGCTTGCCCGGAGTCGACGTCGACCTTCATCTCTGCTAGTCGCTTCAAAGCCTCCTCTTCGGCTCTTTTTTCCTCATCATCTTCTTCTGGATCTGCGACTGTCTCTGGAGCCTGAGGAGCGTCGAAGACGGGCATAGCCCGCTTTCCTTCTCGACGAGGAAGTTTGATAGAACCCACATGCTCGCCAGGCTCGTCCATCCATTGCAAGACCTGCAGCTCGATACTCCGAAGACGCGAGAGGACTTCAGTCATCTTGGGCCGGTCTGCGGGATCTTCGGCGGTGCATGCGAGAGCAAGATCGATGAATGCCCTAGGACAGCCAGGAGAAGCGCGAGCAGTCACTTCGGTGGGGTCAGGGACGAAGGAGGGTGCTTGACGCTATCGTAACAGTGAGATGTGGTCTCTGACTGAGGGGAGCATCTCACGGTGAAATGCTTGGAGTCCACGACGTGTCGGGACATGATCTCGATGAAGATAATACCCAGCGAAAAGACATCGGTGGGGAGGTCCAGGTCACCGCCATTGATGATCTCTGGGCTCATGTATCCCTGTGAATAGTCAGAGTGTGCTGGATACGGAAAGAAGGACTCACATCAGTCCCACAATACGTCATTCGCTTCAGCTCCTCCTCATTCCTGGAGGCGATCCGAGCAAACCCAAAGTCTGTGACCTTGATGCGCTGGTTGCTGGTGATCAACAGGTTTTCTCCCTTCAGGTCGCGATGAATACACTATCCGACAGGTCAGCAAGAGGCAGCACGATACGTGTAGGCTGGCTCACTTGCCGAGCATGCAGGTAGGCGATGGCCCTGGCAACATCCGTTGCGAAAGATAATCGGAGCCGCCACGGGAACGGGTTGGAGGACAAGATGCACTGTCGCAGATTGCCACATGGGACAAACTCAGAGACGATGCTGAACCACTGTCAGCTTGCTATCATATATCTCTTGGACAGGTGGCATACAACACCCGGCCATCATGGTCCGGCGCTTTACACAGTCCAAGAAAGAGGACAATGTTGGGGTGTCGACATTCACGCATGATCCGCCATTCCCGCTCAAAGTACTTGTGGACCTATGTTAATGGTGGTGAGTCATGACGGCCTGACGACAGGAGGCCAAAGCGCGTACATCGTACTCGTTTGAGGGCAGGATCTCCTTGACAGCGATATCGATACCGAGGTACGATCCTGTATGGAATGGAGGGCCTGAGTGGCTGATGACAGTGCTGAGGATGGATGCTGGAGACCTACCTTGGTATACCGAGCCGAAGCTTCCTGACCCCAGCTTGCGGCCCCAGACGATGTCCTCGTACTGGAGGGGGTGAGCGAGGCCTGTTCTGCGCGGGGATGGGACTCACGGGGACGATATCAAAGTCCATGGCGGGTGGGCTGACGGCAGAAGAGATGGAGATGGACGATGGCGACGATGTAGAGCGGTGTGGAGGGCGAGGAACGGCAGGGTCGACAGCGCACAGACGCCAGAACAAGCACCAGGCTGATGATATCGCCTCCCGTCGTGCCCCTGCAGCGCTGACACGCAGACAGGGCGATGCATGGAGCTCCCGTGGGCAGTCTTGTTGATAGCCACCACAGAAGACAGCGCAGAAAAGTATGTATGGGATCGTTAGTGGCTTAGTACGGGCGATGGTCATGGTCGCATCTCAGGGCACTCGGCCGCCGGGCTGTTGCTCGATCCACAATGGCGGTCAGCTTGATCTTGCCAAACACCTGACAGGGCGCAGAATGGAGTAAGATGCGAACAACGATCACCCGAGATAGCGTCAATATCCTACATGATTCCATCGCCCACACGTCTCTAGAACAAACCCAACAGATCATCTTGCCCTCCTTGCGCCGACTGCTGCTGCGGTTGAGGAGTCGCCGCCGGCGGACTCGCCAGCCCTTCCAGCCCACTCAGCCCACTCAACCCACTCAGCCCACCTCCACTCTGCTGCGGCGTCAATGCAGGCTGCCCGGGCTGTACCGCCGGTGCGCTCATACTCGCGGTCGAGAACAAGTCCATGAGCTCGTCCAGGGGGTTGGTGCTCTTTGCGGCAGAGGCGATTTGTTGATTCGAGATGCCACCAGAGGTAGGAGGCGAAGAGAGCGAGGCGAGGCCGGAAAGGTCGTTGGAAGGACCGTTGGAAGGAGCGGGATCATCGTCAAAGTCGAGCAAGTTTTCGGCTTGTTGGCCGGCGACGACTGTTTGGAGAGCCTTTTCTCTCGAGGCATCGTCCTCGGCGCTGAGCTCATGTCAGTCACAGTACGGAACACAGTACAACCAATGCTCACTCAAGATTCCTCCTCGCCACATCATCCGCACCTAGACGACCCTTGCCGATGAACGTAGCAGCAGGCTTGTGATATACACTGGCAAGCGTCGAGATTTCATGGAGAAGGTCTTCCAGAATGGCAGGTGCAACAGTCGTCTGGGGCAGAGATATAGGTGGTCTGACCGAGAGCACAACAGACTGTATACAAGAATCAGAACCGCGTAAGATGGCAGATGGGATACGCACCTTGGCAGCAGCCGGGTCTGAAGACAATAATCTCCAGTAAATGTACGCCCTATCTCTCACATCCGGGCTGTCACAGTCTGTGGTAGCCGCCTGCAACACCTTTTGCACGATCGCTTGGCTTTCATCCGGCTTCTTCAAGAACAGCTTGACGATCGCGGTAAGCGTTTGGAGCTGGACAGGATAGCTCTCTTCCCTAAAGGTCTCGAGGAAAGCACCGAGGAGCTCATCGGCATTCTCAATCTTCTCGGCGTACTCGCCGATAATCCAGATAAGAGAGGATTTCGCTTCTGGCTCATCGAGTTCTTCGAGGTTGGCGCAGAGGGCAGGGATGATACCCTCGTATGAGTGAGGATATTTTCGGAAAATGTCCTAAAAAGTCAGTTCAATTCTGGTTTCAGGCGCATTCGACCCACCTTCATGACAATCACAGCCTCCTGTACCACATAGCTGACCCTGGTCTCAATCAACTCCATCAATACCCCCACACACCGTCCAGCCGCCTCATCAATCTTGATAGCGACCTGACCCACGGCCCTAACCGCCTTTCTCACAAAGTCTACATCAACCTCCGACGCATACTCCTTCAGCTCGCCCAGCAACGTATCCACATTCTTCTCGCTGGCGAGGCGGACCATAATCTCGAGCTTTTCGACCTTGACATAAGAGGGATCGTTATATTTGCAGAAAAAGACGCGCATTTCGTTGGCGAGAATGTCGGGACGTTTCTGAAGAAGAAGGTTGATGTTTCGGAGAGCTACCCATTGCACCTCGGGCGGTGATGAGATGAGGGTCACTATGAAAAGTCAGCTGCGACGCATTGTCAATTGGGCCAATCGTACCTAGCGGGGGAGCCATCTTCTTTATGAGCGACTTGATGAGTTCCTGCCTAGTGACATTCTTCATGTGGATCATGATGACCTTGACAGCACCCAGCACCACCGCCGCGTTCACGTGCTGGAACTGCGGCATCACCCTTTCACATATATGCTCGCTCTCCTTTTCGTCACTCGTCTTGTACCTCGCCAACGTAGTCAATATGGCGATCCGTCCCCATTCTGAGCACTCATTCAAGGCGACAAGGAGTTTGGTGAGAGTTGTAGAGTCGATGATGAAGAGTGATTGGTTGGGTCGAGAGGGAGCATCGTCTTCGTCGTCGTTGGAAGGAGGCGTCTGGGGAAGACTGAGGGAGGCTTCGTGTATATCACCAAGGGCCGCGACAGCATTGGCGACAACCTGGCACATATGAGTTTCCATTGCAGAATGTCCACAAGTGCACCTACCATAGGGTTACCATCTCCGATCAGGTCTCTCAGCGTCTCGATGAAACCATATTCAACGCAGAGCTCCGGCTTCAGGTCAAAGACCTTTGCTACACACAGCGCCGCCGTCTTCCTGACGTAGGGATTCTCGTCCTTCAGACACCGAGAGAGGGGAGACGCGAGATAGTCCAAGATCTTTTCGGCTCGGAGGACAGACATGGTTCGGATGGCCAGGGCTCGGACGAGAGGGTTGGGATCGGCCGTGTCCTAGTAACGGTCAGCCCGGAAAGCTTGCGCGGCAAGGATGCATACCTTGACAAAAGTGTTGACAGCAAGGATGACGAGCTCGGGCTGGGTCTTTGCATAGTTCATAAGATACAGATACACGAGCTTCTTTTGCTCGAGGTCATCCGTTTGCTGCGGGGGAGTGAGTACAGCGCAAGACACGACGAGCGTCACGGACCATGTTCTTGACGACATCTGGGAAGAGGCCGCTGCAGTCCTTGCCGATGGTGTGGTTTGCGATTACGCGCTTGATGGCATCTGCTCTCTTGTCGCGGTACTCGGAGTTGAGTTGCTGGCGCAGCTCCCAGTTCTCGCCTGCGGGGGTGAGCACGGCGGGGGACGGGGGCGGGGGGCTTACCTTTGCGCGGGGGGGCCATCGACATCTTGTTGCAGGGGACAGGCGTGGTAGTAGTAGCAACGAAGTAGTAGTACAAGTAGTAGTTCGTTAGCGGTGGCAGGGCGGATGTCGCCGCATAACGACTACCATCTTGAAGTCACTGTTTGGCACCGTTCTCGTCCGGAACCCAGTCAGACCACTTCGTATCCCCTCGCCTATCCCTTCGCCCGTCTCCACCATGGCCCTCGGCTGGTTCTTCAGGCCGCTCGCCCTCGCCTCCACTGTCGCCTTCTCGGCTCTCGGCGCCCTGTCCACAAGATACCAAAGAGCCAGGCTCTACTGGAACCTCATTCTCTACCTGTCCGCCTTGGGCATGGCCAGCGCCTGGGGAATCGTAGTCACCATTCTCGCTACAGCTTCCGGTCAGGTGAGTCCAATCACATGCGCGGATCACGCGGTGGGCAAGAACGTGCTAATGCCGTTGGCTGATCAGAGGTTCAACATCAATTACTATGTCGCCCGGACGTTCTACAATGTCGCGAGACCGCTGGTGGGGATCAGGATTCAAGTCGAGGGGGAGGAGCATCTGGACGGTCTCTTGACCGCACGTGGGGGCAAGGGTCAAAGTGCCGTGCTTCTGGGAAACCACCAGAGGTAAATGCTCGCTATGGCTCGTACACGCAAACTTGAGCTGACCATTGTTGATCTGACAGTATGCTCGATATTCTCTATCTCGGCCGAATTCTGCCCAAGAGGTCGGCGATCATGGCCAAGAAGGAGCTCAAATGGTCACCAGTATTGGGCCAGTTCAGTAAGCATGGCGAGTCTGATCTCGATCGCAGCTGATCCCGTGCAGTGAGCCTCTCAGGAGCCGTTTTCGTGGACCGAAAGAACAGAACAGATGCTGTCCAAGCCTTGGCAGTGGCTGGTGAGGCCATGAAGAAAAAGGGTGTATGTGCTCACCATCACATGCAACGACCATGGCTGACTATTCCTTAGGTCTCTCTCTGGGTGTTTCCCGAAGGCACCCGGACATCATCTCCCGAATCCAATCTCCTCCCATTCAAGAAGGGTGCTTTCCACCTGGCTGTTCAGGCTCAGGTTCCTATAGTTCCCGTGGTTTGTGAAAACTACTATAGGCTGTTTGACGGTCGCACGCGCTTTGAGCCTGGAGTCGTGAAGGTCCGGGGTATGTCATGGCACGAATTGTTGTGTCACTGTGCTAATAATCATTTGCAGTCCTGGAACCGATACCCACTATAGGGCTCACTGTCGACGATGTCACCTCTCTCGCCGAGTCGACCCGCGAAGCCATGCTTCAAGCCCTTCGTGAGATCTCCGTCCCTACGTCTTCTTCTTCCGGCCCCTCAACTTCATCTGCCGGTATCGCACCCCCTATTTCAGCAATCGTCACAGATCCTCCTGTTGGCGCTCCCATACATCTCAACATTTCTAACAACGACGCCCAGTCTGCGTTACGCCAGAGGCTTGCTCTACGTTCGGGGGAGCATAGTAGAGAAGCGAGCTCCGAGGGGTCAAAGAGGGGCGCGACGAGCAGGGATGGCGAGACGACGGAGGATGAGATGGATGAGGATGCGGTGTTGATGAAGAAGCCCACAGGGACGGTTTAGGGTTTTCAGTCATTTTCGTTTTCCTCTCTGGCGACTTGGTCGAGTCGAGTGCGTGGCATGCACAAGCATTACAGTATACGAAGATCATCACGTAGTAGACAGAACAGTTGCCAGTTGCAGAGGGCCGATATCTCCATTGTGCAGAAATTGTACGAGCAGAAGTTGTACGAGCACACGGCCAGTAAAAAATACAAAAAATGGAGGAGCTAAGAATTGAACTCAGTACCTCGTCAAATCCACTCAGTTGATGAATGCTAATGACGCGCTCTGCCAAATGAGCTACACCCCCTTGAATGAAAGACGGTTTTTTGTGGCAGTTTCGATTCAATGTCAATGGCCTCGAGTTTCCTCATGACGTCGAGACCGGCGGCTCCGATGCAATCAGAAGATGCAGCTGGCCAGCAGCGCTCGACAACTTCTTGACACTCATAGCTGAGAGGAGCAGCCTAGTCAGCTTTCTACCCATACAATCGTTTGAAGCAAACCATGGTACGTGACTCCAAGTCTTATGAGAACGAGTCGCTCATCCTCCTGCCTGCGTGCTTGTGGCAGTCCGCCCGAACTGTAGACATTCCCCAGTCCGTGCTTGAGGACCTCAAGAACTTTCGCTTCAAGAACGCCAAGGGCACCACTGCAATCTCTAGTAATTCAGATTGACTTGACTCCACTGTTGTGAAGAGGTTCTGACAGTTGGGGTGCAGTCAAGATTGTCAAGAGCAGCTTGACGATGGCGGTTGATGAGGAGTTCGAGGACCAGAGTATCGAGGAAATTGCCGAGGGTGAGATATACTCCTTATGTCTCATCGATCTAGTGCTCATGCTTTTGTCTTGAAGAGCTCCCCGAGAGCGGTCCCCGATATGTGCTTATCTCTCATGAACTGGTGAGCTGCGTCAGACTTTCTGGGGCTTCGCTCACCCACACTTCACAGAAACACCCGGACGGTAGAATATCATACCCCATCATCTTGATCAACTGGTAGGTGTCTCTTCCAAGCCGGATAGCGTTCTCAGGTCTGTACTGATGATCAATCGCAAGGGCCCCGCCATCCTCCCCTATTGGACTCATGACGCTGCACGCCTCCGCCCTGAGTTATTTTCACCAAGTGTCTGAGGTATCCAAGGTGACTAGGATTGGTATTGGATAGACTTAGAGTGCTGGGCTGATCATCTACAAAGGTTCTGGAAGTCAGGGATGGTGCCGAGGGCTTGACTACTGAGGCTGTGAATGAGAAGTTGCTTGGGAACTAGGCGTTGTACATGTGCTCGGCTTTTCACTGCTCTGCTAATTCAAGGCATCAATGAGTGTCCGATGCACAAATCAGTCCTTAGCCAATTCGGGCATCGCTTCGAGCAGCTTTCGTCGCTGTAAGAAAAACGTCGGTACTATACAACATCGGCTGATTTGCGCTCTTGTGGCAGTTGTGCTTCACCCCAATGACCGGGTCTTTCGTTCCTTTGGTCGATCAGAAGGTGTTAAGTTGGTCACACACCTGTACAGGCTACTGTAAAGGATGGGGCCCCGGGTTAGGATATTCAAAGGACGTCGCGATTTTGGGAGCCCTGCGAGATATCATGGTCCATCGATGAAGATGTTTAGAGGATGGGCATAGGCAAAGCGTCCCGGGAGAGCTATCCCTGTCTCAGGGCTTCAATTTGAGAATCATCAAGGCGGGCTCATTGACTCCTTAGACCCCTTTGTGAAGTATGCTTCGCTGTTGGGTTCTATCCATATATCTGGCGCAAATCACTTTCCGTCACTGATAGTACGATTTATCAAAAGAAAAAATAGCCAGGACGTGATTGCGCCCCAAAAGGACAATAATGTTCACGTTGAACAATCGACTCACTTGCAAGGAAGGGAGTCCCGAAGACATATAGCACCTTTTTCTGGTTTCGTATATGTCTGTTTTGTCTTCTATTCTAGTTTTCAAGACCGAACAGGATAAAGGTAGAAGAAACCTCGCAGTCGGCGATGCCACAGAACCCTCACTGTACCGGCCACCCGTATATCACTTGATGCTATAATTGATATAGAACCTGTATATTGTTGCCATTTTCGTCCGTATTGTACAGGGCGAGAAGCAAAATGCGAAATGGGATCCATTTCCTGACATTCGTCATCATGAACAGAGTGCAGATCTCGGTCTATATCCATACCATGAATGGAGAGAGTGTAGGCCAAAGTCTGTATAAGAAGCGCAATTTCCCCATAGTCATAATATCATCGCACCAATTCCTGCTTAGCAATACTATACTGAGCTGCACCATGTCCGAACAAACCCAGTCCCAAGCGGGCCAAACCGTAGTAGACAAACTACAGGAAACGTGGGAAACTGTCTCTCGTACAGAGCGCCTCATGTTTATGATGAACGACGCCGTTCTACCTTCGATGCCCCGAGACACCCCTGAAGAAGCCGAAGAATTCGATCTCGAGTCCATCAAGCAGGCCTTCCACAACGAGACAGGCAAACGTATTTTAGAGAGAATCAAGTACACTGCGGAAGAAGACGTCACTATAGACAGCTTGGGAGCCAGCAGAACTCCGCTACAGATTGACATATCATCTGTTTTTGCCGAGGGGCAGCAGGATCCCCAAGAATGGCTCAACAATCTTGCGGCCACCATTGGCAAGTCTGGTCAACAGAGCATCGTGCAGAGCGCATCTTTGGCGCTGGGCGATTCGTTCTCGCCCGACCATGTAATGCGCCGCATCGCAACATATCTTAACGATTCACTCCTAGAAGAAGCTGAAGGAGATGCACTCAAGAGGTTTCAAGAATCTTGCCGAGAGATGTCGAAAGAAGACTTGGAGGACAAGCTCGATCGCGCGTCAGGCCTCTGGAGGCCAAACCGGAAACTATCGATTTGGGAGAGCTTGGCTCCATGGCATGAGAACAACCAATCTATTGGAAAGCTCTCCGGCAATGTCTTATGTGAGTCTGCTGTGGAACTGGGTCCTTTCAATCTTGAATCGTTGGATGATGTCAATGCGACGCTGCGATCGGAAATGGACCAAAGAGAGCAAGATTATCAAAAGCGATTTGGTGAAAATGCCCCCGAGGATCTGAACGATTCCCAAAGCCTTCCTGCAGAGCTGAGGGAAATGAATGAAAAAGTCATCACCTCTCCTCATTTCAAACAATATCTCGAGTTCGAACCCTCGTCCCAGATCACCGAGGGCCTTACTCGCATCTACGAGTCAGCAGATGGGTCGCAGCCTCCCGAACAGCAAGATATATTGCCTGCTCTCCGCATCGAGCCCAGACAATCCACGTTCAAGAAGCCGGGATTTCTGCCGATGATGCGCAGTGCTCGATTGTCCTTCTTCGAAGGGGTAGATGAGGTCACCGCTGTCATGTCCGACAATCCTGACAACCAGTTCTTCCGACGTACTGGGATGGTTCCTGACAAGAGGTCCGTAGATTGGAACAACTTTAGGTTCCGACTTGTAGAGGAGAACTCCCTAGATGCCCCTTGTAAGCTCGAGGAGCTTTGGCCAATTCACGTCGAAGATTTGACCAGCGCTGGTGATGGAGAAGACGACGGGACGGCGGACGAGGAGAAGTCGCGAAGGTTCGCAGATGAGGAAGAGTTGAGCACCTTGACTAACTGATACACCCGGGGATGTCGATAGTACATAGTGATTGAGTGATGAAGCAATAAAGTAAGCTGCACGGTGCATCGATCCGTCGTTCAACACGGCAAGTTTCGCGCGCCTAACGCGAGGGGCTGGGTCGGCCTTCGCCGGGTGAGATGTCATGTAGGAGGGATGATAGAATGGTATGTATGCATTGAAATCCTTCATGGCAGCCATCGCCCCCGCCCTAGTCGCCCTCCTCGAGAGGGCACAGCGCCCAGACAGGCTCGGCAGCCTCCTCAAGGAAGCCGTCGTGCTCGTCCAGACCGTCCTCGAGCTGCTCGGGTCAGTCAGCGACTCGGGTCGCCGTAAGCACAGAGCTGACCATGGTGCACAGCGAAGAAGCAGTGGGCATATCGTTCAATGGTGGGAAAGACTGTAGGTTATGCTCCAGGCGACCTGACAGTGCTGACAGCCACATAGGTACCGTTCTGCTCCATATATACGCCGCCGTCCTCTATGCCCGCCGCACACCCACATTACCAGAGGGATTACTCCCAAAGCCCTCACCGCACATCCACCTTCCACAGCCGCCGCAGACTCTGCAGCCCCCGATATCACCACAGCCTTCATATAATCCATCACAGCCAGCCCGAACTCCTCCGCCGGTCCTCTCCCCGCTACCCACCATAGCCTCCGCCCCGGAATCCCCTCCCCATCCCCACTCGACTCACCACCACCCCCCATCGCCTCTGCCTTATCAGCCTATAAGATCCGTCTACATTACAGCGCCAAATCCGTTTCCAGAGCTAGACGAGTTTGTGCTGGCTTGTACGGAAAGATATGGGCTGGATCTATGGAGGTTTGGGGGTGGGATGAAGTCTGCATTGGAGGAATGGCTCAAGTGCGGCGGAGGAAAGTCTGTGAAGGGTGTACTGGTAGGAACAAGGCAAGGTGACCCCAACGGTGGTGAGTCTATATGGCAATGCGAATGTCGAGTAAGGTTGACACGACCAACAGAGGTTGAGGTTTTGGCACATACAGACCCGACCTGGCCACAGTTTCTCCGGGTACATCCGATTTTACATTGGACATACTCTGACGTCTGGGACTTTCTGCTGGAGCTGAACGTGCCCTATTGTGTCTTGTATGATGAAGGATTCACGTCGTTGGGATCGACAACGAACACGTCTCCGAACCCGTTGTTGAAGAAAGAGGGTGGAGGGTGGGAACCAGCGTACAAGTGTGAGTATTGCATGCTCGATTAGACCTGTGGCAGAGCTCATCGTATATGCAGTACAAGACGCCTCTCAAGAACGAGCTGGGCGGCATTGAACGATCCTTTTTTGGACACACTCTAGACTCTTAGATTATGGCGTTACGCGAAATGTACATCATGCTTGCGGAGGGGGTATCAGTTGCTTTTTCAGCAGATAAGAATGCTGCCTGCCCCTCGATGACTGAATATCTATGCATGAACCAACCAGATGTCTCTTCATTCAGACTCTATTTTCCAAATCTTCCAATTCCTAAATGCTTTTGTAAGAAGTACTGTATCCCTAAACAGTGAGTAGATAGAATGAAATTGATGAAAAACGATGCTAGAATAGAGTAAGAGACGCGCAAAACCTTTCCAGAGCCCGGGAACAAGGCAATCCCAACCAAAACACATCACCCAAGACGCAAAAGCTAGACAAAATGAAAACACGAATTACCCAACTCAATGCCGCCCTAAACGTCCGTCGTCCATACTCGCTCTTTGGTTCAGCACCGAAACACCCCCAGCGCCCAGCTCAGACAAGTCGAGACCACTTGCACTCCGCTTGACAGTCTCCACCTTGTCCGCTTGGAGCTGGTTTTTGCTTGCTTCCTTTACGGCCAGCCCTTCCGCCAGCTTGGCCAGATCGTCCACTTTGCTCATCTCTGCTTCCTTCTCCGCAGCATGATCCTCGAGTATACTCGTAGGCGACACTTGATCGGTGCGGCCCACACTCAGAGGACTCTTGGCCAACTTTTCGCGAGAGTTTGCAGAAGCGATACCAAGACCGGAGCCTTGAGGCGGCACGGCGTTGGCGAAATAATCTTGCCCCTGCTGCGCTTGGTCGCCATTTTGCTGAGCTGGAGGCGCACCAGGCGGACCTGCATACTGCCCGTAACCGATCGGGCCGTTGGGGAAAGCCTGCGTCGTTGGGGTTCCCAAGGCAGCTGACCCTCCCTGGCCTTGCGGTGGAGCAGGGTACATGTTGACCGGGGCGCCGGGAGCAGCATTCAAGAATGGATTGTAGCCAAAAGCCCCTGGGCTCGTGACTGGTACTCCTGGCGAGAACGGTCCCGGACCGGGAGAAAACGGCCCCCAATGAGGAGTCGGGGCAGGCGGTGTAGAGGGATAGTTGAATACAAAGCCAGGCATACTTGGCGTCATTGGCGGCAGTCCACGGGTATGTAGAGGAGAGAGGGGATTGGAGCCCATGGAAGGGTCCATGGGGTGGTATGCAGGCATAGAGATGGGGCCCGGGTGGTGAGACTGGCGGTATTGGGACTGGTGAGGATGATGAGGATGTTGATGGTGGGCTATCGGGCGGTGATCTGCTAGGGGGCGGCCATGTGCTTGAGCTTGTGCTTGGGCATGAACCGAGGTGTTGAGCGACCAAGGCAATCTGGTGACGGGCGATGGGTCGGGTTTCGCAATCGGCACAGAGGTGTCGATTGTCGTGATGCCATTGCCTTTCAGCAGCTCATTCACGCCTGCTGCAGAGACTTGTTCTGACGAATCTGACAGACCGAGACCAGAAGACTCGCCCGAACCTCGCTGACTTCGCGAGGCCAATTCGGGCCGGATATCTCTTTCAAGATGGGCTCGGATTCGCACACCAGCAACCTCGCGACTGTATAGTTGTCAGCTTAAATCTTGTTTTTTGTGCAAGGACGTACTCGTTGAAAAGCGCCACTGCCCGCGTCGCGTCTGCCTCGGTAGCAAACAGCGCCGTACCAAACCCTCTCGGCTTTCCGTGAGAATCCGTAGCCACATCCGCTCTGATGATTGTACCCGCCGGTCTCAACATGTCTTTCAAGTCTTGCCACTGCATCGACATGGGAAGCTGCTACTTGTTAAATTTGCACGTAGACGAATGAAAAGACTCACATTCGAGACAAAGATGACTCTGTCGTGCAGAGTACTGGGCGGACCCAGCCCCATACCTTGGTTCGCTAGACCCTCCAACTGAGGCACTCTTGTGCTCACCGTCGGACTCACTCCCAAGCCACTATCGCTCTCTCCGGCCGTACTGGGCCTGATGCCCGCAAACATGGATGGCGGCAACGGGCCCAGGGTCCCAGGCGGCGGGGCGCGTCCGCCATTGGGCGAAGTCTGTTTGGCGCTGCTGCTCGACGTCGGGCGCGAACTTGGGAGTTGGGCACTTGACTCGGGCGGGGTCATGACGTATGCGAACGGTGTGAGAGAGTCCCGACGAGCTTGGTTGATAGCGCTTGGAGCGGCCGGGCCAGCTTGGCCGGAAGTGAGGGACCCGGCGAGGGGAGAAGCTGCCAGTGGTTGGGCTCCACCGGTAGTCTGTACGCTGATGGGAACGGTCGAGGCACTGAAGAGCGATGCTGGGGATTGGCCTCCAGGGAGAGGAGAGCCGCCCGGCAGAGATGCGGGGTTTGTACTGGGCGACAGTCCCATCCCTGGCAAGAGGCCAGCACCGGCGCCTGCAGAGAACGGCCTCGAGCCAGGTAGTTGGCCGGGCCACGCGCCGTTTGGCTGAGGGGTGAGATGGCCCGGTATTGAAAATGGGGCGTGGGGTTGACCGGGGAAGGAGTGGAAGGAGTACATGGCGGAGCGGGGGTTTGCGTTGTGGTGGACGGAGTGGGCTTGGGGTTCATACTCGGGCGGCAGACGGTCTGGGCGAACCTCGAGCGTTCTGGTCTGCCATGTATATCCGTTGTAGCGATCTTGACAGCGTCAGCCATGCCGTGCCGAGTACAATACGACTCACCTATTGCGCGAGCAGCATCCTCCCTGCTGCCCATCAGTACCGTGCCATAACCTCTGCTCCTGTTGTCTGGCCCAAGACTGACGTCTGCCCTCAAGACCGTCCCTGCTTTCCGGAAGAGATCCTTGAGGTCCTGCCACCGCACTCTGTAGGGCAGCTGACAAGACGTGAGATGCGGGCTGGCATGTGTAGACGGACGAACTTACGTTGCCGACGAACAAGTTGACCCGTCCATCGCTACCGACGGCGGAGGGCAGTAAATTTGTCATGAGCGGGGTGACTGAACGATGCACTGCCACATGAAGTCAGCTATTAGACCATGCTGGGAGAGCGGTGACGCACTTTCCGAGCTGAATTCGGAGCTGGCTGGTGGTGGGGCATTGGCAATGGCGGCAGCGATGACGGCGTCGATTTCTGCGGAGGTTGGGGGCCGGGAAGTAGGCAGGCCGGACATGTCTGTGATGGACACCTGGGGGCTGTGAGCGGGAGGGCAAGGTGAAAAATGGGAGAGACGGACAAGAGGGGATTTCCCGAGGCCGTCGCGGGCGTCGACGAGGGATGATGTGGGCGCGACGGTGGTGGCGGCATTGGCAGCGGCCGCCTCTTCGAAAGCCGGGTGGGCTCCGAGGAAGGACGACATGGTGCCGGGGGGAGGGGGGGAAGAAGAAAGAGCAGTAGAGGGATGGGCGAGAATGAGAGAAAGAGGAGAGGAGGTGGGAGGATGTGGAGGTGTTGGCTGGATGACGACGCGGGCGGGCTGCGTTGGAGGGCTCACTCGCTGTTGTTCAACTGTTGTTACGGGCTATGTATGGGGGCACCGGCCACTGTGCAGATGAGCAGACACGGTATACATACATCCATCCACCCGCATCATTCCTTAGCCCCATCCCATCCACGCTAGCCGTCCCCCGTCATTTTCATCCATTGAATCCATTTCATCCATGCTGCGCCATGCACCGCTCTTTCCGCCCACCCGTCCTTCTATCGCCAGCCAGCACGCCAGGCCCCGCACTGTCCAGCAGCAGCTGCAAGTGACACCCCCGGCCCACAGCCCTCCCGAGTCCTGAGAGCACGTCGAGACAGCCATGGCCACGCCTCAGGGCTCCGTCGATCGCCCCTGGGGCCACCGGCTCGCTAGCCTCGAATGCACATTCCCGCTTCTTCTTTCGCCGCGCCATCTCTCCATGCAAGTATCTACAATGATACATGCGAAAAATCGCCTACTTGTCCCTATCTATTATACAAACAATATCAACGATTATAAGTCTGGCGCCCCCCATGATCTTTGTTCTAACCGTCCCTCCCCAATCTCGTACACCATCAGCCGTCTCAGGAATGGCATATTCTGACATGTAAACTCAAAACCCTGAGTGACCACGTCTCGTCCGCGGACGACCATTTCCAGCGTCTGGAGAGAAAAGACACCACAGTCAGAGCCGTTATTCTGTTGTGGTGTATTCTGTAATGGGATCAGCAGTATCCTTGCGCATGTCCCAAAGAGGCGCACCTTGTTGAACTGATCCGTCCATCCGGTCCAGTCCATCTTTCCACCCTTCTTGTCTGCATACTCTTGATCCAGATAATCTCGGACATCGCTAAACACGCTTTTACGCGCGTTGCCATGATCTCCCATGGAATCGTAGTATTCTATGCGCTTGCGAGCAAAGTTGATGGCGCAGGCCGTCCAGTGCATGTTGCCTTGATTGATGGGAAAGACCAGGGTATCTAGGGCAAAGATGTCGACCTGCTAATCGTCAGCCTTGTCTTTATTTCAACAAGAACAAGATTGACCTTTTTCGTCCATCGTTTCAATTTGCCCCCAGCGTAACCCTGCTCCGACAGCTTTTTGTAGAAAAACGAGTTCATGAAATGAACCTTGCGGCCGTTTTTGCCATTGGCGAACCGCTCACACATCAGCCCACAATAGCTGTTTACAATCTCATCATCCAGCCACTGGCCTGGCTTCAGTCGTTTCAGAGACGCAGCATCCACCTCCCCACTCGCAAAGGTCTTGTGGAACCGTCTGTCCGACAGGAATTTGTCGGCCTTTGCCTCCTTGTCTGCCGTCATCTTTTTCGGAACAATAGGCTTTGGCGGTTTGAGTTTTGCCTCTCTCTCGACTTGCAGGCGTCTGAGGCTCTGCACCAGAGAGGATTCATAATGTTTGTGGTTCTGGGCAGCTTGGGCAGCGGCCTTGGTTCCGATTTCACGCTTGGCATGTGGTAGGTATGTCGGTGTGGAGGGGGGGGATATCATATTGTCAAAGGAATGGGCAGATTGATCGTTCCAGAGGACGGACCGTATACCTTGAATCTTTTCGTCGGCTGAAGCAAGGTCAGTCCAGGTCGCGCTAGATTGTACTCACTTTTGCGATACGGCCGTCTCTTCAGACCTCCCGGTCCTCCGCTAAACATGGTAATCACTCGCTGCGACGCCTTTCTATCATCCTCTTCTTTCTTGATGGGCCACATGGGCCTGCTATGGCTCATGGTGGCTTGCCAGCCATAGGGCGAGGACGTTGACGAGCTGTACGCATCGCGATTCGGCCGTACGGGCGGCCTGCGGGGATGGCTCTGAGGAGCGCCGCCCGAGGAGGAGGATGTCGGGGGTAGAGGGGTCACGGGCTGGGCTGGAGATGGTGGGTCGGGGTAGGATGCCGAGGACGCGGTGCGTGTGGGTGAAATGACATCCAGGGGGTCTGGCGATGATGAGCGTGATTCCGACTCGCTTTCTGGTTCAGAGTCTCTCTCCTGGGCTAGGGACGTGTCAGCAACGCTCAGAGCTGACGAGAAGACGCACGCTGCCGCCAGGTGAAGAGGGAGGACATGGCGCCGAATGTCTTTGCGAGGAGGCCCTGCTTTTGTCTGGGGCGGGGCGGGGGCGACGGGCGGTGGCGCTTGGGGGGGTGAGTAGCGGGGGCGGTGTCCGAGTCGCGGGGGCGCTTTGGTCGGGACATGCTGCTGCACAGAGAGACAATGGAGGCGCGAGGAGAGATACATAGAGAGGGCGTGCCTGGATTAATAACGTGTAAGAATGACTTGGAGGGCCCCTCGCGGGCGGCGACACAAAACAAATAGCTGTTGACATTAGAGAAAAGAGGATCAGAGAGAGATGCCCACCCCGCCCCCCACAGACCAAGCAGAACAGGCGGACACCCCCGCACACGATCAGCTCGTCATGGATCCGCCCCACGAAGACATGGAGGAGAATCCAGAGGAGATGGAGCTCCTCAGCCTCAGATACAGGATGGAGCGCGACCGCAAACGCGTCAAGGTGCGTCTGCCGATCCCTCATAGCGAGGGGAGCTGACCTGCCTTGCAAGGTTTACGAACTACGCGATGCCTCCTGGTTCGACAGGGGAACAGGCTTCTGTCGCGGCGTGGTAGACGACGCGTCCGGCGAGGCCATCATTGTCGTCGAGCCCGAAGAGGATTCCCCAGAGGGCGAGGAAGATGCAGGGGGGTTTCTGACGCGCGAACTGCTGCTGCATACAAAAGTCGAGAGGGATGATATCTATGGAAAGCAACAGGGTACGTCGCTGGTTGTTACTCGGACGTACTGATTTGCCATGTAGAAACGCTCATCGTGTGGACTGACCCCGCCACAAGTCTCGACATCGCCTTGTCATTCCAAGACGCTGAAGGGTGCGAAGACACATGGCAATTCATTGTCGAGGTACAGAAGCACCTTCTCACGCTTCCAGGCAAGTACAATTCACAACTTGACGTCCCATCTAACTGTATCACGCAGGCGAAGATCCCCATCTCCCCTCTTCATCTTCACCCGTCGGCAACTCTCCCCAGCTTGGCCCTGCCGCCAGCCACTATGCCATGGCCGATCCACGACTTGCTTGGCAGCCCCCAACCCTGGCAAACATCAGAGATCAAGAATTCTGTCTGAGAGCGCAAGCCAAGTCGGCCGCAGGGAGAGAAAGAGCAATGGAGCATATCCTCAACGAGGAATACATCAAGCAGTTGATAAACGTTCTGGAACAAGCGGAAGACCTCGAGAGCATTGCCGACCTGCATGCCCTGTGCTCGCTCATGCAGACTATCTGTGAGTGACCATCGGGATTACTGAGACCCGCTGACCCGAGTAGTGCTCTTCAACGATAATGGTATATTCGAGTACATCCTGCAAGACGACATTTTCCTTGGCGTCATTGGCATGCTCGAATGTAAGAAGTCCACACATCATCCGACATACGCTTACGTTTCTGCAGATGACCCAGATTTTCCCGACCTCAAAGCCTCCTACCGCCAATACTTTCAAGAAAACGCCCGTTTTCGCGAAATCGTCCACATCCCCGACGCCGTCATCCGCAACAAGATTCATCAAACCTATCGTCTCCTTTTCCTCAAAGACGTTGTTCTTGCCCGCGTCCTCGATGACCCCGCATTCAACATCCTGAACGGCTTTGTCTTTTTCAACCAAGTCGACATTGTCAATTATCTGCAGTCAAGCGATACCATGTTGACCGCCTTGTTTGCGCCGTTTCAATCTTCACCGCCGGGCCCACCGCCGGCCGATGGTCAGCCGGGCGAGCCGCTGGACGAAAAGAAGCGAGATACAGTCATGTTCCTGCACCAGCTCGTTGGGATTGGGAAAGCCATCCAATTGACGCCACGCATGGCACTCTATCGGACGCTGCTCGAACGCGGCATTCTGCATGCGGTGGAATGGGCGCTGCAAAGACCGGAAGCCAAAGTCTTGCACGGCGCAGCCGAGATCTTGACATTGATGGTGGAGCACGACGCGAATATGGTCAGGATGCATGTGTTTAGGGAAGAGGAGAAGAAGGAAAGGACGTTGATGGTGGAGATCATTGGGCTGCTGCATACCACCAAGAATGGAGGGTTGATGGGGCAGATGGCGGATACGCTTCGAACGTTGTTGGAAGTGCCAGCGGATACAGAGGTGAGTGATATCACCATGTCGGGATAGGCTAATGTCCGACTTGCAGTCTTTTATTGCCAAGAAAGAAGCACCATTGTCCGACACATTCAACGTCTACTTTTACGAGTCCTGCGGCGCCCTCCTCTTCAAGCCCCTTCTCGAATCTCCCGACTTCAAATCTCAACCGAATACCAAACTTGCCAGAAATTACACAACACTACTGCAGAATCTTACAGAACTCTTGAGCTACTGTGTCACGACACATGGGCACAAGAGCTCGTATTTTATCCTCTCAAATCCCATCTCCAAAAAAGTCGTCGGGTTACTGTACATCAAGGATAAGCCTTTGCGGCATGGTGAGTATGCTGCTTTGTGCGGGGAAGCTTGCTGATTCCGGTCTAGCTGCGCTACGGTATCTGAAAGCTTGTTTGAGAACACCGAACCATTTCATCCATCGACACTTTGTCAAGAATGACCTTTTCGAGCCACTCTTGACGTTGATGGAGGACGAGACGTCCAAAGACAACATGATGAGTTCTGCGTGTATGGAGGTGGTGGAGCAAATACGAAAGGTGCGTTCAGACAATGCCGTTCGGATCAAAATCTCATTCAATCAACAGGATAATCTGAAAACCATACTCAACTACCTATTCGATTCCTACACAGATCGTCTTGAAGCTCTAGCTCGCAGGCCGCTCCTTCGCACGTGCCTCGTCGGTCTCAAAGCCCGTTGGGAGATGAACAATGAACCTCCTCCTCTACCTCCTGGGCTCAGCCCCAGCGAATTGGCTGCTTCCGCCAGCAAAACCGATGTGGGAGAAGGCGACAGCTGGATCGAGGGAGAAAAGAGGGAAGAAGACTACTTTAATGGAAGTGACGACGACGAAGGGTCCTCGCCCTCTGGCCCTAGCAAAAGTGAAGAAGGAAGCGTGCCGGCAAAGAGAAAGAGACATCCAACCACCTCGTCCTCGGGAGGCTCAAACAAGCGAACTCTGCGATCTTCAACGTCTTCATCGAGCCTTGCAACTTCATCAAGTACAGGGTCAGCAGGCCCTTCCTCCGGTGTACTGGGCCTGGACTATGACGATGCCTCTTCTGATCCCGAATCGCCTTTCTCTCAGGACCAGGGCGGCGAGGATGAGGATGAAGAGCTGGGGACAGAGGACGGTGCTGTTCCGTTGACGACTTCGACGTCATTACTGGATCGCACCATCTCCCGCGCTCAAGCCTTGAGCCCTCCAGATCATTCCAAACCGCTCACCACGACCGCCCCTTTCGCCCCCGTCTCGATTTCTTCGACGGCCAAACCTGATGAGAAATCGTCGTCTGCAAAAGAAGATGAGGGAATGGATATCGGCGAGGTGACCGCCAAAATGCGGGAAAAACGGCGTAGAGAGGAAGAGGAGGAGGAGGAAGGGTTTGCAGGGCTTGTTGTGGGCAACAAGCCACGGCCTGTGGCTACCGTTGCCGCCCGAGTGTCAAGTGCGAGCGGGGGAGGTACCGTAGGGGCTGGCAAGGGGGAAGAGGGTACCAATCCGAATATGGAAGGGATAGTGGAAGAAGTTGATGTGGGAGATGGGAACAAGGAAGGGAAGGGGAAGAGCCGAAAGGGAGTGAGAGAGATGGGCAACAAGATACGACTAATCACCCAGAAGTTTGGCGGAAAGTAGGGGTTTCCCGGGTGCCGGTGTAATGATATGATGCATTACGAACGTAGTGGCTTCAAGAGGACGTTCCATCATAACGCTGGCAGTATCTGAGCAGTTTGTCCTGCACTCACAGCAATGAAGAAGTATGGGGCACCCGCTGCACATTGAAACCAAAGTTGTCATGGTATGCAATTGTGTTTAGACACGACGACCAAGCAGGTCACGAGCATGCATGTACTCAGCGACAACGTGCGAATGTGTGATCCACTCGTCGCGTGAATCCCTTAACATGCTTTCGACTGGTAGGGTCCGAAAAGAAGTGAGTAAACGATTAAGCTTTCGCAGATACACACACATGTACTTTACGTCTGCCCGAGCGGGTCTGTGGTTGACTGATGCTGAATATAACATACATATAATACAGTCACCAAAATCGTATCGCAGGTACTTCACCTTTGACTCTTCGCGACTGTGGCTCATCTCGAAGATATCCGCAGCCGGATGAAGACCTCAAAAACGTCCGTCTCTTGAACCTTTCATGGATCTGTCTCAGTGCCTCAAAGGAGGGCAATCGGTGCGCATCGATGAGCAAGACCCCATCCTCTCGACAAAGGCAGCCCATCTGCGCCATCACCAACGGACTCGGGCATTGAAAGCGATGATGATGGTCATCCTTACAACCGACAGGAAACCAATTCATATATCTATTCCCGATTGACTCGCCTTACCGCCACTGTAGACCTTTCGACATCACAAACAACAATCAGCAAAAACAACACATGAGGCCAAGCAGCTCTTCCAGCGGCACGAGTCTTAGCAGTACTGCAAATGACGAAGAGGGGATACAGATGAAAGAAGAGCTCCTCTCTCAATCGCAAGTATGTCCCTGCCACTTCCTCCCAATAGATGGCGCTCATGTCAGCTCTAGCCACGCTCTACTTCCACGTGCACTGCATTCTCTGACGAGCTCAGAGACCACCTGAGGGCTCGACTCGAAACGGGAGTCGATGACGAGCCAGAGGTTCACGATACCTTTCTTCAAACGTGCGAAAGGGAAGCGGCGTTCGTTATTGTAAATGGCATTACTGTCACCTGGAAAATCTGTGCGAGGCGCTGACACGAGTGGAGGCTCGAGAATACAGTTGTCATGAGCGGGATCAACGAGTGAAGCAAGAAGTTCTTTCGCAGGCAACCGCAAGTACACAGGCCCAAGAACTTAAAGTGCTGTGCACGCTCAGGGAGCCTGGGAGTTTGTTGTGGAGTACGTCTCGATGTTCCCTTTGCCCCGTCTGATCTCAGTCTACAGTCAACGTTATGGGTCTCGAAAGAACCCTGTTGAGGAAGACTGCATCCATTTGCAAGTGAGCAGCAGTCTCGTAGGTAAGATATCCGGGATGCTGATCGAGATGACAGTCTCGAGCCAGATACCTTTTTAAACGCTCTGAAACGCTCCAAGCATCGACTTCACCGGACGACAGTAGAGTTCCACTCTTCGTTTATGTATTTCCAGCTGCTCATTCAACAACCCAAACTCTCCTCCGGTAAAGGCAACCATCTGACCGATCCCTTTCTCGACATGGTTCAGGATTCATGGATCCCACCTCAATCACAAAAAGCCAGCGAAAAAGTGAAGGATTCCATAAAGAAGGCAAAAAGAGAGCGCTGGGAGAAATGGGTCAAGGGGGATGAGTGGAAGGATATTGTGAATGTGGGATTCATGAGCGTGTTTGTCATACCTTCTGGTGAGTCCGACAAGGTCGTGTTGGGCCACGCAGCGGATACTGAAATGCCTTTTATCAGTCAACATGGTCTTTACTGTTTCTCTTCCTTACTATGGGGACCCTGCAAGCAGACTAGCTATCGACATGAGCAAAGCCTCGATACCGGAGCACGATCAGAGACAGATCTACAAGGATTGTCGGCTTTTGGGAATAAGTGCGATCCATAGAGGTGCGTGATCTTCATGCACTTTACGCTGAACTGGACAGTTGGCTGATCACAGAATTTCTAGTTGTAGGATATGCGTCCGGCTGCATGCGTCAGATCAACCAGCTGATCTCACAATGGGAGGGAGATGTGGATCAGAACTACACTGTATGTAAAGATCTAGACTCTCAGAAGGGGAGTAAGTGCTAACGATGAGTCATCTAGACGTCTCGAGCCCGAGATGTAAAGAATCTAGTCCATACCATACTTAACTTCAAGCGAAGGCTGTTACCCCTCAAAAGCGTTCACCAAAAGGTGATTGATGGCGTTCGGCAACCCAGGAATCTACCCCACCGCAAAGAAATTGACACCGATCTCGAGCTCGCTATCGAAACCCTGGTCCAGAGCCAAGAACGAATGTGCGAGGTTATGGAGGACATAGAGTTGGCTCTTGACAAGTGTCGGCACCTGGAAGAGTTCACATTTGTGAGCGTGCTGAACTCTCATCTCTGCTATCGGATCTAACATTTCATCTTGCAGGCAATGATCTCCACTAATGCCAGTGAGGCAATGGAGCGACTGGCCATAGTGACTATAGTCTTTCTGCGTGAGTCAACATCGCCCTTGTCGTTTGCAGTCACCACGTTGCTCACATATAACGCAGCATTGACTTTTATTGCTTCCTACTTTTCCATGGTATTGCCAAGCATCTACATCGAGGGCGAACGACTGATATGAACCATGTAGGGATTTGATGAATTTCCCATTCCCGACCTCCTATCTACTTCTGGGAGGTATCGATTCCATTGTCAATCGTGTTCTTCGCTGTTTTTGCCTGGTCAAACCTGCGACGCGCGTGGCTACGCGTCTTCAGGGTCTTTCCGCTGGTTCAAGATTGGAGCCAGAGACATTGGCACTTTGTAAAGGTGGAGGTGAGGTTGTGGTGGATACAAAATTTGGAACAGAGAAACCAAAGCAATGGCCAACGGTCAAGGGGCACGGCTGCCTGACTTTCGTCAATCTGCGTCATCTGCTGGGTGTTATCACGGTTTGGGTAACTGAAGAACTATCCTGTATGCATAGCGCCACTCCCTTCCTTGTAGCAGTCCACATCAAAGGGAAACCACACTAAGCTCCACTCCCACCCTATCAATTGTTTGATGAGAAAGTATAACCTGAATACCCTTTGAAGAGAAAGTCCCAGAAAGTTGAAAGGCGGATAGAGAGGAATACGGAAGATATAAATTGTACAACAATGATAATACGATGGTCTAGACGTGAGGAAAGAGGCCAGGTAGAAACCCGCTCGTAGTATGTAACGTTATCAATCGTCAGGTGGAGGTTTTGAGATTTGCACGGAACCCTATGGATAGAGGCCGTCAGACTGATAGATTGATAAACAGGTGAGAACTTACCTTATCATTCAACCATGCACCTTCGAGGCTTGATTTGACCCCGGCCCTCGTGTTGGCCTCAACTTCAGCCTTTGACAATCCTAGTTCGTCTTCAGGGAGCCAAATAACCATTTGCGGGTTCTTGGTGGCTGGATGGAAAAAGGCCATGGCCTCGTCCTCGACCTTGTGGTGAAGGACACCGGGGCCGCCAGGGACTGCAAAGTAGTGGTGGCGACGAGAAGCATGTCCGTCTTCAGGATTGTCGACCGCGTATGTCTCGGTGGTGGGTATGGGAGACGAGGGCCGAGAGGCGTAGGGAGGAGCAGAGAGGGATATATTGGATTCGCGTGAGCGAGTTTTGGTAGGACTCGAATTGAGGATTCTCGACGGGCTTGAGACGGCCTTAACGTCAGGTTCTCTGTCATCATCGAGGTGAGTGCCCTTCTCCGAGAGCTCCGTCCCCCCCACCAACGTTGCTTCGCGGTCCCTCTTGATTGCGCTCCCTTTACCCTTTTCACTACAAGGAGAGATAGGCGAGAAAGATATTTCCGACGGTTCGTCGACAATATCCACCTCTACCGTATCCCCACTCTCTTGCCTTTCAGCTTTCCGGTCGATTAGGGGGTGTCGTGAAGGGGTAAAGTTGATGTGGCTATTGCCGAATTTGCGTAGAATGTCTCGCTTCCTTTCGCCATCCCCGACTTTTTCGCCCTCATCATGATAGGCTTCGCCAATCACACTGTCCTCATGGTTGGCCTCTTTGGGCATGCCGTAGCTGAGATGAGCCAGAGAGAGAGGAAGACAGTGTTTGAGGGGGCCATATTGCACGACAATTGTGTACTGGAAAAAGACCTGTACATCATCGAGATCAGCTGTCTGAGATGTGCCAAGACCGACGCGCTAAAGCTTACAGTGCAAAATCCAAGAACGATCATCAAACCTCCTTGTGGGAGAGCGCTGGGCTTGCCATTGTCGTCTCGCGCCAAAAAGAACAGGGCGGCCATACAAACCTCCTGTATATACATGCCAACAAACATGTGGGTGATTGCTTTGGGGAAGAACAGTCCACCCGTATCCGAGGACGCTGGCTGATCAATCACCCAGATGTAGTGGAATTTGTAGACCATTGTTGCAAAGATGAAAAAGGCAGCTCCGAAGCCATTGATGACAGGGGATATGACGCAATAAGCGATCACTGTAGACGACCCTGTCAGTAATAAGCAAGCGAGAAGAGCTTCACATACTCATGACAGCGTAGACAGTGATGCCAGGGAACGTCTCTCCCCACTGAGGATGATTCATATCATATCGGGTACTATACACCGAACGCCTGCGTAAAGTCAGTAGGTGAAAAAACGCAAACTAGAGCAGACTTACGGGGTACCTCCCAATAGAATGACTTGTACGTAATAGATTGACAATTTCCATAATCTCAAAAGAGTTCCCATGGTGCCCGTAAATTGTGTGAGCACCAGGGTAATGAAAAATGTTGATGCAGTTGGCATTTGAGACGCGAGTGTAGTCGCGATGGCTTGCGGGTTGCTGGCAAACGTTTCGAGCGAGCTGATCAAGCCAGCGGACAGAGTGATGACAAAGAATGAGTGCTGTGATAGTATCAGCCGTCTGTAGAGACAAGCAATTGTAAGCTTACAATGATCAGGAACACGAAGTATCGAGTCATCAAATCGAGTTCAACGCCCGTCTTGTTGGTCGCACCCTCAAATTTGGCCAAATCTGCACGAGATCAACACATTTCCGAGTCGATGTTTGAACAGACACTCACGTCGCAGAGATATCGGTAACATCATCATCAAGCATTCCAGAAGAACGGGAGGAAGGATACCACTAAGAATACCTTGAATAAGTTTCTTGTCGAACGTGTCGCCTTCGATCCATGAGAGCCACGGAAACGTGGAGGTAAGGTCCGATACACTGGATAAAGCACCAATGAATGCAACTATAATTCAAATCTACATTAGAACACTCAGTCAGCCTGGGGATGGGGTACATACCAGGAAAAGTCCAGGCAAAGATCATCCCACCAGTACACGCCCAAGATATCGCTTGTCGCACATTGCGCTCGTATTGATTCAGGGACAGATTGCTCCAGATGACGTTGGGCGGGGATTGTTCAGTATAACGTGCGTTCATTGTGTATCTGGAGAATCATTTCAGCCACAATCGAGTTTTTGGTGTAAAGGCTTACGGTTGGTTGTGAGTCAGACATTGCGCGGCCATATGAGCCGCGATCTGCTGGTTGAAATGTATGAATGCCGAGCTGAGAGGCGGATAGCGATCGTCCTTTCCAGGGTGTTCAATATCCTCCATCAACTTTGCCCTGCTCTTTTCCAGTTCAGCTGTACAAAGAGCAATCTCTTCGCGGCACCATTCAATTGTATCAACCTTGTGCCCGAGGCGGAAAAACCCGAGGCGGATGGGGGACCAACGGGGTTTGATCCGATGCCTTGGGCGCTTGTGATGGGGAACCAAACGATCAACAAGTTCTATTTCTTGAGCGCTAGGCGGGGGCGCTTCGGTCACTTGCAGCTGCTCATCCGTCTCGGCTGAGCGACCCTTTTCTGGGAACCCTGTTTTGCGATCGGCGGCAAAGTCCAGCATGGGTAGCTGAGGAACTAGATCCCTCCTGGAGGAAACATGTGGGCGATGGTTGGCGGGTCCCAGCAGCTTGGCCGGGATGGGTTTTCCCTTCTTCTCCAATTTTTCAATCTTTTTCTCTTGCCAAAGCTTGTGTCTCCGGGCAATCTTGATGAGTTTTACTTGAGCCGACTCTAAAAGCTTCGTAGCATGTTCCCGGCGATCATAGAACCCAGGCATCTCTTTCAAATTTCTGCCACCACATTAGCGTAAACTCTCAAGGACTCCCAACGGTACTCACCGATTCAACCAAATTCGTTTCACACCCCCTGGGAGATGCGAGAACAGTTGTTCAAGTTTCTTCTCGTTAAGGTAGTGGCTGGGAATTCCCGTGACTAAGACGGTATTCGCTTGAGGTAGTTTTGAATGGCTACGGCTGACGAGATACCTTTGGCGTACAACCAGCCAATGCTTCATCTCGTGCCAAATCACAAAAAAGAACCAAACTGGGGAGCAAGTGTCAGTATAATTATCATAGTATACCGTGTTGCGCACTGACAGATGAAGATGAAATCCAGTATGAGAGGTGCCCAATATCTAGACTGTTTGGCCTTGGCAACATTGCCGAAGGTAAACTTGTCTAGTCCCTCTTTCCCGTCCACATGAGAATCTGCCGAGTAGACAGGCAATAGAATTAGCCAAGAGAGAAGCCAGATCGGTACCATGGCCTTGGCCATCATCATTGTGAACCGGACAAAGACATATGGATCGACCCCATTCTTTTGCAATATTTCTTCCGGATCGGCTATATGAATTCTGTCAGCCAATATTGTCAAGACTTGATACGTGATGGAAGCTCACCCATCAATATCTGCCACAATGGCCATAGTAGATGTGTTCCCAGTACAGGCGCTTGCTTGTGGGTAGGAGGGATATATGTTCTCGGCTCGTAGCTGTGTGGGCGTGTCAGCATCAGCCAATCACCATCAGGATGGGACATACATTGCCTTGAGCCAGCGCCTCATGATAACGAATGCCACGAACGCTCCCCCAGCTATCCCAGAATTCATAAAGAGGGAGGTCAGGAAAGACGCGGTAGAGGCCGAGGCAGCATCCTCTGGGGAAGAAGAAAGCGCATCATCCGCATTGTTGGCTCTGTCGTGGAGAAGGGGATTGAAATGAGCAATGACACGCATAAGAGCACAGACAGGGGTGCTTGGGACTCACGACATTGTCTCTGGCTAGGGCTATCGCAGGCAGCGAGAGAGGGCGCTGGCGCCGGGTTGGTGGTGGGTGGAGGTCTCTGGGAATGGGCTGCTGGTGATCTGATAGGGACGAAGGTGGCCGGGGCAAGGGTTGTCGAGCGGTGGACGCGAGGAATGCGAACGGGCCAGCGAACAATAAAATAAGGCCCACTTGGGCTTCCTGCGTCTTCTGCGCACGCCAATTTATCGGGGACAAATGCGTAATTCAGGTTCCAGGCACTTCACAAAGTGGACAACCATCTCGACTTTTGCTCTGCTGTTGCTCTTTTGACATTACGCCTCGAATACTCCACACATCAGACCAGGATGTCCACTCCCGCCGCTTCTCTCCCTCGGTCTGAACACGAGCCTCTGGCTACCGAACTGCATCCCATCTCGGACGCCACCCTCACTATCCGTGTCATCAAAAGCTTCGAGTTCAGAACCCAGAAGAGTCTGGTGCTTCAGCATCTTGATTTGAGGACCCTGACAGTGGCCGCTCTTATGGAGCAGGTCAGAGAGCGTAAGATTCTGCCTCCGGAAGGGATGGACCCCTCGACTAATGTATTTTCCTTCAGAGGTCAAAACAGTCCCCGGATTCAAGGCCTACCGGGCACTTGTACTTGACACACTCAAGCTTTACACGGTTGCCCACGGGCATAAGGTACGCACTATGCACTCGGCGCTCCATCGTGACTACGCGTAGCGACTGACAATGCTGCTAGACCACCAATCTCATCATCAATTTGGACCACGAAGACTGGATCCTCAGTGATTTGGAAGAGACGCTGGCAGACATTGGCGCTCGTAGGTCTATTCTTTGACTTCTCAAGCTTGGCAGCCCACTCATCAACACCAGAAAACGAAACGGAGTTATCTTTTTTCAACAGAGAAGCATACGAGAAGTTTAAGGCGGATCCCGAGGTGAATATGCTTGCTTTACTTTCGCTCATACGCTAATTCTTGCATTGCAGATCAAATGGGACTAGATCATTAGAGGGGGAGCTTTCTTTAATTGCATCATTCATTCTTGGGTTTAGAGTCTATGCTTGTACACATTCATGTTGTCCATTGTGCATCAATTTGTCTGCGCATATCACACGTCGAGCATCTTACACGTCGAGTAACAGTACTATACAACCTGGGAGCTGAAAAGGAGACATGTTCGCATAGTTTCCTCTTTTGGAAGCGGATCTCTCATTGCAACCCAATCGACTACGCAATTGCAGCTCAAGCCTTTTAGGATCTCTTCACAGACACGAACACACAGTATTGCATTGTAGCGATACGATCACTTTCTACCGAACCATCCACCCAACCAGCCCCTTTTGCCTTGCTGCTGATCGTCTTGTAACTCAACGGCAGGGGTCGTCTCCCTAGTATCTCGCCCCTTCTTCGCATTGACCAGATTCTGAGTCTCCGTCTTTTGGAGCGTCGCTTCCTTCTGCTTGATCAGCGTGTCTTTCGTGGCGCCGGAATGGTTGTGATTGCCAGCATGCGCCTGAATCGATTCAAGCGGAAGGTCGACGTAGTTGAACGCCAGATCAAAGAAGACAGGTCTCTGCACCGACTCATTGAATAATCCCTTCTTGGCGGCCTTTTCAAGCACAGTCGCATGCTTGGTGAGAGTTGAAAGAGCATCGGAAGAGATAGACAGAACGGGCTCGTCCACCGGCATAGAGAGGAAATCGGTGGCCTGGCGGAGAGAAACGGACGCAGTCGCTAAAAGCTGCACGGCAGACGCATAAGAGGGAGTCGGATGAATGCAGTGCAATCGAGCCAGGTTGTAGCACCTGTACACAAATCAGCAACAGCATCCTCGATATTCCAATCGAACTTACCTAAGAGCATGGAAGTATGCCTCCAGGCCCTCAACACCGCTCCTCACACCTTCCTTCTCCTGCACGATACCCAGCTCTGCCGCCTGCTTTAAACTCTGCAGCGTCGTGTCGTAAAGCTTGACAATAGCACCCAAAGTCTTGACAGCCTCTTCGAGCTTTGCCTTCCCACCGACCAACTTGAACTGAGCGGGGTCCTCCGGAATGGATGAAGTCGTCAAAGACTCCACGAGAGCCAAGTCTCTTCGGATACGGTTGGCGAGGAGTAGGTAGATGATGTACTGGTGGGCTAGGGTAAGAGATTGACCGGTGCGACTAGACCGCAAAGAGCTCGTGCTGCCAGTGGCCTCATGATCCTCAAGGAGCTTGCGGGCAATGCCTTCTGCCTCTCCGAGGATGCTGAGCACTTGGTCCCATCGCTTGATTCCCCTGCCCCCCTTTCCCTTACCCTCGCGCTCCAGTTTCTTCAAGGCATGCTGTACCTTGACCATGATCCCCACAATCTCTGCGTTGCGCATCTCGACCTTTTCACCCGCAAACTCGACATCCTCCAACATTTTTCTGCCAGACTCCATCTCTTCAGCACCCGTCTCGGCCCTGAGTTTTTCAACAAGAGATGAGAACCCAGGAAGCGCTTCTTCAAGGACTTCAAGATCAATTTCAGCCATGACACCGTCAATATCGTGGGACTCGGCGCGACCCAGCTTGTAGGCGCAGAACCGGATCAACGGATCGTGCGAGTCGATGAACTCGGTAGCCAGAGCTTGGTCATAAGAGTCGTGAGCGCCCTCGGCGAGAGTCTCCAACAGCTTTCGTCGACAAGCCAAATCGGCTAGGGCGCCGACCCAGTTGGACTTTTCAAAGACAAGTTCGGAGCGGACAGTGAGGTAATAGATAGTGATTTCCCCAAAAGTCCTGGCGTCGATATGCGCAGTGCTTTCGGCCTCGCCGAGGTAAAGGGATTGGGCGATGGAGTGTAGCTGGGTGGAGATCTTGAGGGCTTGTCGAAGCCAGGAAAGTTGATCCCGTTTCAATGAAGGAGTGTTGACCTTGAGCACTTTAAACTCGTGAGAATGAGCCAAGGCCCTCTCGGCGGAGAACAACAGCAACTGAAGCTGGCTGCAATAATCAGTTGGTATGTGCACCCGTGAAGTTGCGTCAACTTACCGGACATCTTTGGTGCTGGCGACTTCCAATTTGGGAGGGGCCTTAAAGGTCTTTTTCCCGCAAGCTGCACCCGTCACCTGTCGCAGCCGGTGAATTTTGTTTGCGCAATGTTTGCTGGGCAAAATTCAGTACATCACAACCTGAGAACGTATTCACGCACCGGTATCGCTGGTGATCTCCGTTACGGAGGCCGTAAACGGCACGCTCTTTGCTGAGGAGGCTGAGAACTAAGGCTTTATCAGAGGCCGGTACTCGCAAGGGCAACGTATCGACTGACCTCTGAACGACAGGTCGGGTGACGCAGTGGACATTGTTGCGGATGGACTGCTCTTTTTGTAGGATGCGAAGTGCGACGAACAAGCCAAGGTGCGTTTTCTGAGGCTGCACGATTAATAACACTCTGTATTTAACATCCATCCTTCGTCAAAATGATGAATATCGGGAGAAGAGTATCTAGAGTGCACCACCAGCACAGTTTACAAGAAGTGTCGAGTCCGCACATGCAACGATACATGTGTTTTGCGCAAGCCTCGGCCAGATCATTCTGAAATGAATCCTTCCCATTACTGGAGGCATCATCATATCCTGTTTATTCAAGTAGGGTTTCGCCTCGTCGATATCAGAACCATAAACAATTGACTGTGTCCCCAGAGCTTACGAGAATGACCGTCATGGTCCATGAGTCATGGGTCATGGGTACCAGAGCTGGAAGAAGGCGATGCGGGCAAATACCATCTGCGCACAAAAGCCAAGAGTGTGCCATGCCTGCTAGAACTGATTCTTTGATTTTGAGCCTTTCACGAGTTTAGCTCAACGTGCGGGAGAGACAAGAGTGATGCCGTCGAATGACTATATATATGGCGAGCATGAGAAAAACATGCCTCAACACGACTCAGCATGAAACGCGAGGTGGACACACGTACTCGTATTGTCACGAGCGGTGAGATTGATGGTCCTAAGACCCCAGAAACAACATAGAAGGGAGCGGGACCAGAACCACGTGCTCATTTTCAGTATTTTCGTAGTCCGTGTGTATCCTGCAGGCTCCCGAGTAGTCTCGGCGAGAGCGCAAGTCATGGATAACTCGGCGCAAAATAGAGCATCGGGCATATCCAACCTGACGAGGTGGGGTATCCGAGGATGTACAGAAATGGCAAGGCAGTGTTACATAACGCGATATATTATGACTGTTGTTGGAAAGGGTTTTCGATTTCTATGAACCAAAATTAGCAAGGTGTGGTTTGACAAGAAACGGTACCATACCTGCGGACCCATCGGCGGGACTGACAAGAACAATGTTGGGCCCGCGAAGGACAACTAACCCCAAGCTGCGGCTAGGGCGGCCATCTAAATTCAACCGGTCAGACATGGCTGGAAGCATACAGTCCGTTACACGCACCTTCGTACTCTTCGACAACATCGTCCATCACCAAGTTCATGAGCTGATCGTAACCCTTTAATGTGCCAGTGACTGGGTGAAGGTATGGTCAGCCAACGCTGGTTCTTGACGACAGTATAATGGCGGGACACTGCGATTGATGTCACCCTTTAAAAGAATTGGGGCTCACCTTCTCGTCCGCCCATGAAAGCCACCTTGATCTTTTGGTCCATCAATTGGGCCAAGTTCAGGATCGATTCACGCTTCTTTCGCTCTCCAGCGCCCTGGTTTCCACCTCCTCTACCTCCGCCGCGTCCGCCCTGTCACAGGATGTAAGCATGTGGGTCTGCGAGCTCGAAGTGTGACCCTTGTAGCGAGCATTCGCAAGACCAAGAGCGTAGCCAACTCACCCTTGATGACATCAGTGGGTATCTGTGAGGGGGTTGTGATATAGGGTCGAAGGGGTGTTGTATGCCGGATACGGGCGAGAGCTTGTCTATGCGGCGAATTCGGGTAGGTCGACGATGGCGGGAGAATCCAAGTCACATTCAAGGTTGTCCGCCCATGAGTCCCGCGCAATAATCTGATTCCGTCGCGGCGGGTTGTGTATACGACAAAGGTCACCCTTCGTTGCCGCCTTGCGAATTGTATCCCTGTCCATCATCCATTGCTTCCCGCCAGCAAGGGCTACATTCACTGAAGCTGCTGCGATGCTCGCATAGTCGACACCGACCCCAAAATGGCCAGCTCGCACAATCCCCAGCTGGGATCAGACCCGTACTTCGCATACCCCACCCCCGCCCCCGAACAGGTAGAATCAGAACTGCCGCCGTACTTTCAAGATGAGAATGTACCTCTGGGGCTGGTGCTAGACCGCTTCGCCAAGAAAAGCAACCATGATCTTCGAGTGTTGCTGGGAGAAACGTAGGTCGTCGTGATCGCAAAGTATGGCTTTTGGCTTACGGTCCTCTTCAGACTTCCAAGACTCCCTGCTAAAGACCGGCCCAAGCCCATAATCGAATATGCCAAAACCACCCGACAAGCCCTGGTCAAATACCTGGCCGTACTCCGCTGGAAGACTTCTGTCGACATCCCTGCGCATCTCACCGCTGCACCCCCACTCACTACATCAGTGGGCCCGACGTCTTTCCCAACTCCTCATTCGAACGGAGACATGGAGTTATCTCCCTCATATCAGGGTCTTAATAAGCCCAAGTCCGATGAGGAGAAGAAATCCCTGCAAGGAAAGGTGACGGACGCGAAGCGGATAGCTCATTTCCTCGAGCACCAGAATCAACAACACGAACTAGCGATAGAGCATGCCAAACATGTCGTCAATGTCGTGGAGGGTTTACGGGAACGGAATCCTGATATCCTTACAGCATTGTCGCTGCAGACAAACGGCACATACAATCGACTTCCCACTTCCGTTGTCGACCCATACCTTCCCAAACAGCCCTTGACCAACTCGTCCATACTCAAAGTTCTGCGGAAGCTTAACCAACAAATACGATATAGGCTTCGATGCCTTGATCATGTTCCTTCGGACTTGATCATAGAGGGAATCAAGGACGGCCGGGTGTATGTCAGGGGAAGTCATTGGAGAGCAGAGTTGACCGTAGTCGGATTTGGGGACGCCAGCAGATGGTGGCTGACTGGTCTGGCATGGGGATGGAAAGCCAAGGATAGGGGCATAGATGATCCTGGAGGGATGCCTGGGGATTCGAAGCAGAACAGAAGGTTTACTGGGGACGAACTGCAAGGCATACTGGACCTGGTCAACGCAGAAGTGCTAGTCCCCCGAGACGTGTCGCTGGGAGAGGTCGACCAAAATTTTCAGTCGGACATCGAGCCATCCAGTAAGGCATCGGTTGATGCTCCTCTGAGCAGGCTGTACAACATCATTGGTAAGCAATCTGCTCAGAAAATGTACGTGTATCTGACCAGCTTCCGCAGAACATCTTTCTCTGAATTACCAATTGGAGACCTTGTATTCACAGGCTGTGGATCTGAGTCAAGGAAGATGGAGGGGGCAATTGCTTCCTGAAATCGACAGGATCGCCAAAACTCTTCGGCTCAGATATTGGATGTAAGTATCCTGGCACCCTTTTTGAAGCGCACTGACAAAAGTAGACAAAGACGACATGGGCCAGACTCCTCAAGACGTCTCCACTCTCAAGGCCAAAAACCCGCCTCGGCTCCTTTAATCTTCGGTGGGAGCCTCTTGATATCCATATCAGAGAGCAACACGTTGAAGTCACCTCTCGAGGACCTTCTGAACGACATATCCCTTTGCGAAGCGAAATCATGCGAAAGGTCTCTGAAACTGGAGCTCGCAATCAAATGGATCGTTGAAGAGGGAGGCGCCGGAGGCGGCATGAATGCAGGGGATGTGATGGACAACCTGCAACTACAACTGGTGAGATTTGCCCCCAATCGGTAGAGGCACCTCAAAACTGACTTCAACAGAACCCAGAAAGCTTGACGGTCGAGGACTTGCTATCTGTGGCCACTCGGACCCACGCTGCCCATCTTACACGCGCATACACTGTCCCACTTTACAGCTCCGCTCGGCTTATCGTGGCTGCACCTCCATTCTTCGACTCGTCCACGGACTCAACCGAACGTCCATTGACCTTTCTCATACCCCTGCCTTCGCGTCAAACACAATCTCGTTCCAACCTGGGAATTGGAGTCAGCTCTTTTACTGGTCTTCTTGAGATTGTCGACGAAGGCGCTGGATTGGATGGCGCGAGAAAAGATAGGGCAAGGACATCATCCAATAATGTCAATGACAATAAGTCAAGCTTATCGGACGAAGTCTGGCGATTGAGTGTGGCTGCTGTCATGGACAATATGGAGACGCAGCTCCGGCAGCTGGGCTATCATCCTACCCGACACATCCCTCTTCGATTAAAAGAATTAGTCAAAGCAAATCTGCATCCCCTGTCGACGCTGTTCCTTGCTCTTCCTGCATCCCCCTACCATTATTTTGTCACACAAATCCAACATCCCATGGGCCCAGCTATGGGTATCAATTTCCAGATCATCAAATTGGTCCCATCTTCGAGTGACTCTGGTATCGGGACAAAATGGGATATAGGCGATCAAACAAGTGTTTCGCTCGAGAAACTGCGGGCCAGACGCAAGATAGACGCCGCCGAAACCCAAATCACGCCGCCTTTATACGAGGTCGACAACCACGATTTGAAAGAGCTCTGTATTCTTTCTAATGCTTTGGTCGCTCAAAATATTGTTGAACAACAACTCAAAGATCGCTCCATCCCTTACACATCTGTTTTCCCACCGCCATCTGGTCCTGCATCACCCAAATCGAACTCCCCTTTGGCAGGGATGATACCCACCCTATGTGTGGATGTACGCGACCTATTGCGATCTTTGGGGCGGAAAGGTGCAGGGGCAGGAGAAGCTGCGGTGGATGTTGCATTCCCTAAAGTCTGGCTTCAGATTGAAGGGTGGTGGGATGGAGGGTTTTGTGAGGTATCAACCATCGTCGTTCTTCGCCACCAGCCCCACATGTCTTCAGCGGATTCAGTCAATCCGTTGGTAGATGGGGCAGACACAGATGGTGATGAGGCTCATGAGGCTAGGGCAGAGGGTATATTTTTCGATCCCCTGTCAAGTATAGTTCGGTTCAAGGCGAAAACCATTAACCAATGTGTACCATCATTCCTAGAACAATGGGAAAGGCTCAGTAAGGTGATAGCGGTTGCCGGCGAAGGTGTGTCTGTGGAAATAAGAAAATATCATATGCTGACAAGACTCAATGCAGTCAACCGGCTGAATCAGAAACCCGTTCTTGCAGATGTCAAGCTTCTATCATTCGACTTACGGAAAGCCTCTCTGCAGTACGCCCCGAATCACATCGCATCCATCACATATTCGCCAAGCAATGATTCTTATCAGATCACATTCTCCATATCGATACCCTCGTCATCACCACCCAATCCTCCTGCAAGAAGTAACCCACATACTCTACTGGCATCGCTCTTTAGCGCCAAGCTCAACGAGCTGACTGCTCAATCATCATCCGCCATGAGGCAGAAGGGGGAAGTTGGCTACCAGCTTTGTGGTCTATTGCAGGGCACATTGCCAATATTGAGTCTGTCAGGGGATTTGAGGGCACAGGGAGCTTCCGGCTGGCAGCTAGTAGTCCTTGATATTACAAGATTTCAGTTTGTCCGGGATCACAAGTATCGTCGGTGAGTCTATCAAACCATGCCTTGTATATCTGCTAACACATAGTCAAGCTATGTGCTTCTTGTCACCCTTCTGCCAGATCTCAGGCACTACCTGATACAGGACGGATCTCTATTTGAAGATTTCAACGGCGTTGACAGCTATCTCGGGTTTCTGACACCTATCCCAGACTCCGAGAATTTGTTCTTCAGTGCCCTCAAGACTTTTCCCAACTCAAAAACCGGCGCAGCTGAGGCGCCGACTCTGGTATCGGGTCTTTCAGACAAGGGGCTGTATATGGAATCCTCAAGCATGGTGCTTGATGGTGGGAAAGCTGTCATGTGTGGAATTGCGGAATTCGGTTTGTTGATGGCAAAAATACTTTCTCTGATTGAGGGTTCATTCTGATGCACATCATGCTGAATGCAATTTACTCTGTATGATCAAATATGGATACCCGTGTCTCTCTTCTATGATTGTTATCTTGTTGGGCTTCACGGCCTACTTGCAACAAAACCAACCATCCTCTTCACTACTGAGCCCTCTCCTTCGCGGTCAACCTTCATCCACTCAATAACCTCAGCTTCTTAACTCGGCTTCGGCAAGTAGACCTCCACCTCGCCTCCACTTGCCAAACGCCTTCAACGCCTTTGACACATGAACCTCTCCCTCTTCCGAGACCTGTTCCCTTTTCTTTTGTTCTTGTTCACTGCTATCCATTTCCATCTTCCGTGTGATATCTTTGCTCGCTTCTCCTCTTATTTGTTTAGATCTCTGTCCTGTTTGTTGACATAGGAATGGCGTGTGATATCACCTGTATTTGATAGCTGGGCTGTAGTGAAGAAGGTGAGCTCGGCATTCCTTTTACGGTTACACCTTGTACACTTCTCACTTCTTTATAGCTACACAGTGCTTGGCAGGATTTTCAGCAAGCTAAGTGTTACTTGATATCACCGGGGCCGGGGGTGGGTGAAAGGACGGCCAAATCTCTCAAGGATGACAAGCAGGAGACGAGAGCGTTGAAGGACATGTGATACCACAAGTGAGTCGCATATTTTGCGCCGCAATCTGTGACAGTGCTGACTGATGATCAGACCTTTTGGAGTATATCTGCCCAAGCCAAAACAGACCTTCACAACATATCTCTTGAAGGTCTCAACACAACTGCATTGAAGACGTCGCAAGGGACGCTCTTCCGCAGGGCTCTCTTGACAACCAAGATCAGACACCCTTCCCCAATCCTGAGGACTTGTCTGCAGGTCATAGCAGTGACAGTGATGGCGCTCCGGAAGATGGCTCTGGCAATACCTCCGGACCCGATTGC